GGCATTACCTTATACTCGAAGTGCCCGTATCGCGTTCTGAAAGCGGTCTTCTATTCGTCGCCTTCGTAAATACGGATTCGGTAGTACGCGTCCTTAAGATCTAGAGAGGTAAAGTACTTAGCGCTAGTAAGGCGCGTAAGGCTTTCGTCGATAAGGGGAAGCGGGTATCGGTCCTTAATAGTAATCGAATTCAAGGCGTAGTAGTCGACGTATAATCGCAAGGTCCCGTCCTTCTTTAGTACGAATAGTAGCGGAGCCCCGGCGGGGCTAGTACTGTATACAATCCGTCCCTACTCTAACTCCTTACGGAGGTATTCCTAGAGGACTTCTAGCTCCCGCTAGGAGAGATAGTAGAGGGATCCGAAGGGCGGTTCCTTACTATCTATTAGTTCGATAGTATAGTCGGTTGCCTTATAGGCCGGAAGGATCGCCGCGGAGTCGTTATCGAATATATAGCGATATCCTTCTAATGTAGCGGGCAGGGAGACTTGTTTTGCCTCGCCTTAGTTAATCGCGTAAATCTAGAAGGTCGAGCCCTAACCTCCCTAGGGGTTCGCTAGGCGTAACTACCCTACTATATAGATAGGGGAGGAGTCTTCCTTCGATTCGCGCTTCAACCTCTTTAGGGAGACCCTCTCGAAGCTAGAGATTATAAGTCCCTATCGCTATATACCGGGACCGTTCTAGATATCGATGCCTAGGGTCTTTAAGGAATACCGGCTAAGGAGGATAGAAGGTCCGTCCTAGTCGATACCGTAGGCGAGAATCTTCGTAGTTCGGGTGTCTATACTAGAGTCGCTAAGTTTCAACTAGAACTCGTAGGCGCCGTAGTAGTAGGTTTCGTAGGTCGACAGCTATCTAAGTAACGGGAGTTAGGCCTCGATTCGGGATAGGCCTATTTCTACCGCTACCTTCTAGCTGATCGTAGTTACCTAGGTATACGTATCGAGGGCGACCTGTATAGGTTTTATACCTTCGCTAGTAATAACAGTTCCTACTGTTTCGACAATATCCCTAGATTCAACAGGTCGGGGCCCCGTCGCGTCCTAAGTGTTCGCGACGAGCCTAATTAGTTTTTTGGCTAGACGGGGGTCCGGTTAGGATTACCGCGCTTTGACGGGTAGTCTAGGCGAATGTAACCTATCTTGCCGTACTCGTAGCACTTTAGTCCTAAGTAATCCCCTTTGTCTAGAGCGGCTTTCGCGGCAGCGCCCGATTTCGGGGCTTTAGCCGCGTTAGTACGCGGTTCCCTAGCGTCTCCCCGGCGATCTCGATCTTTGGATTTTAGCTTATTGCTGCTAGTCCGCCCTTTACTGCCTTAGGTCCTCGGGTAGTTCTTCTCGATCTAGGTCGCTAGGTTAACTAACTCGTCCCGTGTTTTAGGGATAGAATTGTAATCGACGATCCGTCGGCGGGTCTCCGGGTATAACCGGGCGAAGAACTAGTATAGCTGTTGTTCTAGAGTATACCGTTCTAGCTATACCTCGAGAGTCTCTAGGTATATTAGGAACTCCCTTAGAGACTAGTTAGTACGTTGTTTAGCGGACGTATAGTCTAGGTAAGCCTAAAGCAGTCGAGCGTTAGGATCGTCTAGGAGGTTAAGTAGGAACTGCTTAAAGTTATCCTAAATCGTATCCTTACGCTCGGCCTCGGTTATCCGCTACTAGTATACGTACTAGCGGTCCCTCGGGATATATCCCTTAGAGAGGTACTGCATTGCCTAGATATACTTCTCGGCTTCCCGTTAGAAGGATCGTAGATTCTAGAGAAATACGACTTCGTACGATATTACGAAGTCGCCGTATTCTTTTAAGGACCTCCCCTCGTATTCGCTAGAGGCTTTTACCGAGCGTTTAGGAGGAGGGGCAATATCGGTTTCTATAGTATACCGCTTATAACCGCGGCTACTCTAGAGGTCGGCTACTTCTTAGATTAGTAGTAGACGTTCCTTTTCCGCCTATAGGCGGGCGATATCTTTCTAAAGGTCGCTTAGCTCCTCGCGTTCGACGATAATTTCCGGCTCGGAATCGTTTGTATCTTCTAGCTAGATACTAGCAAGAGCTTCTATAGATTCCTTCTAGTCGAGCAGTTCCTAAACTCGTCCTACTTCGATATCTATAGAGGAAGATTGTTTAGTAGAGGCCTGTTCTAGTACAGAGGGGTTCCCCGGCGAGTCGCTAGGATTCTGTCTAGTAGAACGTCCTCCTACTATTGTTCGGACCTTTCCCTTATAATTAAGGTACGAGAGTTATTATATAATGGTTCTATAAGCGTAAGGGTATACGTAACAGAGGTCTAAGGTATAAAAGGTATAAACAATATACGGCTTGCTAACTAAGGTACAATAACTCTGCCCTTCCTTCCTAGAGGAGGGCCCTCGCTATATATACAAGCTATTCTATTGTCTACTCCTCGCTACCGGCACCGCCTCCTCTTAGGTAGTAGCCGATAACCGGTTCCCTTAGGAACCCTCTTAATTCAGAACGTCTCCGATCGGTAGGGTATCCCTTCTATACCGGATCGCCGGGGGTCCGCGAGGGCTTCCCGTCCCGCGCGGTACGCCCCGCCCGCCTCGCCGGGGGTTCGCTAGGGCTTCTCTACCCTAGCGTATTACACTTCCGGTACTTGGACGAATAGGTGCTTTTTGTCGGTAAACCTATCCTTATACTATTCCTTACTTTTACCGTAGTCCGGTTAGGTTAAGGGGAAGACTACTAGGAGTACGGATTTAGACTTCGAGAGTCCCCGGTTAGTAGAGATAGCTCTTAGCTTAGGTAGGCCTAATACTAGGACTCCGGGTAATATAGGTTACGTCTCTTGTTCTCGGCCCTTAGGCGTCTTGTTTAGCTATAGGCCTTTTTAGGCAGTCGGCGTTAGTATTACGTTAGCCCTTTTCCCTTTAACCGTCTCTGTTAGCTATCTAGGTCGTCTACTATTCTGTCTCTTTCCTCCGGATAGGGCCTACGCGCTTTCTAAGATTCCCCGTTTATAGGTTAGTAAGTTAGTCGGCTACCTAGGGGGGCTAGATTTGTAGAAGGCTTCGGATAGTAGGCTATCCGTCTAGTTATTATCCTTGTCGTCTTTATTACTTACCTACCCCGCTGCTTGTTCCGGGAGTCGTATATTATTAGAGTTATTAATAGTAATCGGGGCGGGGCTAAGGTTAGCGAGGAAGGATTCCGCTTATTAGGCCGCGACCTAGGCTATTTCGGCTTTGCGTTTAGCCTCTAGTACCGCTCTTACCGCTAGTTTGCGCGCTTCCTATATTCTAATATAGTCTAAGTCGTTACCGTAGTTTTTGCCGTTCGTATTCTTCCTTAGGAGCCTTTTTGCTAGCAGGTTCGTTAGGGTATTGTCTAGGTCGTTATTTGGTTCCGGTCCCGGGTTTTTAGGGTTAGCTGCCGGGTATCGTATTAGCGCTTTACCCTTACGTAACGTAGCTAGTAATATAGCTTGTACCTATAGTGTTAGTACGTTCGGTAGGGTAGGCGTAGGCGCGGGTAGCTTACTAGTTATTAGTATATTAGTATCGCTTATCGTCGCTACCGTCTCTTTCTTCGGCTTCTCGGTATATTTTGTCTTCTTCTTTTGTCTCTTTGCGCTCTTGGATTGTCCGCTTGATTCAATAGCTTCTCGTATTTTAGCTTATTATTGTTTAATCCTCTTCTGCTTTTTCGCCGCTTTGTCGTTGTCTTTCTTTGCCGCTTTAGCCTAGGCCTTCTCCTTCTTAAGCCTCTATATTCGCTCCGGGTATTAGAACTTTAGTAGGTACTTCTCGTTATAGTCTACGTAGTTGTCCGGGTATAGGGTAGTAGCTAAGTATTTAATACTATAGGTTTTATAGATAGGAGGGTATAGGTCCTACGTTTAGTACTTATCGTAGTACCTTCGGTATACTCCTGAGGGTATCTCTCCTCTCTCTTTCTACTCTAGCGTAGAGGACTATAACTCTTACTATTTAGCGTCTTTAAGGGCTCGTTTCTCCTCTTCTCGCTACTTAGCTTTAGCCTTCTTACTATCCGCTATCTCGACCTCTACTACCTAACTTTCCGGGGTCGTTAAGATTAGGCCCTTTAGTAAGACTATAAGATCTTAGTAGCTATATTTAAAAGGGTTCTATAGCTTGTACTAATTATCGTCTTAGGGTTCTCTATTTAGGCTACTATAACAGTACTTTTAGAGTCGTACTTACTACCTAGCGTATTAATTAGGGTTTCTAGCCTATCCTTACTTAGCGTACTATAGGTACGGAAGCGTCTATAGGCAGTTTTAGAGTTAATTGTTGCTTAGCTAGTTAGAAGGGAGCTTTTAGAGCAGTCGGGTAGATAAGAGTACGCGGTACTGCTTATACTTAATCTAGGTTCTATCTAGCTATACTTCTATTTATATTTAATCTTTTACTATAACCGTAGCGGGCGTTTAAGCTCCTCGGGATTGTTTAGTTCCTTATCCGCGCTATACTAGTATACCCTCTCTTATACGCTTTACCGCTTCCTTTGTTAGGGCTATAGGTATTACTCCGTAGCTATCCTTCGTACTGTTGCTAATATTATAGGCTTTACCGCTTTGTTCCCTTACCTCTTTCGTCGTTAGCTTCCTTCGTATAGGGGTTTATACGTTATCCGCTTTCGACTCGGTAACTCGGTAGGTTTCGTATCTTTGTTTAGGTATCGGTCGTAGATAGGAACCGCGGGTATAGTCATTTAGCTAGTTATTACTTTACCTGTACGCTTAGTATAGCGCGCGTCCGTAGTAACCTATTCTACCCTTAGAGTATCTACGTTAAGGCATACGTACTAGTACTCTCGCGCTGTATCGCAATTACGCGTTCGGCGCGCCGAAGTAGTTGAATAACAGTTGTTCAGTGCCTTAAGGCCCCGTTGCGCGTTCGTTCAGCGCGCTTTTCTGTTATTCCCTCCTCGAGGGTGAAGCGAACAAGACATCAAGCAGATCCACACCCGACTACCATCGCACTACCTGCCAATTACCACCTGGTCTCAATGCAATATTTCTCCTTTTTGGCACCTTTGGCTGCCTTCCTACTCCTTTCTGCCGCCCTCCAGAACAACGAAGATATCGAAGCTAGAAACAGTATTTTCACCCGATCTGAAGACGAACTCGAAACGATTCCAGCGTATGCAAACAGTCTGTTCGCACGAGGAGAGGACGAAGAGGACTTGCATTATGTTCATCCCAATTACGGGTGCCGGGCCTGCACTTGCACTGCGAGGGTAATTGCTCCCGGGAATGGAGATTATTTCGACATAGGCAACAGCAACGGGAAACTCCTCGAGGCCCTAGGCAAGGGGAACTGTGCGACAGGTGGCCAAATGTCAGATACTAGTGGTTTCTGGGAGCCACTCTCTAAGGACCGTTGTACTGATGCATCCTACAAGAAGTGCAAGGCATTCTCGATTAGGGGCTGGTTCCAAATTTACCGATTGGCGGGAAACGGCCCGTCGTGGAGCATGTGTGTTGACAATCTTGTAACGGCTGAAGGAATTAAGGTTAGGGTCGCTATTGAATGCCATGACTGCGACTCGCGAAGTTGCGGAAGCAAGCACGATTGCGGGGTCTGTAAATGTAGACAAGGAGGCAAACTTTTGGATCTTTTCTGTAACGCGACATCAAATGACGCATGAGCCGGAGACTGTGGAGGATACGATGCGTACAGGGGGATATTGTTATAGGCAATAAATGTCTGCTACAGGAGTTCTGGCGAGGCGCTTTGCAAAGATATCATTCCGTTGCTTTGATTGTCTCTACAGCCCCTAGGTTGCGCTGTACTACGAGAAAACGAGCCGGCCAATACACCGCGGTCAGTCGAGGTGCCCTTAAAGAGGAGGAAGGGAGGTCAAGTAAGAATGCTGCAAATTGAACGAGAGTGTTCATTGCTCGGGTCGTCGATTGATGAGCTAAGAGACGTCGACTGGCGTTCCGCTTTTTCAGGACTGACTGCATTGTCCAAAGACGTCTAGATCATTTCTAATACCTCGAGATAATCGACAGAACCTGACTCCCAAATGCTCTCGCTGTCAGCTGATGAATGTGATGATGCTTCGGAACGGGACGCAGAGCCCCCTTTGCTTAGACAGGAAGTGAATAAGACGTGGAGCGTCGATAGTCCTCACATCGACAACACAGCTCTTTTCGTATGTGCGAGAGGAAGTTGATGTCGTTGGGTGACCGTGGGACACGAAGACACGCGACGAGGCGTGGCTGGCACGTGGCGCGACTAGCACTTACTCCTTGTGTTTTAGTACACTTTCTTCTCTACCCACCGTTCAATCAAGGTGTACATACGCAATACTGAGGTACTAGCAGGTACCTATGTACATAATTACGAGCACACCTTCAGTGGGTACAGGTATAAGCCGCATCTCTTTGTACAGATGTTGGATATCTCGTTCTCGTTGCGCCTGCTGTCACCGAACGCCTATAGGCTCTGTCTGCTACTCGCAGCGACCGAACGAACGATTCAAAGTCGAAACCCCCTTTCGAGACGCACCCGATCCCTCCTACCGACACTTCTCAACATGGCCATACGACCGGCGCTTGCTCGCAAGAAGCTCAAGAGCAAGGAGAGGTTTAAGACGTACTCTGCACGCAACACGTCCGATCTGACGGGGCAAGCTCTCTGGCGGTATACTGGCGCAGATACGCTGAGAGCGAGACCTGTTTAGCAACAGCCTGTGCCAGCGACTATGCCCACAGTCGCTATTATAGCAGAGACTGTTGACGACTATGAAGAGCGAGTCGATCAACATGAAGCCAAAAAACACACCGTGAAAAGTTGCCTACGAGCAAGGGCAGAGACGTGCCTGGGAAGCACAGCACCGGCATAACGCCCGAGTATCTCTCTCAGAGATCAAGTGAAAGCATTTACTCAATCAGTAGAATGGATACCCTGCTTGTGCTCCCGGTGAGGCTGAAGTCTAGTGCGGCCGACATACTTTGGGCATGACTAGGTTACGATGCCAGGTCAACGCGGCGAGAGCAATGACTACTTACAACCGCCGCAGTGTTTTCTTCCGCCGGAGTCCGATGGATCGACACTCAGCAGTGTCGCAACAGCACGACGATGAAGGCCGCTGGAAGAAAAAAGTTCTTTTATTAGCTGTTGGCAAGCCTGGCTTACCTAAGCCACCGCTCTCATCGCCTCCTGTCAGCTTGTCGCAACATCCACCAAGAGCTGGCACATTCGGATCAGCCTCTCGCCTCCAGTCAGGATCTCTTTTCGGGTCGCCCTGACTACACGATCGTGCTCCCGGCGAGCGTTGTGGAGGAACGAGTCATGATTCCGTGCTCAATACGGTTCAAAAGATCAACAATCGTGCTGCTAGGCACCTCCTAGGTAGTGTATCCACGACTCGAGCAGCATTGATTAAGCTCATTCCCAAACGTCATACAACTAGGAGGTACGCCCATGCTCCATGTTCACTTTGCGCGCATGTGTAGGTATGTGTGGACGTCGCGAGGTCACACGTAAAACACTTGCTGAGACGAGAACTGTAAGGAAAAAAAAATCCAACACCGAACCTACAAGTTATTTTTTGCTCAAAAGCATTTCTTCGGAAAGCCCTGCACTGTGCAGGAGAAGGGGTTACGACAAAAGTCCCCCTAGGGCAGCTACCTACATTACCTGTACACTGGGCATCATTCGTTCGCAGCATGTGCAGCACAACAACCTCCACCGGATTTGTGGGGGAGGGGGGTTTCTTTTTTTTAAGCGCGATGCATGCATAATACATCGCATCGCATCATGCAGTGACTTGTCTCAAAAGTCTGCAGGATTTGAACAGGTACATGTGTCTCATCTGCACTCCGCATTTGAAGGCGGCAGTTGAGAGGAGTCGGTCGGTTTTTGAGAGACTAGAGGTATTCTTAGAGCGGAGTAAGGGGGAGGAGTATGGAAGGAGGAGGTAAAATACCTACCTTAGTATCAGGGAGGCTAGTAGCTATATGTACCTTAGGTACATGTATGTCCCGGAGGTACCTCCTATAAGGTACCTACTAGCAAACAAAACCGGCGAGGGCAACATAGACGGTAACTCAGACCTTACCTTACTTACCTTGGGTAGTACTGAGTCACGCTACTGAGGTACCTACCTACCTTACCTCCTACCTATGGTAATTGAAGTCTTCGTCAGCTAGGAGGTAAATGATCTAGTCTACTCTAGTCTGGTGTAGGTTAGAATGAATAAGGGATTTGACATAGCATGACTTGACATGATATGGTAGCGGTTGGCGGTGCTTTGGTTTCTCTTCGTGCTTGTACTTCTGCGGCTTCTGTTTCTTCTGCAGTAAAGGTAGGTATCATTTATCTAATAAAAAGGGGTATAGGGTGTGTGTGTGTGTGTGTGTGTGTGTGTGTATAATCAATCAATCAACAACAACAACAACACTACCACCAAAGTGATGAAAAAAACAATTACCAACCTCACTAGGTGTATCCAACTACCTAGGTAACTCCACCCAACAACAACAAATCTCCAGCAATGACTACCATCTATCCTCCTTGGGGCCACGAGCAAATCGCATAATCCCATTGTCCATCTTTATTACTGTCAATCGGAGTACATCCATTGCCATTTCTTTTGCATGGGAAACCCTGTGTATGAAGAGAGAGAAATCCCAGATTAGCTGTGAAGACCAATTGAACTATTTTTTATTTTTTATTTTTGCTTTTTGCTTTTTGCTTTTTGCTTTTTCTTTCTCTTTTTCTAGGGAGAGGGAAAACATACGCTACCGCATGCGACCTTTTCTTGATTACCATGCAAGCAGTCACCAGTGGAGTAGTCACAGTTCTAATATGTATCAGTTGGGTTAGTATATGTTATGTTTCTTGGGGGGGGGGGGGCAGCAGCAAGCAGCAGCGATGGATTCTGGATGACATACCCAGTAGATGGGTTTTTGTTGTGCTCCGATAACGCCAGTCACAAGTGCGAACAGTGCAGCGAAATTGGAGAGCTGCATTGTGGTGGTTGGTTGGTAGATCTTGATCTTGATGTTGTTGTTGTTGTCCCGTACTCAAGCTGTGAGATGAAAGTACACGGGGTTTGAATGAGGATGCTGCTTCACATGCGGAGTCCGCTTTATACGTGCGACCCTCCCACAAAGTCATACACACACCCTCTCTCTTTTCCCAGAAGGCGGATGTAAAACTAGGGCTAGAGCACAAGCAACCTGGAATGTGCCACGTTTGACTAGGAACCATGTCCCAGGTTTAAGCCATGTCCCAGGGTTAACACGACGGGCGAAGTCTTAGGTGGCATAGCGTTTGGATGGAAGGACGAGTAATTTGGCTATTTGGGTGTAGGAGTGGCGCAATATTACCTTCTAGCAATAGGCAAAAGTCAGCACTAGACATGTGAAAATCGTGGGTGTTTTGCGGTCGATTGCGCTCTTGGCGGAGCGTTTCGTTATCCTTTCTCTCCATCATGCCAAAATGGAGACTCAGCTATGATGATGGTAACTTGGATGTCCATCCGTAGGTGTCCGCTATGGTAACGAGGTCTGTTGGGGATGATTGGTCACAGCGAAATTTCGAAAGAAGTAGCCCTCGTGTTCATGACTAGAGAATGATTCGAGATCGGGATGTCAAACTAAGTTGTGGTATAGTAATGGAAGTGTGTGTCCTGGATAGCATGTTCTCCTCGCGCATAGCGGCATCAGTCTCTGGCGGGTTGACCTCGCTGTCGTTAAATATTTGTTGGGTGAAATTGACGGATGAGCCGGCGGTAAAGGTGCTTGTTTCAACATCCCGAACATGCAATTATAGTCCTCCAGACTCCTTGGAACCATTTGGGATGGCGTCCTCAGTATGCATGCTAGAATACTACCTCCTACCTCTGTAGGTGGTACATGTATTCTGGCTGATGTTGGAATCAAAAGCATACCAGGAAGTATAATCGTTCTAGAATCCGAATCGGCCTTTTTTGCCACTCACCTCGACCACCGAAGCTTGCCGTCGCTTGCTGATGGCCATCATACGCGCAGGTCACATCGTATCGCCGGAGTCCCGTATTCCCATACCGAATATAGTGTCCTTGTTGGCAGGTCTACGCGTCTGATGTGGCTTTTCGGCATACCGTGGAGTCTTTTGGTATCTTGTTCAAATGTTTGGAGGTACATAGCGCAGGATACAGCCGCGTTCATCGTATCTTGCCTTCCTCCAAATAGTATTCGTTGCAGACTTGTTGATGTTGCCGGATGGAAGGTCAGAGTCTGCTTGGCTGCCTACAGTCTAGGTAGGTACATTCCTCAAACGCCAAGGAAACCTTTTTTCTTTTTCTTACACACACTTCGCAAAATTCGACGAATAGAGATGGTATACTCGGATAATAAGGCCACGATGATACATCAACTTGCTCTCTCTGGCGAGTGCACATGGCAGCAGACCCCGAAGCTAAAGAGGCGGCATCGAGGGAACGAGGTAGCACATGTGTGTTGAGTTAGGTGGAAAGCTGGCACTAGTCGTTCGACTACATAAGTTGGAAGGATATGGAGAGAGAAGTGTGATGCTATTATATTATCTCGAACCTGTCCCGGAATTCACTCCACTGCTCCTCAAAGATGCAAGGGAGAAATAGCAGTCCATTTCTCGACATCATAGAGCGCTCTAGAGGGTGCTCGCGAAGGGTTGAGTAATGACTGACTTCACTGTCTCCTATGATGTGCCCATTGTTGCCGCACTGGGCCGGTGCTGGTCTGTACTGGAAAAGACTGAGTGTGACGGCAAGAGATCCCGCTGCTTTACGAACACCTGCAAATGCTCCGCCTACGCCACGCTATGGTGAAAGCACCATCATCGAGCAAGGGTTTCGCTATCCGCGGACTCAGCCGCATTCCTTCGCAGGCATGTTCGGATAGTTGCAATCGTAACGATCACGAGAATGCGAGCCATTCAGATTGGACATGGCGTCTGGCATACCACTTGGAAATTCCCATTTGGACCAATCTACCTTTGAGGTAAGCGGCATACCATTCAGGAACTCCAGGTGCGCCATGTCCTCCGTCAGTAATTCAGGCATGCCCGCCATGGTTGGCGACTGTGAGACCGCTTGTGGATGGAAGACTTCGTGTGTCCACATGGGAGTCGGATGACTATAGGGAGGTAGTGGTCCAGCCGGAGGAGGTGCCATCATTGGTGCCGGCTGCACCGGGGCTTGAGGCATCATGTGTCCTGACCACGCATGTGTCTGCTGGAGCACGATGGCAAAGTCACTTGCTTGTGCCTGACCAGGCACGGACTGGAAGCTGTTGACGGAGCTTGCTGGACTGCACTTGCGACTGCTCGTATGTGCGATTGAAGGTGGTGCCATGGAATTGCAGTTCTTGCCACGACTTGTCTGTTGCCGCTTGGCCGTGCCTCGGTCTGCCTCAATATCGATGCTTCCCCTGCGAGCGGCTGTTGGTGTTGAGGCAGGAGATGTAGAAACACCTTTGATTTCGAGCATGACAGCTTTCACTAATGCTGCCATACGTTCGGCAGGTTGATAGGCATGGGCCATGTCCTGTAGCGCGGCGTGCAGTATTTCAAGATACTGGCAGTAGTTTTTACGCTCTGCTGCGTCGGGCATGTATGCGAGCGCGGCTACAAGGGCGGTTGCCGCAGATCCTGCGTGCTGCATTGCCGCGCAGGACATGAGCTTACCGTCGAAGCGCTGTCTGTGGTACCAAAAGATACGGGCCATGGCGACTGCGGACTTTGTGCATATCGATCGGCTGGCCTGGGATAGTTGCCTGTCTAAAGCGTTCGAATCCTCCTCCTCCTCTTCTTCCACCTGGTCGGGGTTGGTGGCATCATCATAACGCGCAAACGGTCGATGAAGCAGTATCAGTGTTGCATGGTACTGCTGGTGTAGCATATAGAAGGACAGCGGCGCATTTTGCTTGTTCTCTTCCGTGTATCGTAGGTCAGGGGATAGGCGAGACACCCAATTGTGGAGCTCGCTGTCCAAGGCTGCCATCTTGAAGTACGCCGACTGCTCTGGAATGTGCGCTTGATTGTTGTGTTGCCAGTACTCGGCCTGCTCCACGATGTTCCCGGCAATCTCCATCAGCGCAAAGAGGGCCTCGTATATTCTGCCATCCAGGCTTTGCCCATTGCCGGCTGGCATGCAAGACCCAAGTCGCTCGAACTGGTTAGTCAATGAGTAGACTTCAAGATCACGGCTCTTCATGGTCAGTGGGCGACCGAGGAAGAGTGACCAATACCGATCATAGATGACACATGCCAACAGAGCGACTCTTCGAACATCCATCTCCCGCTGCGAGAGTCCGGCGTTCCTGCCATCAAGATGCAACCCCAGATCGTAGCATAGTCGCATGGCCATGCCAGCGTACATCCAGCCCACGTTATCGCGGCCTACGCCAGCCTCATAATCAGCAAGTATCAGCAGCGCAGCGATCGAGGGCAGTCCTCCAGGTCGTTGAAGCTCAAGATCCAGCATCAACTTTGCCTCACGATGCAGCAGGTTCTCTCGGTTCGGCAGTGCTATGTGTTGCATGTCTGCCCTGGACTTGTCCGAGAAGCGAAAGCCCATGGCCAATATGCACACATGAAGGAAACCGGAGTAGTATCGCGTCCTTTGATCTCGACGGTCTTCATCAAATGCTTCCTGGTGAACGACGTGCAATACGGAGTTGTAGTGCTGCCAGAACAAATCCATCAGGTAATCGTGAGTCTCCGCAGCCAAGGAGCGGATGCAGTCCTCTGCTCGCCGAGCTTGTAGAGTGGCCTCGTGAGAATTGGCATCATCGCCATCACCAAGCTGAGAATGGATGTGAAAGTTCGCAGTACCCCCATAGAAGCGGTGACGACCAGACAGCTGATCCAAGGACAAGTGCCCGCGAGTGGACAGCAACTTGCTCACCAGACCTTCTTTCTTGTCATCAGCAAGGATTCCGATAGGGCTACTTCGTTCATCGTGAACACCGGTGGCATTGCTCGTGGAGGATGCATATGATGATGATACATGATGGACGTCCTGGCCGCTCGGGGGACTCGGTTGCTCTCCTTTGGAAGGCAAATGGCCGTACGACGCCGACATTGCCGGCCTTCCTCTCGTCGTCTGGGCCGGGTACTGCACTGGTGGCACTTCCGCACCCTTCTCCTCGAGCATGGACTCCAGCATCGTCACCCGCTCGGCGAGCGCAGCCATGTAGGCGCGCGAGATGGGCCGTCGTCGTTCATCGTCGAGCTTGATCACGCATTCGGTTGCCGAGCGCCGGCACTGCACGCATTCCTGACTGCCCGGTGGAATAACACACTACGTCTGCATCTCAGTTTGGGGGGGCCCTCTATCACACTCCCTCTCTCTCCCACACTCTCTCTCTCCGTCGACAGGGAGGGAATTGACTTACTCGCACGCGACGCTCGCGACACGTTGCACATGCGACGGAAGCTCGATGCCGACTTTTCTGGCGTTTTTCACTGCCGCCGCTGCCGCCGCTGCCGCCATCCGCCCCAGGATCCGGTTGAAGTGGTGGAGCGTGGTGTTGACCGCTCAAGACAGATTGCCGGGTTTCCCCATTCTGCTGCTGGACACCTGGAATAATATTCATGCCGATCGCGAATAGCACAAACGCCGCAGAGACTCCTGAAGGCGCACGCACCGTGGGAGGTGGTGAGCAGCAGCAGCGATCGACTTTCTTTTTGGCAAAACACAAATCGACAATGCCTGTCTACCATGCGACGATTAGGTAGGTCCATTGTGGTCGACTGCGGCGTGATATTGCCACGCTCTAGCAGCCGACTCCCTGCTCTCTCTCCCTCTCTTTCTCCGTCTCTCTCTCTCCTCTCTCTCCTCTCTCCTCTCTCGCTCTTCTCCCCTTCTCGGTCTCCCTGGCTGCATCACGGAAGCGGACTCGCGCACGACCCAAGTGGTCTGGACACCTAGTCACCAAGCCTTGCGGGGCTTACAGGCGCGCCTAGCTGTCCCTAGGCTGGTCGGGATAGCCAGGAGCCCTGGAGGCAGATTTCGCTACTGACTGCCAGTCTGCAGTCTACAGACGAGCGCGCGCTTTAGTCTCCGCCAGATACGGTAGCCATTCTCGTCGTCTATATTTGAATAATGTGATCGTATACGACTATACGTACATGCACAGCTGTACTGACGCCCTCTACCTAGGTAGCTATACACTTTACCCACCTCGGCGCTGTCCCAATCGGAGGCTCGGAGCGTGGTGATCATCACCCAACTACCCCCCGTAAAGGGTATCATGATAACTGCCCGCCCGGCGCACAACATGATAACATTCACGTCCAGAGAGCGTGTTACGTGTACAAATACACCTCACCTCGTACCTACGGACCTGCCTGGTTCCTATACTTCGCCATGCCGCTCCCCAAGTGCGTACGTACATCCGACAGAGCCACTTCACGAGCAGGCCGGCAGGCTTGGTTTCCCGACCTTATCATCAACCACAGCGAGACGGCTGGCCAAGGTTTTTCTGCAGGCTTCAATTCGTGCTAGATACTAGATAAAAACTGAGACAGATTTCGAGTAGCGTGCCTGGGCCGTCGGACCCCGATGGTTGTTTGTACATGTGAGTTATATGCCTCGCCTCCGCCTCTATGCGCGTAATGATTGGTGTGCGGCGTTTGTCGCTACGTTACATGTACCTGTATGCGCGGGCAGAAGCCTTGGCATGCGACGAATGTTTGTGATGAAGGGCGTGGTTGTTTTGGTTGTTTTCTTTTTGTTTGTTTGTTTGTTTCTCAGTCCTTTGCACTAGGAGGTACAATTAACACAAGTCTTCTACAACGTGTATGTACATGTCGTCAGGGGACGTGGAAGGTGGCTTGTAGTTGGTACAGTACATGTGATTGACTGATTGTGTTTGTGACTACCTACCTCTGTACCAAGAGGAGGTACTGTATCGAGTGCATTCCCCCATACATGTCATAACGAATAAGGAACAACCGTGGTGCACCGATCCTTGTATGGCCCCCCAGCAAGCCGGGGCTACCCGACAGGCCAAACCCAACAACCAAGGAGCCCCTTTGAAGTTTGCGGCTAGGTATGTACAGGCTAGGAGGACAGTGGCTTGCAGAGGGCTTCTTCGGTTGACGGGCCGATGAGTCCACTTTGTACCGTCTTCTAGAGCATGTGAATAATGCATCTTGGCCTGTGGCAGTGTGAGCAAAGACCGACTGTGCCATCAGAACCTGGAAGCATCATGTACCGCAGCCGTCAACATTGTGAAGAACAAAATTAAGGCAAGGGGGCTGCTGCGCTCACCTGATTGGCGGAACCGTAGATGCGCTGACGATCGACGAGGGCTTCATGCAGACATGCACTGCCATGCAGCGCACCGCTGAGCCGATTCTATTGGTTGGTGGACTTGGCATTTGGCAGAGTTTCACTTCACGTTCCTCTGAGAAGCTCTATACCACGGGTACCCACATACATGTATCGCTACCTAAGGTACCTACCTGTAAATTTTCATCTGTTATGATGATATCATGTGTCGTGACCCCAATGAGTACCGACAACAACAACACGTCAACTTCCGGAGTCCCCTGTTCCTACTGTTATTACCGCAGTACACTGGTATGGACTGGAAACAAGTGAGTTTCATAGCCTGGAGATGTATATATACCTTAATGAGCCAATCACATTAGTGTCATAAACGGCAGGTTGCGGACCCGTCACCGGCTTCCATCTGTAAGGTAGCCTCACTACTCGGTCTACTCCGACTGTACGATAATTCGTATCTACCTACATCGGGCTACATGTCTCCTCCAACAGCACCGTCTCTCTAGCACATCTTCCCCGGAACTGATCTCGACACCCAACAGATTCTCGTATACCACCCGGGTCACAGTACCCATTGCCCCGATTGCAATCGCCGATTTACACACGTGGAATCTTCCACTGCCTTCGGTCGTGGGCAACAATCTTGGGCAGCATCATCATCATCGTCAACGACATACTATTCTTTGCATGAACGTCATGGCAAATACGAAAACGAGCCTGGCAATGGCCCGCTGAGATCACACCACCGCCATTGAGCGGAGGCAGCTCTCGGCATTTTCGCTTCCTTCCATAGGAGAGAAACTTGAACCTGGAACTGCAGGTGGGTACATGTACCTTCACCTGGCGTTGCATAATAATGCTAGAGTTACTTCGGCTATCGTATGGTGAATACGGAAGAGCAGGCCAGCGGGGAATCCGTCAGGCTGTGAACTCTGCAAGCAATGAGACATAATCCCCTTGGCCGCCGTATCTACCCGTCATGTCGGACTTTGCCAGCAAAGCTGACAGTTGCCACGTGGGCCCTGGTCCAACATGTACTGGGCTCGGATCATGCGTCCGGCAGAATGGCAAGCTGGAGGAAGGGAGGGGGAAGAGAGAAAGCGAGGGAGCCAGAGACTAACAGACAGACAGAGAGTGAGGAAAAGAGGGAGTGAGAGAGCGTGAGCGTGATGGGATTGTGCTGATAAGTTTGAGCAGATCGTGGCCCACCAGATGTTCAAGATAGGTACATATAGGTATGCATGTATACTATGTAATCGCATCGGAAGCCCGCCCGCCTTGGTGACCACCAGAACACCACAAGCTAAGGTACCGCAGTTCTACTACAGCCCACGTCAACAGTACATCCGACCCGACAACCCCCTCCCCCCCCTCTCTCTCTCTCTCTCCCTCTCTCTCCATCTCCATCCCTCCTCCCTCTAGTCCCTCCTCCCCCTCTCCCTCCGCCTCCGCCTCCCCCTCCCCCTCCCTCTCTCTCCTTCCCTCTCTCATCCTTCTTTCCTTCCTTCCTCCTTTTCTTCCTTCCTTCCTTCGTTCTTTCCTTCCTTCCCGTTTTTTCTTTTCCTCTCTCCCTCCTTCCTTCCTTCCTTCCTCCCTTCCTTTCTTTTTTTTCCTCTCTCTCTCCCAAGCAGTCAGCCACATTACATCACATCACATCACACCAAAAGAGTCCAGACTTTTTGAGATTCTCGGTAGATAGATTCACAAGAATGCAAATGGTTTTTTTCTTTTTCCGACCGGACGACGTTATCAAGTGGCAAGGTAAAGGCAAGGTAAGGCAGTGTTTAGTTAGTTTGTTCGGGTCTATATATCCCGAGAGCACTGCGCGTCGAGGCCGAGGATAGGCAGATAGATGGATATACGAATGCGTATATGGATGGGAGTTGTTCCGTTCTTGTGTAGTATGGAGCTGGGAATAGTAGTATTATGTAGTAGTAGTATCCGTGTTGCCAAGTGCACCCCCGTAAGCGGAGTGAGTGAATGGGCAGAGTGAGGGAATTGATGGCTTGATCGCGGGGGCACCTCGTGCGTTCATCTGGTTCTGGGATACTGGCAGGGCAGGGCAGGGCTGACCAGGGCAGGGCAGGGCTGAGCAGGGCTGGGGCGGCTGGGCTGGGGCGGCTGGGCTGGTCGGGGTGGGTGAAGCATTTTCGTGTATCCTTGCTGCTGGCACACTGGGTTCGGCTTGCTGGCTTGAGAGGTGCTTTCGGCTGATGAAAGTATGAGAGCTTCCAGGTATGTACAGGTAAGGTATCCAACAAGGTATGTATCTACCTGTACGCTGACACCTCCCCTGGCTCTGACCGCGGATGAGAAGTCACATTTCTGGGAAAGCTCAGCCATGATGTGGATATGTGAGAGAGGGTAGTCATGATAAGATTTGCTCACCCTGGTGAAGATCCTCCGATCAGATTATAGACCAGTAGTAGTGCAGTAAGCCTTATCTTCACGGAGCTACAGCCTAGACCTTCCGGCTCAGTGGTTGTTCGCTTCTCTAAGTGTGTGTGTAGAGGTGTGTAGAGGTGTAGTATAGTTGAGTGTGTCTGAGAGAGAGAGAGAGAGAGAGAGAGAATGAGAGAGAGAGAGGGAGTGAGAGGAAGGAAAGAAGTCAGATTCTTCTTCTTCTTCTTCTTCTTCTTCCAGGTTCTCTTCCCCTTCTTCTTCCTTCGCCTTCTTCTTCCCTAGGTACAGGCAGGTACTGTATCCTGAGTACCTGTACCTGGATATACATTGAAAGTGAAAAAGTATCGAACAACATCAACATCAAAAGTACAAGGTAAGCTAAAGTAAAGGTGCAACCAACTAATTCATGCCTTTCGTTAATTCTTCTTTTTTCCCCTGCCGGAACCTTTTCCAACACCACGCCAAAAGACAACCCACTCACTCAGTTCTCGAGGTTGTGTGTGTGAGGCCACCGAGAAAAGAGGAAAAAGAGAGAGACGAGAGAGAAACGTCTCTTTGTTCTCTTCACCCACTTCCAGTCCTCGCACTGGCGCCCATTTTTTCAATCCGAGACATCATTCCACCACCGCCACCTTTTGCAATTCCACTGCCGCCAGGTCTTCCTACACCGCCGATTCTACTACCTATTCCACCAGCAGCGGCAGGAGCAGCACCACCGCCAGGTGCTCTCAAACCACTACTAGTAGCAGCAGCAGCACCAGACAAGCTCGATGCTGGGCGACTACTGATACTCTTCCGGAAATCCTGCACAACAGACATGGCACCTTGCGCGGAACCTCCTCCTCCTTGCTCCGATTGCAACAAGAGCATTTCATCCACCGCAGCAACCAAATCCCCCTTTTCGATGCGTTCCTGCGCAAGTTCGCGTTCGAGTTGAGCTTGATATTGCCTCGAAGTGGAAATTTCCGCTTCCAGCCTCGCAAATTGCGCACGCTGTTCCTCGATTTGGAATTTCAATTCTGCTTCGGCTTCACCGGAGGAAGCAGCTGCGACGGGGCCAGAGAAGGTGGCGTCTTTCGCTGCGAGAAGATCTTCATGTTGCTTTTCGAGCTCGTGCAGACGAGCTTGTAATTCTGCGCATTTCTTCTCGCCGCGAGCTTCGTAGCTCTTCTTCAATGTTGCGACTTTGCGTTCGTGCTTTTCCTTGTACACGGAGTGCAGTTCACGCGACACAGCCTCGATTTTGGAGTCGATTTGTGCGGCAACGAGCCGTTGGACTTGCTCCTCCATGGCATTCGGGTCGATGTCACCACCAGCTTCACCAGATGCTGCTCGTGCTGCCAGCGCGTCTGCGAAGCGTTCCTCCGCTTTGACCGCTCTGGCCTCTGCATCCTCGCTTCTCCGCTCAAACTCTTCCACCTTGCGGAGCAGCTCCTCTTTCTCTGCTTCAGACTTCATGACTTCTTCCTTGACTTCTTTCAGTAGATATTCCACCTCCTGGCCACGCTTCTCCCAGCCAGCCTTCTGCTCCTCGGCGTATTCACATCGGTTCTTCTCTTCCCGCAAGCTTTCTTGCGCTTCGCCCACTCGTCGCTCTGCGTCACCCACGGCGCGCTTCAGACTTTCGACTTCTGCCTCACGTCCGCTCAGAGTTGCTTTTAGAGATGAGATCTGCGACAGGTAGGATGATTTGAGCGATTCCAGCTCTCGTACGGTGATGGTGGGAATGGATCGCGGCGTGGGCGCCGGCGGAAGTTCAAAGTCGAGAAGGTTCATGATGTTACTCTGCTTGGCTGGGGTAGCCCAGCTTTGGCGGGCGGTCTTGTGCGGAGAGCGCTGGTTGTTCATGAATTTCAAGAGGTCTGGCTGAGTAGTGGACTTGGCTGGCGAGGTATGCCTGCCGTAGCCGCCCATGTGATCCATCTGCTGCGTGAAGTCGATCAGGTAGGTAGTACCATCCTGGCTGGTGGAGCGCTCATGGCCATTCTTTGCTCGTCGCGGCGTAGGGGAGGGGGACCGAGAAGGTGAGGGCCGTTTGCGCGATGTCCGTGGTGTGGCATCAGCCATCTTGCCTGGTGTTCGTAGCGAATCTCCTCGCTTGGCGGGACTCTGGCCCATCTTTGCCCACGTGGTCATATCCGGGACCTCAGAAAAGGCACTGAAGCCTGTGTCGTCAACGCCAGAGTTCTCCTCCACGTGTGTGTATTGCTGTATTGTGCGGACTTCGAAGTTGTCGTTGGACGCTCGCGTTGTCGTCCGTGTCAATTCGGACTCGAACGAGTTACTCCGCGTCGTTGCAGATGCGCGCGGCGTTTGCCCGTTGGCGGCGCTTCGGGAGGGTTTCAATGGAGATCGTTTGGGAGTCTGCGGTTTGCATGTTGACGGCGGAGGAGGAGGCATTTGGTCCCCGTCTGCGCTGCCTCTGCGTGCGTCAGTCATGCTCTCTTTACGCGCTCGCGAGGCTCGAGGCGACTCTGGTAGAGCCTTGCGCTCTGGCGGTGTCGCTGGGCGTGGGATTTTCTGGATTGTGTTGTTGTTGTTGTTGTTGTTGTTGTTATCCTTGTCTTGCGGCACATTCTCCTTGTCGTCCATGCAATCTTCAAAATTCGGCTTTCTCGGTGTCGCAAACATTTCCATTGGTGTCTGCTGCTGGGGCTGCTGCTGGGGCTGCTCCGCGTCGCTCATGTGTTCCGTATCAATGGGCGCGTCCCATGTTTTGCTGATCAGTCTGCTCTCTGCTTCGGTCATGAACGGCGAGCTAGGTTCATTGTGATCGAACGCTAGCGCGCTCTCCTCCACCATGCGTGGTGCCAATGGCGAGTCCATATCGATTGAAAGTGCTCGATTCGATCGCGTGGAATGTGACTGGAATACGCTATTGGCTTTTGGAAGTGGTTCAATGGACGTTCCGCGTGGGAAAACACAACGTACGCCAAGCCGTTTCCGTGGCGACGACCGCCCTCCCCCCCCCCCCGCTCTTCTTGAGGTTTCAGCAGTTTGTCTCGTCACGTGCTATTGTGAAGGAGTGAAAACTGTTTTTTACACCAAGGTATCTTGTATAGGATACCTTTAGGTACAGGACCTCCTAGTGGCTTCTGACTACATCAGGTACCTGACATGTACTCCCTGCCTCTCTCCTTACGGTACGCCAGCCAGAGGATCCCTCGACTCTTTCCGAGCCTCTACCTCTAGTTGCACTACTCTCCCGTGGAATCCCATGTCAAACTGCTCGACATCTCGTACAACGGGCCATACCTACTCACCGATAGGTATGAGTAAGGTAGTACGCCATCCACTGCACTTCTACACAACCCTCCTCCCATGCACAGGTATCCACGTCTTGAAGTCAACTAGAGAAGTTTCCCATCAGGACCCACTCTGCTGGGCTCGTATTTCTTCGCAAAATTCAGCACATAATCGCGAGATTTCTCATCGAGAACGGGCTTGCCCGAGATGGACGACAGAAATCGCTTACCAGTCTCGGGAACAATCCTCCACATGCCTTCTTCGCCCGGTGGAACTTCTGTAATGTCGGGTTGCTTCTCCTCCTTCTTGGGGGCGACGGGGCCTTGGGTTGGAATATCGCTGTCAGGTTTGTTGTCTGCTTCGGGCTTTGCCTGTGCTGCTGCCAGTTTGTAGTTTCCGTCGCTCTGGACGCGAGCTTGGTCCCGTGCTGCGAAGGCGGGAATGGTTTGGGGAATATCGGCCATGTCTGGTTCCTTCTTGGGAACAGCTAGGGCTTCGGCTCGAATGTTGCTGTCAGGTCTGCTGCCGCTCTCAAGTCTGTTACCGCTCTCAGGTCTGCCACCACTCTCAAATCTGTTACCGCTCTCAAGTCTGTTACCACCCTCAAGTCGGCCACCGCCCGCAGGTCTGCCACCACTCTCAAGTCTGCCACCACTTCCAACTCTGCCACCGTTCCAGCCCGCTTCCATCCGTGCCTGTACCTGTACCGGCGTTCCGCAGATTCCGCCATTCTCCATGCGAACTCGTTCGTGAGCTGCAAAGGCAGGATCAATCTTGAACGGGGCTCTGCAAGCTCGGCAGAGGACCATTTCGCACTCGTCGCTGGGCAGTGGAGGGAGATCGAGGCAGGCTCCAAGTCTCATGCGGGCTTGCTCGTGATATGCCAGTCCTGTTGCTGTGCGACAGTCAATGGCACACCGTGGACAGATGTGGATCGTCATCTTCTCTCTTTCTTGTCTTGTCTTGCTGGGTGGGTGGGTGGTTGGGTGCAAATTTCCACTCGGAGTGTGTGGTCGGTCGAAAGTGAGGTGAGGTGAGTTGCGGCTTTTGCGGAGCCTTGAGAACGCGCGCGAAACTAGTAGAGCGAAATGAAGTGAAGTGAAGGTTTCCTTCTGCCTTCTGTTTGCTCTGGAATCTCTTCTTGCTTGACGCTAGGTAAGTACTTACTTGTGTTTCGAAGTCATGTCGTACTTTCTGGCAACGAGAAAGAGAGAGAGAGAGAGAGAGAGAAGTTTGTTATTAAGTACCAGTCGCTTTGCGCTGAGTGAATTTCTCTCGCATCTCTGTGTGGGGGGCTCTCAGTGAATTGCACTTTTTTCCTCTGTCTATACCTTCCTTACCTTTCTTATACTCAGTGAATGACTAGAAATCTCGCAACAGAGTACTACTTACCCATCTTACCTTACCTTACCTATCCATGATGTCCATGAATGACAAACATAGACCACCACCATAGCTAGACGCCCATCTACCCATTGAGCAGCACCAGCTTCTTCTTCTTTGAGAGATTACCCATGATGGGTAGTAAGGTAATCCTCCGTCATTGTTTGCAACCTCCCCTCCCGGATGCCGCTTGTGAGTCTTGGATCTCGAGTCTGAACAGCCAGCGACCAGTTCACGGACTGGATGGATTGATAACTTGAAAATTCTGGGTAGGTAAGGTTAGGTAAGGTAAGGTATTTGGCTTGCTGTGTCTGTGTCTGAGTCTGAGCGAGTGAATGGTATGGATAGCAATTGAAAGGGATAGAAGAGATTATCGTTGTGGAGAAGGACAAAAGGTATGTAGGTACGTACCTAGACTGAGGTGTGTGAGGCAGGTATGAAGCAGCTGCTTCGACGTGAACGAGTTTCTGAGAGTCACATCGTCAGTATCTGGCATGTATAGGTAGGTATAGGTAGGTGTGGTTGGTCCCGAGAAGTTCTTCGCTGAGACATATGGTTGGTTTGATTTCTTCGGTGGCGACCTACACATGAACAGTAATTCGTTCAGGAGGGAGGGAAGGGGGAGGAGGGAGGAGGGAGGGACCGCTGACCCATACATACATGTACCCGAGGTACCTAGGTAACTTGCTTCAATTTCAGCTGTAGGACTACCTACCTAGGTAGGTAGCTACCTGACTAAAAAGCCTTCCGTCATACATACAGAACTTTTTTGGTGACCTCGCGGACATCTCTCGCCCACCCAGGCCAGCCCAGCCCAAGATCAAAAACCACTGCTTGACGCGTGGCAAGTGTTTCTCCATTAGGTATATGTACACACCTGAACGCTCACCCCGTCCCTCCCCAGATGCAACGCCTTAAAAACACCATACAGAGAGAATAAAAGAAAATACAAGGCCGTGTTCCGAGGTCAGGTAGGTAGTCAATCTGTGATCAACGTCCAGAGCGATCTCTCGTCTGCTGTCTTCTTTCTTTCTCCTTCTTCTCGTCATAGACCAAGAACTCATGAAGAGCACTTCCACCAGGCACCATGGGCAGGACAGGAATCTTCTGATCAACCACGACCTCCAAGAAAGCTGGACCTTCTCCAGAGCCGTAGCATAACCATTCCAGATCCTCTGCCAAAGTGCCAAGCTTCGTCGTTCTTCGTGCAGGGACGTACATGGCTTCGGCAAGCTTGACGAAATCGGGATTCCGTTGATGTGTGTGCGCGAAACGATCGCTGTAGAAGAGAGACTGCCATTGTGTGACCATGCCTTGTTCTTCATTGTTCAAGACGATGACCTTGACACCAATGTTGAATTCAGAAGCGGTTCCCAGCTCCGTCTGAGTCATGAGGAAGGAGGCATCTCCATCAATGTCGACGACGAGCTTCTCCGGTGCAGCAACCTTGGCGCCAATGGCTGCGGGGAGACCGAAGCCCATGGTGCCGAGACCACCCGAAGTGATCATCGAGCGGGGCTGTCTCCATCGGTAGTGCTGTGCGGTCCACATTTGATGCTGACCGACACCCGTTGTGATGATCGTCTCATGCTTCTTAGGCGCTGTGAGGTCTGAAAGGGCAGTGATGACAGTCTGTGGCTTGATGACACCGTCTGGACCATCCTCCTTCTGGTATGCCCATGGGAAGCGCTCTTTCCAGGCGTCAATCTGGTCGAACCACTCCTTGCGAGAGTCCTTGGAAACCTCGTTGACATGTGGGAGGAGGAGAGCCAGGTTTGCAGTGACGTCTCCCTCGACAGCTTCCGTAGCCTGTACAACCTTGTTAATGTTCTTGGGCATGATGTCGAAGTGTACGATACCGCCGCGACCCTCCTCGGCCGCTTTTCGTGCCTGAGGTGCAAATCGTGGAACGTGGCCAGTAATACGATCGTCGAAACGCGCACCGAGAGCAATGATCAAGTCGGCTTCTTGGATAGCCATGTTGGCGAATGCAGATCCGTGCATACCCAGCATATGAAGAGACTTGGGGTCCAGCTCGTCATATGCTCCCAGACCTTGCAGAGTGGTGGTCACTGGAATCTGAACCTTTTCGGAAAGCTCCTTGAGGTACTTTGGTCCATCTACATGGCCGAGAATGCCCTGTCCCGCATAAATGACTGGCTTCTTTGCAATGTTAATGAGATCAGCCGTGCGCTTAATGCTGCCATGCAACTGCTTCAAGGAAAGATCTCGTGCAGCCGTGGTTGCGGCGGAAGGATGAGTAGGCAAGGTAGACATCATAGGGATCGGTCTATTCAAGATACCTGCAGTCACGTCCTTGGGTAGATCGACCAAGACTGGTCCAGGTCTACCAGAAGTGGCGATCTCGAAAGCCTCGTTGATTCTCCGCGGCAGCTCTGCGATGTTCTTCACCATGACATTCCACTTTGTGCATGCTCGTGAGATGCCCACGGTGTCAGCTTCCTGGAAGGCATCCGAGCCAATGGCAGAAGTCGGCACCTGTCCGCAGAAAACCACCATTGGCGTACCGTCCATCAAAGCATCCTGCATCGGAGTGACAGTGTTTGTGGCGCCCGGTCCAGAAGTCACCAGAACAACACCTGGCTTACCGGAAGCACGAGCATAACCCTCAGCCATGTGGCCTGCGCCCTGCTCATGTCTGGGTAGAATGAAATTAAAGTGCTCGCTGTTGTAGATGGCATCGAAGACAGGCAGGATAGCGCCTCCAGGATAACCGACTGCGGTAGGGCATTAGCTCGTGTGACTTGTGGGCGTTTCGCCGTGTGAGCACGACATGGCCACCAGAAGCACACTTACAAACGTGCTTGACGTTGTGTCTGAGCATCATCTCATGGAATATCTCTCCGCCCTTCATTCCCACAAAACTGTGATCCATTTCGGGTTGGCGGAATGGTTGCAGCGGTTGTGGTTCTCTGCTTTTGGGTTCATCTCGATTGAAAGCTGGACTCGGCACCGCTCTTTGCTGCGCAGGCGCAGGTTGTGCCGCTGCTTGCGCATTGCTCTTCGCTGTTGCTGAGACGGTGCGTTTGGTCTCTTTGACGGGCTGTGGGGTGTGTTTTCGGTAAGGCGAAATGGCAGCGATTCGCGAGGATGACGCGAATTGGCGAGTCTGGCGTGCGATCTTGGCCGCATTGGCCGCTCTGGAAGGGATCATGGCGAATGTGGTCATGCAAAGGAGAGTGGAGGAGGGCGCAAGAGAGGAGGAGGAGGAGGGTGGGACACAGTGTGATGCTGCGGAGAGTCTGATGTAGAAAGTCGAGTCACGAAGGTCTAGCCGCTACAAAATGAGGTGCAATCCATGGAATCAGAAAGGTTTCTTAGTTCCTTGGAGGAGACGCCGAGGTCGGCCTGATTGAGCAGTAGCAGCCTAGCAGTCGCGAGATCGCTCGTAATAGACGTGTGATGTGGTTAAGCGTAGATACAGGAGGGGCCTAGAGGACCGATATACCATCTATATCGAGTACAGCTACGATGTCGGACCTCGAAGGAGCGGTCCTTTACGATTAGTACCCCCTCAAAGTAGCCATATCTACTGTAACACACGGGATTGCATTTAACCTCGCAATGCGAAAGCGGCATAAGGCAGCTTGTAGGCAAGCGCCAAACTGAATTATGATTGACTGACACCCCAACCCCGAGTTACGGGCACCTACGTCCAGCTACGAACACAATCATAATACCACCAACTACCACCATCCATCATGCAGTCGCCCGGCTCTCCGTCCGGCAGTGTGCGCCGTCATGCCAGGAACATATCACATCCCATACCTCAGCGAGCTGCTCGAGGACCCCTGGAGACTGCAACACACGAGTGAGCCACCTGCAGGACTCTCCCATATCATCACCGTAGACTTAGGTAGCTGAAGACTGGTACAGCCCTCTCGCTGACGCGCCCACCACCACCACCACCACCACCACCTCCTCCTCCTCCTCCTCCACCATTCCCGATGTCTCGTCCTCCATTGTTCATCCTCAGGACAGTACACCTCCCCCCTCCCAAAAACATGCGCTGGAGCCGGAGCCGGAGCCGGAGCCGCAGCTGGAGCTGGAGCCTGCTGTTGCTACCCAACCAAGGGCCAATGTAGATCTACGATTTTTGCAGGACAGAAAGATCTACCACTCCGTCACTGCCGAAGACATCCCAAGTCCCTTCCTGAACTCCACCCACCGCCCCCCTGTGGAAGCCTCATTGACAGACCTCTTGAGCGGAGGCCATTTCCGACGTGCTGCTGAGGCCGCTCTCCGGGCAATCCTGCAGAGTCCGCCCACAGCGGCGGAGCGAATCTTTCCGCTTCTGTACATACGTCTAGCATGTTTAGTCCTCATTCAGCGTTCGGACATCGCTGCAGCTGAAGCCCTTTCGCTGGTCGAACTGTCATCGCGCAACATCCCGGGCGCACAGGATATCATAGATCTCGTTCCATGGGAGCTCCGTCTGTTGCTAGTAAGACTACAGTCCATTCGGGCTGCTGATGGTGGCCGTCGAGGCATTATGGCGCTGTATGCGCTGGCTGGCGAAGTGAAAAGCAACTTGAGGCTTGCGCGGAAGGATCATGATGACTTTCAGATCGATCTGTGGAACAACAGATTGAGCGAAGTAGGCCTGCGAGTCTGCGATGCTCTTGCTGAGATGGGAGAGCTTGAGACTGCGGCCCGCCATCTGGAGACCTTGACGGAAGCCAACACTGACGAGGTAGCATACAGGAAAGTCTTACTGCAGATCAGGCTTGGCGATGTCTCGGGTGCTTCTAGGTATGCGCAGACGTTGCAAGATCACGCGAAGAGGGAGGGGCTCGAGGCGTTGCTCCAAGTCGCTGACGGCAATCATGAAGATGCCGTTGCCAAATGGCGGGCCCTTATGGATCAATACCCCGATCACGACCATTTCGCACTCAATGCCGCAGTCTCGTTACTTTACACGGGACATATCGCGGCGGCTCGCGATCTGCTCGAAGACCTGGCGAGGACTAGGCTCATTTCTCCCACACTATTGTTCAACCTGAGTACCGTCTATGAGTTATGTACGGAACGCGCGCCCGAGAAGAAGACGGCACTGATCCAGCAAGTTGCGGCGAGACGGCCTAGCCCTGCCCATGGTGGCTGGGAGCATGCTGCGTTTGACTTCAAGTTGTAGTCGGTGCGTGTACGGTGTTGGTACTTGGGACGCCTGCCAGGAACAGCAATCGACGCTCGTGGACGTTGGACGTTGGTCGTTGCCGTTGCACGCTGTGTCTCTGCTCCTCGTGGCAAAGACCCGTATGGATTTCGAGAGAGCTAGGACATAGTGCTGAACTGCTGATGTCTATTAGTGCGATACCAGCTCAATATTGTGGGATCCGCTTCAATCAATGAGCAGATTATTGAGTATGCTCGGCGCTGCGTAGACATTCATTCGTTTATGAGAGAGGCAAGCCCGATCCTTGACCCTCGACAATCGCCTGGGAAGGTGGGATAGATCCAGTCCATCTTCCCATGCATCCGCGTTGTGCATCCGTTTGCGCAACATGTGTTGAGAGATCCACAATGTACCGATCGCAGGCATTTTGTGAACGGGATAATGAATGGCCCATGGGCCATGGGTGAGTGAGACTGCAAGGCTGCAAGGCCACCTGATGGATCATGTCATTGGATGGCTCGTGCTGCTCATGCTGCCCCGTGGACAGCGGCACTGTGACGGCACACACTGTATTCCAGGTTGAATTTCCAACATGCCCATTGCCGGTGGACTGAAACACCATCGAGCTCTTCCTCCACAAGCCTACTTTATACCAGCGGTCGGGCAGCCGTGTCTGTGCGAGAAACCGCTGTATTGGATTGACCTCGCCAAGGGATGTATACTGTACAGCACTGCCGATGGCCATCATTCACTGAGCACTCCCTCCTTGTTGGAGCACTCGTACCGCATGGGCAACATGGACAGCATGGGACGCACTCCCTTGCCTCCCCTCCAGCTCTATTTATTGTCCGCCCCTGAGTACAACCCTGAGCACAACCAGCGGCATGCTCCGATCCATGCTGATGCTTGCCCAACAACTCGGACCACAGGGGCAATGGCCTGGCTATCCCTGTTTCGGCCAATGGGAGCCTCACCCACACACCTGGACGTCCCTGGTTAGCGTCCTGAACAGGTTCGTCCAAGACTCCAAGCTACCCTCGAGCTGCCGTCCTGTTAAATCAACAACTCAATATGCGACGTCGTGAGCAGCGTCCCAATCTCCTCCTTCTCCCATTGAGTTTGCGCCTTGGCGCGGGGAGCAGTCAGGGAGGCGCATGGAGCAATAACAATATCACCTCGTACACGGCCTCCTGCCTGCTTCAGGTCGGCAGTCCGTTTCTATACCAGACAACCGCTCCTTAGTGTCCCCAAGCCCAGGGAACGAGGCACTTCGTAGACAGACAGTCGTTTCATCCTCGAGACGGACTCTCGAACTCCACCATGGCACCGACTGCGGCCGCCCAGTCAGCAGCAGATGCGACCGCCGCATCTGGCCAAACCAACTCGCCTGCGCCCATGAGCGAGCCGTCGTGTCAGCTCTCTGATCAGATTTTGTCGACCAGCTATGGCACCCACCAAGGTGCCATATCGCCCGAGGCAATCCTTCGCATGCTTCGCAACCAAGTCTGCAATAACCCCAAGTGTGAACCTCCAGCCGCCATCGACAAGGCTGCCGTCGTCGTCGCGAAAGATGACTTGTCCATTTACAAGAAGTGCGAAATCTCCGTCGGGCTTGCGGGCGACCTGGAAGGCTACGTGTTTCGGCAGGCCGACGCAACTGAGGAGTTGCTCAATGATTGTTCCGAGAGCATCGACAACATGATCGACCAGATCGGCGGTGTTGCCAAAGAGTGTTGGTGGGTCGGGTAAGTCTCTTGTTCGAACCTCAATCCAGACCCAATCATGGCTGATCCTCCCTCTAGATCGCACAAGAACCAGGTCTATCAGGCCGGCTTTCGAAGCTTGAATCCCAGTGGCAATAACTCCCTACACATGCAGAACAATACCAGGATTGCTGCAACTCTCCCCGATGTTGCCACGCCAACGGATATCTCGGTCAAGCACGAGAAGAACGATCCCAAGAAGTTGATACCAGAAGTCATTGGTGCTGTTCTGGGAGTCATTGCCGCCATCATCTGCCTCATTGTCTTCATAATATGGAAACGGAACCAACGCGAGCGAAAGCGCTGGAAAGCCGCGTTGGAGAGGCGGGCCAAGAGGAAGGCGAAGAAGCCCGGAGACGACAACGGCCACAGGAGCAATCACAGTGCCACTCTGCTGGGCAGCGTTACGAGCGCCACGAAAAGCTGGAACCGCACTCCAGCAATATCGGCAGCGCCGGTCGGCGAGGGCGCAGGCAGCGGCAGTTCGAGCGGGGACATCAAAGAGAAGGAGGCTTTCGCTTGCACTACTACTGAGATTCCAATCAATGATTGCGACAATGACGCCGCTCTTGCTCGCAAGCTACAGAGGAAGTACGACGCCGCCCATGAGCGAGCGATCCAGAATCCAGACTCCCATGATCGTCAACCAAAGGAAAGGGTGCAAAGTCCGCAACCCCCGGGCTACGATACCGTCAGCGCTGGGACCGCCACGGATATGTATCCAGTCCCAGAAGCCAACAGAGTCTCTCACTTCGCTCCAGCTCTGGGACCAGATCGTTTCAGAAGACTCTCCTCAGTTACTCACGACGTCGACAACATTCACGATGAGACTCTGCCACCGCCGCCACCGCCGCCACCAGTGTCGCGAGGAGCAAACAGCAAGAGTCCAATCCGACCTTGGCGCGATGCCGATGAGTACATACTGCCGCAAAGCCCGCCCCCGCCACGAGATTTCGGGAGCCCATCTGGCTGGAGAGATACTCTGGTCGAGGACGGCAACCCCAACAATGCCTTCGTTTTTCCTGCGCCCTCCCCACCACAACGGCCTCTGCCAGCACGCCCTGTGCACTCGCCAACAATAGGCTGGCGCGATACTGCTCCACCGGACAGACCACTCCCGGAGCGACCTGGCATGCGAAGTCCCCAACCCGTTCGGAGAAATGCAGATGACGTGTGAGTCAGTGCGGCCTACCATTGCAATCCACATATACGATCGAACATGGGCAGACTAACACACTGCTAAGATACGACGACGACGAGCACCATGCAGTAGGCCCTTCATCTGAGCCTCGTCGCGAAAGAGCCCCCACAGCGACTAGTCAGGAGCTGGCTTTACAATTACTCTACGCAGAGTTGAGAACACTACGAGATCAGCGCGGAGGTGGTTTCATGTGATACTACTACTACTACTACTACTATTACTACTTACTACCCTATTATGTATGGATGGAGGGTGACTTGTGTGTAACGTCGCCCCCACCACCACTACTACCACCGCCACCACCATCACAAGAAGATGAAGAAGATGACGAAGAAGAAGAAGATCAAACAAGACCCTACCCCACAAGACCAAGAGAAGATAATCTTTTTTTCCTTTGAAACTCGAATGTATGTGAAATATTGATCTAGGGTATAGAGAGAGGGAGAGGGAGGGAGAGGGAAGGAATGTAGTCGGCTCGTGAATGACAACAACAACAACAACCAATCTAACCATAGTCCCAAATGTGTATATACATACATGTACTTCGGGACGAGACGAAAGATACCTGACTTTGTGAACTTTCGTTTTTTTCCCCTTTTTTCCCCTCTTTTCTTTTGCTTCACCTCAAGCCTACCTACCTACCTACCTACCTACCTGCATTGATTGATTCCTTACATGTTAATCACAGTAGGTATATGTGTATACCATCTTACACTACGAGATACATAACCTTATACCTATTCACCTAAATAGAAAGTCCGAAAAAAATTCTTTTCCAACCCAAAACCAAAACCAAATCCAAAACTAAAGAAGATTGAAAGGCAGGGTAAGTTAAGGTCAGGTACCTAAGGTAGATATATGTGTACACGAAATGGTATATTGTATACTGTATACTGTATACACATATTCATGTTTAAGGTACTTCTCCTCTCTTCCTAATCTATAGAGTCAAGAAAAGGGAGGTAGGTATATTGACCTTACCTAAGGTAAAGGAAGGTACCTATATCAAAAGGTATACTTCGTATAAAGTCTCTTTCTCCCCTTCGGGCCTCTAGATACGAGGTAACTTTGATTACCTACGATTGCAATTGGAATATATATAGTTTAGTTGAGGTGGTAGTAAATTTGAATGCTTACCTTATCGAGGGACACCGCTGATGCGAAGCTTAGGCTTCGGATTGGGCTACTATACAATTTCAATATCATCCGCCAAGGGGCACAGTAATATGTCCGGTACGAGATGGGCATGTCGAAAGCAGGAAGATTCGTATTTCGTGAACATGTAAAGCATGCCGTAGCCCAGTCATTACTGCAACCAAAGTGCTCTCATGTGACGAGGCACAGACTCGTTCATCGCAAAGCAAACCCAAACAACGAATCCATACTAACCCAACCCCATCCACTCTTATCCAAATACGCCTTGACCACATCCCAGCATACGGCAAACCGATCTCGGTTCATACCCGCTAGGATCTTGGCCTTCTCTTTCGACTCGCCATCAAGCTTCACCAAACCACTGGCAGCACTCATCTTCTCCAAACTCTTATCCACGTCAAACAAGCCCTGTAAATACAACAACTGGTTGTATAGGGCCTTCTCGCTATACTCAAACGACATTCGACCCGCACAACCATAAGCAAGCCCCTGCGGGCCCAAACATCGATGTCCATAGACGGAGATCTGACGAGTGCGCAGCCCACAAGCTTGATCGTCACATTTCAACCAAGCCGAGTAGTACCGTGAAGTATGTCTGCGGATCTGCGTTTCCAACTGTGTAGTCATCGTCAATGTGGAGATGCGTTTCTTGCATTCGGCACGAGGACATGCGAGGCCGTCGTTCGTGAGGACTCCCAATGGGACGAGGGGCGCTTCGCCATCTGGGGGCATGTAGTTCAGTCCACGATATTCGAAATGGTTCTTGCAGCCGAGGCATAGCAGACCAAGAGGTTCGCAGTCCTTGAAACGAAGATGGTCGGGAATTTGGCTTTCCAACGTAGTGATCTCGTTGCTTTGCTCAGTAGACTTGCTGGCACCACTGATGCGGTATTTGGTGGTGTCTAGACCGAGACACTCGGCCAGTCGTGATATGTCTGTGCCGCTAATAGGAGCACAGAGACGTTCGACTGGAGGAAGGATTTGCTTGTGCAAGTAGTACTGCACATCCGGAGTGAGCTCGCTGTTTTTGGCGAGAACGGCGTCCAGTTCGTACGCGTTTTGTGCAGCTTTCTCCTGGTTGCCTTCGCTATCGCCGCAAATCACAAATGCCATGACATCTTTGGCTTTGACCTGCTTGCCCTTTGCCAAACGCTTCAGCGCGACTTGCACGGATGGCATGGATCTTCCATTAGGATAGTCCTTTGGATCTTTGCCGAGTTGAGTGTAAATGGTGTACTTGTGCGCTGGAATCTCGTTGTTTCGCATCTTTTCGCTGAGTGACCGGAGGTGGTCATGGATTTGGGACACAACCTTTTCAGGTTCCTCGCCCGACAGCAGGTAGTTGAGAAGTTGCCTATAGCACTGTTAGCATTGAGCGAAACCAGCCCAGGACTCATCCGTAGAACTTACGTTGATGTGTCCTTGGACAATTGACAGTACTCTCTTCGCCTCATGTCAAGACCTTTGACGTCAAGCTTCTCCTTCCAGGTGTTGTCACCAGCATCGATCATTTGGATAGCAGCATACTTTTTCTTCGCGTGCAAGAGCAGACGTCGGAAGATGTGATCAATTTCGATCTCAAGCAGCTCATACTGTTCGTTGACACTCCGCTGGAAATCCTTGCCCATTTTCAGCGCGTCCAGGATGTTGTCCACATTGGTATTGATCATGACTGAGTCGGTATCACCGTAGATGACACGGAGAGCATGCTGAGATTCCGCCAGATTCTTGGTAGACTGCAGAATCTCACGGCCCTTGGACGTCGTTAGTGCAGCAAGCGGCCTGGCGTAAAATCGAGACTTGGTATATCCCAAGCACCCGTACATAGAATTGGCGGTCAGTTTCAGGGCCATCTGCTTCACATCCCAGGTCTTGAGCATGTCTTCAGTAGCAGACTTGTCCTTCATGAGCTTCTTCACCTCACGTCTTCTACTGACGAGCGTTCGAATCAGTCTCGGCAAGATACCTTTGTTAGAGGTGTCTTCTGGAACGTCAGGAACTCGCTCGTCCTGTTCGGAGATATCGCTGCGGTCGACGGTGGTGAAGCAGATGTTGTACTCCTGAATGATGCTAGGATAGAGCGAGTTGAAGTCCATGACCAGGATGAATTTGTCGTAGAGGCCCTTCTCGGGCTCAAAGACAAGACCGCCCTTGTACTTGTCTTTCTTCTTGCTGTCGGCGCCCTCTTCGCCCTCTTCCGCTTCTTCGATCCTCTTGTTCGAAGGGCCCTTGCCGTAGATCTTGTCAGGACAGATGTACTTGTTTCGATAAAATTCGTGAAGCAGAATGTACTCGTTCCTTTCTGAGCGGGTTCCGCTCAGCGTTCGCGCCCAAGAATTGCCAGCCAAGTTTGTGAGAACCTTCGTCAGTGGCAGGAGTTGCTGTTTGATGGCCAGAGCAGCGGTGTAGAATGTATCGATCTCGCACATCTTGACGTAGTTCATCAGGCCAACACCAGATTGAGCCATTGAAAGAGCCTTTTCGCTGTCCATCTCTTTTCGCGAGTGACCAGGCAGGTGCAACGAGACCATCTCATCGAGACTCCATGACTGACAGCCTTGCATTATACTCTTACCCATATCATTGGCCAGGTCACCGAGTAACCGTCCTGCAGCCAGATGACGTTCTGCGAAATAGCTGCCAGCGCCTCTGCCTACATTCTTGGGCCAGTCGCCACGCTTCAGCCTGCCGATCCGATGCCAGCCGGGTGTCTTGCGCTCCCGCATACGTGTCAGCAGCACGTTGAAGTCAACATCGTCTAGCTTATGACCAACGATGCAGTCTGGGTCATGCATCTGGATGATGGCGAGTAGTTTGCTCAGGAGACCAATCTCGTTTCTCTCCATGTGAATTCTGTGCTTCTCCTTTTCGACAAGAGGCTTGAATCCCATAGGGTAGGCATCTCCATTGGGGCGCATGATGGTGATCATACGTTGCGGCATTTGCTCTGCTGGTTTGGTGTCTGTAAGCGACATGTTTTCAAAGAAGCGTACACTGGCGACCAGGATTTCGTTCTTGTTATCCTTGGGATTGAAAACAGTCCTCAGCGCCATGGACATCATGGTCAACGGCGGCGCTTCGAGATTGTCTGCCTCGCCGAGAGTGGTGATGCCGTTGGGTTTCGTAACTTGCAGCTCGAGCTTACACCACGAGGCATTGCTGACGGCGTTGAAGTCTGCACCCTCGATCTTGAGCCAGCATGGTCCCATGATGTTTTTCCACATTACAAACTGCTCAAAGAGCGCGGTGTTTGTGCCGAAGATGTGCGAAAATGTCTCGCCTTGGTAGTCCATGGGAAGCGGCGACTTGTCGTATGGGTAGAGCAGCTTGAGATAGTCCGCTTCTTTGGGGATTCCTGGCAGCTCAAATGCGTACTTTCGCGTACATTGCTTGATCTTGTGCATGGTGACCTTATGTTTCGACATGATTTGATCAACCTCCTCGTACACGTCTGCGAAGCCGACCTCATCGCCTGTATCCCTGCCATGCTTGTGACGGTGCTCACGAGGGAGGAAGTATAGCTTTCGCAGGATGTTGTCGACCTTGACGAAGCAGGAGACATAGCTTCCCGTCTGGCGATTCTTCACTTTTCCAAACAGGCATAGGCTGCCATTGACTTCGGTGTAGTCGAACCAGAAGAAGTTCAGGGAGCCATCGTCTTCAAGCGCGTCCTTTGGGTCAAGCTTGCCGGCCATGACGGGTTCAGACGCTGGACTGCTCATAATGTTCAGCTTGGCTGCTACATTGTTGATTGCAGTCATGTCCACATCTTCCGCAGGGCCCCTGGTGGGCGAAGAACTATCCGGCGTGGGATATGAAGGCTTTGCGAGCTTGGGGGCTGGGCGGCTGCCACGAATGTTGACGTTAGCGCTCTTCAAGTTTGACCCTCCTTTGACTTCTGCGACCTCCATCAAATCGTCTTCCTCGGCCTCTTCGGTTTTGATCGCAGCTTTACGCTCTGCTATCTTGGCAACTGGAGATGAAGGGAGCGGATCGCTCATCATTGGCATGTCGTCGTCCTGTATGGTGGTATAGTCATCATCTCCGCCTGTGACTGCAGGAGGTGACGAATGTATAGGCTCATCGGCGGCCTGTCGACTTGACCGCGAAGGCCCTCTGTCCTCCAATGGAGGCGACAAGACTCTCGTCTTTCGGCGATCGTTGCTTTTGATGGCTTTCCCATATGAAGCAGCAGGTCTCTGAATGTTTGTGTCGACTTCACCGAGCAGACCAGCCATAAAGTCGTCATCTTCTGCCGTTCTTACGGGCTTGGGTTTCGGTGCAGCTGCTGTCGGTTTCTGGTTGAAGTATTTGCTGATACCCTTTGTGAGCTTGTCCTGTCTGTCTGCATCTGCTTCTCGCTTCCTCTTGGCTATATAGACGCGTCAGTGTCATCTTCGTGGCGCCTTGATGGCTACACCTACCAGCTTTGCTGTTTTTAGGCAAGTCTTCCTCGCTCTCGCTGTCGTACATGGGCTGTCGTTCATTCTGCCAGTCTTCGCGTCCGTCGTCGGCATATCCTTCGCCATTGTCGTCCACGACGAAATCGTCTCGATCCAGTCGATCTCTCACGACCTTTTTGTATCCTTCGTCGTCGACGGTCTCGTATATGGACTCGGCTTCCTCCACTTCGTAGTCGTCAAACGCGGTCCTGCCAGCCTTTCGAAGAGCGCGCAGCTGCGCCAGGCGATCTGCTCGCGAGGGTGCCATTGTCCCAAGCTTCTGGATGTGAGAAAGCTGATGAATGAGTCGCTGTGCAGAAGGAGGTATAGAGGAATAAGTGGTGAGAGCTTGGGGAGATCACGAAATGGAAACGGCCAGCGGGACACGAGCACTCTCGCCAGTCGCGCTTGCCATCGCAGAACGCGACTTCTCCTCGCTAGCGCGTTTTTTGCTCGGCTGCTCCCGCGTCGGACATGATCTGTCCGTGCTTGGCAATCCACGACCAATTTCTGCACTTGAACTTCGAACTTGGACTTTGCTGGAGAACTCAGGTCACGTCGACTGAACACCACCGCCCAACACCGACACAATGGTATGCGTCGATACACCTACAGTTGCGAGTGCGCTGGCTAACGAGTATCACAGGCAATCAAGCACAACCAGCAGATCCAGTACAACCGTAAGACCGAGAAAACACGATCGAAATGGCGCACATCGCAAACAGCAGCTGACTTTTTGCAGATTTCCGCAAGGACTGGCAACGCCGTGTCCGCGTGCACTTTGACCAGGTAAATCCCCATTCTTCATGAATGCTGGCGCGCCTGCAGTGCAATCGATGAACTTCGAGTTCTGACCCCTCTTTTCTGCTACAGCCAGGTCGCAAGCAGCGCAGACGCAATGCCCGTCAGGACAAGGCTGCCAAGGTCGCTCCACGCCCAGTGGACCGCCTGAGGCCCGTTGTCCGTTGCCCGACCATCAAGTACAACCGCCGTGTTCGTGCTGGTCGTGGTTTCTCGCTCGCTGAGCTCAAGGTACGACATGACCCACGACAATAAGGTACGTAGAGCATGGGCATTGATGATGTGAACAGGAGGCTGGCATCCCGCGCAAGCTTGCGCCAACCATCGGTATTTCCGTCGACCCTCGCCGCCAGAACCTTTCCGATGAGTCGCTCGCCGCCAACGTCGCTCGCCTGAAGGAGTACAAGCAGCGTCTTGTGCTCTTCCCACGCAAGCTCAAGTCGCAAAAGAACGGCGACGCTTCCAAGGAGGAGGTCGAGGCTGCCAAGCAGATTGGTTCGACCCCCCACGATGGCAAGGTCAAGCTGTCCAAGCTGGCGTTCCCCATCGACAACAAGGTTGTCATCAAGGAGGGCAAGATCTCAGACTACCCAGCCACCGAGAACGCTTACCGCGTGCTCCGCACCGCTCGCTCCGACGCTCGTCTCGCCGGCAAGCGCGAGAAGCGTGCGAAGGCCAAGGCCGAAGAGGAGGAGTCCAAGAAGAAATAGACGGCTCAGGAGATTATGATATGGAAGTGATGCGATTCAAGTTTGGCGTTGAGAGGAATGAGGACAAGTACGAATCACGGAACGTCTGGCGCAGGAAAAAGTGTCCCAGCATAGCAAGTCGCATGCGAACTACGAACTACATCTTCAATCACTTCCACTATCAGCATCTATCCACAACCTACCCCAACACTACGTCCTGAAGATTGCCATGTCCTGTTTAGCTGCGGTCTGTCAAGAATCGTCCAACAGTGCTCTTGCAGGACCAACGTTTGAGCAATTCAATTGGCGTATTAGCAAAGCGACCCACAAATCATCGGCATAGGTGCCACTTTACTAATCTTACCTCGGCACAGGATACCTTACACCCTTCGGAGGCATCTGCTGGATTGAGAACGAATGTGCATGCATCGCACAATACCTCATGCTCACACGTCTTTTTAGGTTGTCATCGATCTTTCCATTGCTTCCCAGGCCAGTTGACTGTAGACTTTCACCGCTGCGACTTCGTGCCCTTGCAACCATGACCGTCTCACCACCGAGCCTCGACAATATATCTGTCACTGTCGACTCTCAGCAGCCCGCAATAGCTCTGATCAAATTCAACAGACCCAAGAATGCCAATGCCTTGAGCGTCCCGCTGGTGAACGACTACCTGTCTGCACTCCGCTGGACTGAGCAAGAGTCAAGTATACGGATCATCATAACGACCGGTGAAGGCAAGTTCTTCACCGCAGGTCAGTCCATATCCCACATCTTCTCATACACTCTGGCCATCAAACGACTTATAAAGAATAATCGTCAGGTCTCGACCTCCTCGACCCATCGGTGAAAGCCACACCAGGCGCCACAGTTTCAGATGGATTCATTTCCGGCCTCAGCGCCGTCCATGAACATCTCATCAAGACCGACAAGCTCCTCATCAGTGCAGTGAATGGCCCAGCACCCGGGTGGGGCACCACTCATATCGCTCTTTCCGATCTAGTCTACGCCACACCTCAGGCTTTCTTCTTCACACCTTTTGTCCAATGGGGTCTCTGCGCCGAAGGCTGCTCTTCTCTCACCTTTACAAAGATCCTCGGACGACAAAAGGCTAGTGCACTGGTTCTTGCAGGTCAGAGGATGAGTGCCGAGGAACTGGAACGAGCAGGTTTGGTCACGAAGGTGTTACCACAGGAGGGGTTCTTGGATGGGGTGTTTGATCTTGCTAGGCAGGTTGCGAGACTGCCAGCTGAGAGTTTGAAGTTTAATAAGCAGGTGATGATGAGGACGGAGAGGGAGGAGTTGCTGAAGTGTAATCGGGTGGAGATGGAGGCGTTGAAGGAGCAGGCGAGGAAGAAGGAGAGTTCGGATGCGATCAGGGGATTTGCGGAGGAGACGGAGAGGAAGAAGAGGGAGAAGAAGGCTGCTGGTGGTTCTAGATTGTGATTATGATCTGTTCACGGCCGTTCACCAAAAGTCGCTCGCGTGGTCTAAGGCTCAAGAGACTTGGCGGCAAATTCATGCTATGTAAATGGGCACACTTCGGAAGACCGAGAGCGACTACCAGAACGAAAGTCCGAGGCATCACTCGACCAATTGTTGATCAAGGAAGATCGAGAGAATCTGTTGCCTGAGAACTACATTTACCTAAGCAGACGTAAAGGAAGGACGCACATCTAATCGTCAAAAGAATGCGTCAACAAGCATTGCAATTCCAAAACACGCCCTATATGCTCATGAGCAATTGTAGAACACATGTCGTTAAAAGGCTGACACTCTATGCAGTGCGTTACACTCTTGACGGGTATTGCTCCACGCCGTGCAAATAGTGGCAAGCAAACCACGGAGGACTGTCTTGACCTGGCCACAAATGGCTACACCCCGAGTGGGTTCAGTGCATATGACTCTATGAGAGAGTCTGTGCGTTGCTGTGCTACTTTTGTTGTGCAACGACACTTTACCCACTCCAGCTGGTGTGGCTGATACTCTAGTCGCTCATTCGAACTATCATCACGTCCTGCACGACTGGCGGGAATTTGCGTGTAAGTCAAAACTGGACACAAAAAACTTCAGGGGAGAATCGAATGTGTTTGATCGAATAGGTATCAAACAATTTTCTGCTATAATAATGGACGACTAGCCCCCTGCTACTGCTGCTGCAAGTTGCAAGCAACCTGCATCATTCCTACATCTAGCCATATTACACTGCATCTCGAAAATATGGCTGGTGTCGAGCAGTGTATAACTGCCTTATCCACGGCATTCCAAGAAGGTGCCGACCTTATGCAGGTTATCCAAGAACGCAGGACCAAGAACGTGCGTCGGAGCAACGAAGACGAACGGGAGCAGGCATATGGAGAGAAAATGCTTCACCAAGCGTTAGCCGACAGTGCAGAGAAGTGTCGTTCTGGGAGTGAACAACGGAAATATCGATTTGGGAGTTCGTTTGGTGTAGGGGACAGCGTTGCAGTGTCGGAATTCGGTCTGATCATGGCCAATCTGCAGATACAAGTCCTCAGTATCTTGCAACAGATTGTAGATCTGGCTGAAGAGGATACGACAATGGCAACTTTGGATGTTGTACGCTTGCACGAAGCTGTCATTACGGCCAAGAGCAACACGCTCCGTAGTATGGACGACTTGTGTCAACGCATTGTATATGGCACGAAGAGGACGGATGAGGGCCAGATTCGACACTTCGGATCCACGGAATTATTCGCACACCAGAACATGAGCTCGTTTTCCATCCATGATTCAGTCATAGACTACCGGAATCGAGTCGCTCAACAACAAAATGCTTCAACCCTCCCGCTGGATACTGCCGCACATCGCAGACATACAATGACAGGAATCGAAAATTTCCATCACACACAAGTGCAACAAACTCCCAGTCAACGAGTATCAGCAACACTGCCATCGTCGGATTGTATATGGCCGATATCAAGAACCCGAACAACGACATCAATCTCATCCACCAGCAGTAGCTGTAGAAGTGTGTCATCGACCACTTCGAGTATATCCTGCAGATCTTCGATATCGTTGCCTCCTATCCCTCCGACTACATTCCTCGATCACAACAATTACATCAACACAACCACAACCACAACCACAACCACCATCCCCACCGCTCCGAAACTCCAACGTCTCAGTATCCCCGAAGCAACACCCTCTTTCCCCCCCGTCCACGAATCCCACACCTCCCCCAAAAAATCTCATCGGAAACCCCTCAGTATCCGATCTCCAATCTTTTTCTTCTCTCGGCGCGATAAACTTTTAGGACCAGATACCAATCACCACCCTCCTCCACCTCCACCTCCTCAAACCAGTAATGCTGGTTATGTTACCAGCAAAAGTACACATCCAGCTTATAGAAACGACGACGAGAAGGAGAAGACGAAGACGAAGAAGGAGAAGAAAATCAAATCACCCACGACGAAAGCTCTACTCCCAACAACAAAAGAGAATCCTTCCTTCCACGATCAAAAATGTTCTTCACCACCGATTCCTCCTTCTGCTTCTTCCACTCCTTTAGCAAAGAGGACAAAAGCTTTCTTAGGAAGAGTTGTTGTTAGTCGGCGGTGGAGGAGAAGGAGGGAAGAAGACGAATAAGACGATTTGAGAAGAAGAGGAGAGGAGGGAAAGGGGATTGAATCGTGAGGTGAGGTGAGGTAAGGCCCGGTGGTTGGAATTTCATGTTTGCTCTGTATGTATGTATGTATGTATGTATGTATGTATACTTTACCTAATGATTTTGTGTGTTTTTTTCTTTTTTTTTTTTCTTTTTTTTTTTTCTTTTTTTTTTTTTCACAGCCATTTTACCTAGCTAGGGAACTGCGTGGAGAGGTGAATTGTAGCATTATTGAGATGCTTTCATGTCTCTTTCGAGCTGGTTCTCCAGTTTCTGTCTAGGTCTAGTTTCTACAAATAAAAGTTCCGTGGTGATGATGGTGTGCTCATTGACGACCATACACCTGTACCTTCTTCGTCGCCACAATTACTGCGTAATAGCGTTTGCGTCCAAACTCTCAATCTTCCCCGTCCAGTAATTGATCCAATTAAATATCTCCGTATGCCAAAACAAGCTATTCTCCCGATTCTGCACCCAATGATTCTCATCAGGAAAACTGAGAAACCTCGAGGGCACACCCACCGTCTGCAAAACATTGAACATGGCCAGACCCTCACTGATCGGAAGGCGGTAGTCCTTCTCGCTGTGAATCACAAACTGCGGCGTCGAGAAGTTTTTCGCGTGCTTCAAAGGATCCCATGCGTCATAGACCGAACGACCGGGTTCTTCCCACAGCGTCCCATTGAATTCATGGAGGGTGAACCAGAGTTCTTCAGTGCTCCAATCAGCATATGTGGTGGCGACACCATCGTGAGAGACGAGAGCTTTGAATTCGCGGCCGAGATCGTGGCCTTGGATCCAGTTGGTCATATAGCCTCCATATGAGGCACCCGCTTCAATGGCGTTGCTGCAGTTGATGTATGGCAAGTTTTCGCAAGCATACTTGTGAGCATTCACGAGATCTTCATATGGCCAGCCACCCCATTTGCCTTGGATGCGGTCAGTCAGAAGTTGTCCATACGAGGTCGATCCCGTTGGGTTGGGCCCCACTAGCACGTATCCTTGGTCTGCCCAAGTCTTGAGGTTCCATCTGTTACTCCAAACATTGCCCGTGTACCCTTGGGGACCGCCGTGCACGTAGAAAATCAAGTCGTAGACCTTCTCTGGATCGAAGTTCTCTGGGTAGACGACGATAGCTTGCTGCTGATCTCCCAGAGTGCCATTGTACCAGAAGAAGCTTACATCCTCGGGGCCAAGTCCTGCTAGGTTTGCATCTCGCTCGTTTGACTTGTACAAGTAGTAGGTCTCCGCCTCTGGTGTGACGGTGTAGAGTAAGAATGATGCCCATACAGAGTTCGCTGTCACCAGAGCTTTGCCATCTGGCAAGACGAAGAAGTCGCTGACAGAAGTGATGTCTGTGATGTTGGTAGGCTGGTAGTCAGCCCCAGCATCAACTGGAATCACGAACAAACGTGTCGCGCCAATGTAGTCTGCCGCCACGTAGAGGTTCTCGCCACCAGGTGCCCATTTGAGAGAGGCTGCGCTGTAGTCCCAGTCACCTGCGACGAGAGATACCTCCTTGGTGTCGACATCCGCGACGTAGATCTTGCTGCGATCGGACTCGTAATTCACAACATCCATCTGGGAGTACGCAATCTTCTTGCCATCTGGAGACCAGAATGGAGCGGCAGATGCACCTTGCGCTGTTTGAGAAGCTTTGCTTCCAGGACCATTCAGCTTCTCTGGTGCAGAAGAGCCATCGTGAGGCACGAGGTAAAGGTAGCTAGCAGTATTGTTTGCCTTTGGCAGTTCTGGCGCCTTGGTCAGGAAAACAACCGTAGAGCCGTCTGGGGACAAGTCATAATCGCCGCTACCACCGAATGGTTGGACAGGAGTTTCTGGTCTTGTGGCAGTGTAGTTAAGGTTGGACAGCAGATTCTTGGTTGTTCCATCGAAGCTGTAACCCGAAGAATTGCCCTTGGCAGCGAGGACGCCAGAGAAGACCGAGTATCGTTGCTGAGTGAGCCATGTATCCCAATGTCTCACGTAGATGGAGTCGTAGAGCATTCCAGTGTGAGCCGGCTTCGAGGCCAATTCCTCATTATATGCAGAGCCATTGTTGGCGTAGGCCAGAGAGTTGAGCAGAAAGTTGATGCTACCAGAAGCAGTTTTGACAGCCTTGAGTCCCGAGTAAGGCGCTGACAAAGACGCAACGAGTTCTGGCTGTGCAGCAGCATCTGCCAGATCTGTGGTATACAGCGTCACACCTCCTGGGACCTCGTCGTTGGTGCCGTTGATGTACAGGACAGAAGTGTCAGTTGAGCCAACCCACACGGCCTCCGAGACGTCGCTTCCCCAGGGCAGATTCGTTATCTCTCCCGTCGGGATATGGATAAGCTTCCAGCTTGTCGAAGCCTCGTGCTCTTCGAACGAGTAATTGGTGCTGGTATAGACAGCCCACTCTCCGCTTGGATTTGGAGTTGCGGCACTGTATCGTGGCGCTGACAGCATCAGCCTGGCGGCGGTGTCAGCAGCCTTGTCATCGTCCTACCTGTACGTGCCGTTTCGGTCTCACTTACTCAGGTGTAATGCATTGCACCACGGGCAGCAATACTGCTGCTGCTGCCGCTACAGCATAGAATGTCGACATGGCCTCTTCTCTTTCCACGCAAATGCGGTATTGAAGACCAGAAGTGGTCCCCAAAGTCCGACTGCTTCCATACTAATGTACTCACCGTTTCCATACATGACCTGACGGGACTGACGGCACCGGTGTAGATCATCATCGTGCCCTTCGGCCTTCGGCCCCATAGCGGCACAATACCACCTTCCTTCATGGTCTGAGCTGCCAAGAGGTTAGTAGATTGACCAGCGCCTCTTCGGAGGTCGCTCTATATCAGACTGTGCCTCTTCCTCTCTGGACGTTCAGTGCTGTCCGCAAGAAAGACGAGATGCTGGAGATTTTTGGCGTGCTGAACAAGATCATGGAGCATGTCCTTGGCAGTCCAGTCTTGTGAGTCTTGTCTGGCCGATGCAACGTTCAGGTACTTACGGTAGCATGCATGAGCTTGCTGCACGATGGCTATTACTTAGCGTGTACGCCTGGATGGTCCAATAGACGATTGGAAGTCCGAGTTTCTGATGGGCAAAGAACTTGGAAGCGGAGTAAGCAAGAAATCGCCAAGACTTATTGATTGATGCCTGAGGCTTGAGGTCGGGCGGGAGGTTGCCGTCCCAGGCGTCACAGCGAATCGAGGTCATAACTGGACTTCTGCTTCTTCACCACTGCAACGATGGCCTCGCACCACAGTGACACACTCTCTTGCACCGCTCGCCGGCGGCATCGACTCCTCCTCCTCCACGATGTCGTCCTCGGCGCAGCGGGCTTTGGAATACCTCGAGCAGCTGCCCGGCACGACCTTCACCAAGCTGTACCAACAGCCATCGACTGCGCTGGCCATCTTCCGCCGCATGCTGCCACACCTGGCTAAGACGATGGTCATGGCCCTGCTTTACCTGCCCCAGCCCTTTGCGGCCGCTGACCTGGACGCCTGGGTCAAGCCCGATCACGACAGCACGCAGGCCAAGGAGCGAGCCCTGAGCATTCTGCAGCGCCTCAAAATTGTCTACGACGAGCCCTACCAGGGACGACCCGCCTATCGACTCAGTCCCGCCTTTGGCAAGAGCCTGCGCAGCGCTCTGACAGGAAGTGGAACGCACAATAGCTTTGGTGTGCCCTGTACCGAGCCCGATAAGCATCCCGTCACCGTCGACTACCTGGACACGTTTGCGCGTACGCAGTGGGAAGCCATTCTGTATTACGTCGTGGGGAGTGCCTCTGCGGGCCTGGGAGGCGGCGTGGACATCTCTTCGGGCACACGCACGCTCCTCGAGACGGGCAAATTCGTGGTGGTGAAGGGCGGAGGACGGCACAGAGCCATCACCACCGACGGCTTCACCTTTCTGCTACAGGATGTCAATGCTCAAGTCTGGTCTCTGCTGATTGTCTATCTGGAAGTCTCGGGCGATCTGCTGCAGATGGACTCTGTTGATGTGCTCTCCTTCCTCTTCACCCTGGGCTCCCTCGAATTGGGCGTCAGCTACTCCACCTCCAATCTCACGCCCACTCAACTGCAAATGCTGGATGATCTGACTAACTTTGGCCTCGTTTACCGTCGCTCACCCTCCTCCGATCGATACTATCCCACCCGCCTCGCCACGACTCTCACGTCCGATGCCCCAGCTCTGCCCAACAACAGCTTCACCACCACCACTACCACCAACCAAAACGCCGATCCCAACGATCCAGCAGCCACAGCCTCTGAAAAAGGCTACATCATTCTCGAAACCAACTATCGTCTCTACGCATACACCTCGTCTCCTCTACCCATATCCATACTCTCCCTCTTCGCCAGCCTCAACACGCGCTACCCCAACCTCATCACCGCCAAAATTACCAAAACTTCCATCCATACCGCCATAGCCTCGGGAATCACCTCGGACCAAATCATCTCCTATCTGCAAACCCACGCGCACCCCATTCTCCGCCGCCAAGCAGCTCTCAATTCCGCTCCAATCCTGCCTCCCACGGTAGTCGATCAAATCCGTCTCTGGCAAATTGAAGGCGAACGAATGAAGTCCACCAAGGGATACTTGATTCGAGACGTGGGGACGGAAGACGATTACACCAAAGCAGTACAGTACGCAGAAGCACTGGGGATCTTGGTCAAGGAGTTTCATCACAGGAGAGCATTCTTTGTGACGAGAATGGAGCAGATGAGTGCGTATTTCAAAGCGCAGGCGCAGAGGAAGAGGGAGGCGAAAGAGCTAGCCGCCGCCGCCGCTGCTGGTGGTGGGCCTTCTACCACTGCTGCGAGAAAGGGGTGATGACGACGACGACAATGGGAAAGAATTTCAAAAGACATAGCGAGGCGTTTCGGAGCTCATCAAAATGGAGACTACTAGGAAAGGACAGGAGTAATGACTTTTTTTATTACTCGAATGGGCGGAGCATTGAGGAGTGAGTTGGGTACAGGTACACATGGCGCTTCGCTGGATAATGGACGGGGCAGGGACTAGAAGAGCATTCGACATTATGCATTGCAATAATTCTGTGAGTATAGCAAATCTTGTATCACCATCATCTTCGTCGTCGTCACATCTGCTTCCCATCTCCACCAGGAGATGCATTGGCAGCGTGTTTCCCACACATTACCCATCATCACCGGGCTTTGACACCCAGTCTCCAGCTTTCTTAACATGCAGTGCACAATAACGCTCCGCCTCTCCTCTCCACTCTCTTGCCGTCTAGAAGAATCCCCCCACCACAGCAGCCTCCACAGGCGCAACGACATGCGCACGGTCGGACACATGTCCCACCTTCTGCCTCCGTCCCAACAATCGATCCATAAACTTCGTCTTCCTCATCTCACTCGGCGGCGGCGGTGACGGCGTGTATTCATCACCCCTCAAACTCATTTCCAGCGCACAAGTTCGAACCTCACTGCTGCTCCAGTTGCTCTCCAGTGGCTTGGCTAGTTCCGGAAGGGCCAGCGCCTTGGCCACCGCCTTTTGCCACATGAAAAAAGACTGCTCTGCTTCTACCGTGGCACATAACGAGAAGAGTTGCTCCACGGCACGGCGCATACGAAGACTATTCGCTTCCGACGTGTGAATCCTATCCGTGTCGGATTTCGACACATGCTCACCGGACAGATCTGTTGCAGCGAGCTCCTCGTTTCGAAAACGGTCGTTGAGCGATGAGAAGCGGCCTGTCCAGTAGGCAGCGGGCTGAGCAGTCAAGACCTGGCAGTAGATTAGCATGTGTGGCGAAGGGACAGCAGGAAAGTGACCCACCGCTCCAGGCTTGAGCTTGACGGACTCTGCTCTGGCCCTGCTCGTCCGCTGCGGCCGCTCTTGCATGACCACTGACGTCTGGCTGGACGATAGCCGTGCATGGCCGGAGGAGTTGCTGAAACCTCTGGTGGTACGGGTGGCCTTCAGTAGAACTTCAGTGGAAGGTGAACTGGCTGGTGGAGGTGTTGGTGCTTGACGCGCGGACATGAGGCGAGTCTGTTTGATGGCGGCGCCATATGAGTTTCGCACATTGGTCGTGTTCGTCAAGACTGGCTGGGAATTCCATCGCTGCACTGGTTTGCCTGGCGTTGGCGCCCTCTCTTTCGTACTGCGGTATGCTGGACTACTGTCAGACTTCTGTGTCATACGCATGCTGTTCGGACCGGAATGAGAGACGTCCAAGCGCTTCTGGTTGGCGAGACTCGCTTTGCGCTCGGTGAAGACTGCCACGTCTCTCTCGCTGTCTTCAGACCAACCTTGTCGGCTGCTGCATGCAAAAAGATTCTCATCGTAAGGCGTGAGTGGCTTGATGGGACTGAGGGAGATGTTCTCCTTGAAGGCCGTCATGCGTGGCACACTGGGCTCCCTCTGCAGTCCATTCTGGAGCAGCGGCACGGTGTCGGATCTGACTAGCTTCTTGCGCGTCTTGTCATCGACGGGAACCAGGCGGTTGCTGGTCGACTGCTTGCGAAGGTTGAAGGTGGGCGTGGGAAGTCGTGACGGCGGCACTTCGTCATTGGTGTGCAAGGGCAGTCGAGCATGCGACTTGGACAGCTGGAGCTTGCTCGCTGCAGACTTCTTGGCTCTACTGGGAAGGGGAAGGTTGCTGAATGTCCTGCTCCTAGGCATGCCTCCGATCGGGTCGTCTGGCAGGCAGATGTAGCTGCCCCTGCGCGTGGGCAGTGTCGCTGGCACGGGCGGCGCGTGGTCGAAGCCGTCGCTCTCGCCGGAAAAGTCGGACTTGTTGCCGTCACGTTTGCGATCTGGCGCGTTAGCTGCTGTGCTGGACAGAGATAGGATGCTGGTGGTGGTAGACGGCGAGTGTTCGGGATTGGAGGAGGTGTTGTTGCTGCGGCGCCGGTTGAACTGATGCATCAGAGACTGCAGAGAGGCGATGGAAGACAGGCGCCGCAGCGAGCTCCGTCGAGACTCGGGCGGTGTCTCGTGTGACTGGCTCTTGCGCGCGAGCATCGTGTATGAATTGTTTGATGGATGGCCGGATGGACGGATGGAAGGATTTGGAGGATGGATGGATGGAAGGGCAGAGAGGGCGAGGAAGGTGGAAGGGCGTGAGAGATAGACTCACCATTTCGGTTGGAAAGTGCGAGGTCACGACCACGACCACGACCACGATCCCGTCCGTGTCCACGTCCACTGGTAGACGCAGACGCAGGTGCGGGTGCGGGTTTAGGCGCAGGCCTTTGGAGGGTATTCGCGATGCGGATGGCTCCTGGATCCATATTCCAAGAGAGGAATGAAGCGACTGCCGAGACTGGTAACAGAAGTTAGTAAGTAGACGCAACGTCAATTGACGACGACGACGATGGTGATGGCGGTGGCAGTGGCAATGGCAATGACAATAGAATGGCAAATAGACATGTGTGGTATCAGAGGGACTAAGGTTCGAGGTACCCAAAGAAAAGCCCACCAACTTGAAAGATAAATTCTAATGCCAAGTACGGTAGGTACCTGAGGTTAGGTAGGTAGATATCCATATGGGGAAATCAAGTGAAGCGAGAATACAGGTATCTACCTTAGGTACCTTACCGTGCGGTACCTTAAGGAGGAAGGAAGCGAGCGCTTCCCACTTCACGTATTAGGTACGGTACGGTATCAGGCGGCTGGCCCCCTATTCACTCTCCCGTTGACTTTCATTATCAGCCAGCTCTCGGGCAACACCTCTTGTCGTGGAGGTTTGGTAAAGTAACTTGCCATTACATTGAGATTGTTACTTATTACACTGATGAGGTGGAGGACGGCAGTACACATTTCTCAGGTACATATATGTAGTCACGATTCTGATCATGGGCAAGGGCTTCGGAACAGAGAAGTATTATTCAGATGGATTCCAAGTAAGATATTATTCATTAGGTACTACATACCACGGATGACTATCCCTCTTCATGCTCATCGTCATCCCCTTCCTCTGCGCTCCCGTCGTCTTCCTCCATTTCATCGCCACTCGCTCCAGCACCTGTATACTGATCATCATCATCCTCGCTCTCCCAATAATCCACCAACTCATCCTCGCTCTCTTCCACCTCCTCGCCATCCTTACCCTTCTCCTGCCCCCTCTTCGCATCCCTCCTCTCTTGCTTCTTCCTCTCCACATTCGCCTTTTGCTCCTTCTTTCTCTCCGCCTTCTCCCGATTCCGCTGCTCATGCACCTTCTCCATCTCCTTGATCTCACTCTCCGACTTGTGGAAATACTCGTGCCACATCACCTTTCCCCCACACAGTCCTTCTTCCACTTTAGTCATGCGGAGCTTCAATCTCGGCCCGAGTTCATATAATTTGATACCTTTTTTCTCCACATTGTCCTTCGCCGAAGACTGAGATGATTGTGCGACTTGTGTTCCATTCGCGCCTGTGGCTTTCTTGCCGTGCTTGCTGACCTTTCGCTGTTTGGTCGTGGTGATTTCTACTTCGGCGTCGGTCTCGACTTCACTGTCGCTTCCACTTGTAAACCCTTCTGCATCTGCTGCTGTGGGGTCGAGAAGGTAGTCTGCTACATCGTTCAACTTGCCGAGATTGGGCAGAGCTCGCTTTCGTTTCTGTCCCGTGTGAGAGAGCTTCTCAGCTGCGTCCAATCGTCGCAGAGCTTTGGGGACAGAGCGTGCAGTGCGGGTTTCGATGGCATAGTGTCGAACATTCAGCACATAGGGCGCAGAGTCGTCATTCTCGGCCGAAGCTTTCCGGGGGACACGATCGAGGAGTAGAACGCGCTTGATGCCGTTAATGGGTGTTCTCGTCGGGTTGACAGGCGGGAAAAGACCTTGAAACATTTGCTGGACCAGATCCTCCAACTGTTTCGTCTTCGCCTTCTCCTGCGCGTCTTTACTGCTGCTATCCAAGTCCTTGGTAATGAAGTTGTTCATGACCAATAACGGCGCAGTCAGATATTCCTGCCCTCCACTCTTCGGCCTCTTCATGCTCTGATAGATATCCTTGCACAAGCTATACTTCTCCACCCTGAAATGCAGTGTAGGCCCCCGAGGAGTATATGCCAGTCGAAGATTTGTGTTCCCACTCTCGCTCTTGCTGAACAGCATCAAATTGGTAACACCGAGCGGTCCAGCCATTGTAGTATAGTCACGCAATTTGTTCGATCTCCTCTCTTTCAGTCGTGACGCCGTATCGGGCTCCATCATTCTCCGCACATCCTTCACCAACTGGCTGACGCTGTGTCCGACCTCACTGGCGCCCACGCGAATCACCATCGATTTCGGGGTTCGTGCTGCGGATTTCGCAATGCCTTGGGGGCCTTTGGCTTGGGGGATTCCTCCCTTGGCGGCACCGACGTGCGTGTATTTTTTCGTCCTTCGTTTGGCCATGATGCTGGTGGTTGGTGATGATGTGTGGTTTGCGACTGGCTCAACAGCTGCTGAGAATAAGAGGGAGATTGAGAGAGAGAGGCTCGAGATGGGAACTTTTCAAACAAGCTTTCTCTAGCCGGTCTCTAGCGTGCCGACGGAGATAGAGTTCACCTCCGATAGCATTTTCTTGGCATTTGATAAAGCTACCAGGTCTTTCACTTACTCCCAAGTCATCCGTGTGGTTCAAGATATATTCAGCTGAGAATAACAAATTGAGTCACCACTACGACTCACGATATACATCTATCTAACAACTACGAATACTGAAGATTGAACCGCGCGGTCTGGATACAGTCCTGGGCGCTCCCCCGACTGCGATGTGCACACACTTTGAAACAATACGATCCCGACAGGGCCATTGACCCATTCGTGAGCTTGCCCTCCCACAGCAATCTTCGTGGTGTGATGCGAGAGAAGCCTCCCGTCGCCTGTATACGATGCACGTCAATAGGCCACGAGTTGGAGTCATCCGACACGTCGCCGGGACAAGTATTCAGAAAGGCATCGACATCAGGGCTGATCATCGCCACCTCGACATTGATCGTGGGATATTGCACATCGCTACTGGTGGAGTTGTCGGCGTCAGCTCCGCTGGATCCTGGTGCTCCTGGTAAGTGGAACGTGGTGTCCAACGCTGCTGGCGACAAAGTGTTATCCTCGTCGTCACTTTGACTATACGTCGCCGACGTGAGAAAGGTCGATTTCCACGTGGGGGGAAAGATGGACACATCAGCGATACGACAGCCGATTGCGCCGTAAGGCAGGCTGAGAACGCGGTCAGAGTCCCGGCTGTCCTTGATTTTGACATAACCGCTGTACAACGGACAGGTCTTTTCATCGGCCATGGCTGCCATGTTGAACTTGGCCTGTATCGTGGCCGAGTCTCCAGGAGCCAGTTTAAGCGAGGTCTGACTGAGTTCTACTGTCGCTCCTTCTGTGTTATGCACGCCTGCAAGGAACTGTGGTGTGGCCTGCTGAGATCCTGCGTTTGCTGCAAACGGAACGATAATTCTGTCCGGGCCGAGTGTCTGCACCGTTGCAGCGGAAATTGAGGACAAGTCATAAGAAGCACTCTCTTTCCCCACATTGCTGATCGTGAAGGTCACATCTTGATAGGCTTGGGTGTCGTTGAAGTTCAGAAAGGAGACGGAAATCTTGGTCTGAGACTCCACAGCTGCGACGACATTGACCAGGCCGCCTCCCTGCTGCCAGGCTGGTGCCAGAAGATTGTCGATATTTTTGGTTCCATCACTGAAAAGCACAGGAGTGGCGGTGTGTATAAGCGCACGCACGGCTTCTTCAGCCGACCAGGTGGGATAGACCGAACGCAGGAGTGCGATACAGCCGGCAATATACGGAGCAGAAATGGAGGTCCCGGAGTGAGTACCATAGCCTCCTACGGACCTTAGCTGCGCGGACCAAACGTTACCACCAGGTGCCAGAACCGAAGGGAACAGAGAAAGATCTCCAGTCGGACCCCACGACGTGGGAGTGTACATTGATCCGGGGTTGGGGTTGGGCTGTGTTCGTACTTCTGGCAGGAGGGTGAATTTGGAATCCATCTCCAGCGTCATATGGTCTGCTTCTGCAAAGATCTTGGCCAGTTGATCCCCCGTTTCCGCAAGTAGTGATCCTGTGCCCTGGATGCCTTTATACGAGTTGCCGTAGAGGTAGAGATCAAAAGGGTCCGTCGTGTGATTGTCATAGACCACGGCGTGCGCTGCTCCACGAGCGACAATGTACGCCATTTTCTGCTCATAGGAACATCCACCTCTGCGCATAAGCACAATCCGACCTTTGAGACTGTCTGGTGCGGCTGTATCGTTCCCACAAGCATCATTTTCAATCGAAGTATCGGGCGACAGAACAGCCAATGGGAGCGATTCAGGATACTTTGATGGGAAAGCCGGCTGCCACTCAAACTCGAACGTATGTTCCTCCCCACCCTTTGAGTAAATCGCCCTGGCCTTGGGATTACTCCGCACCACATGAGCACTGTTCACCGCACCAGCACCAATGACACCAGCAGCACCCACAGGCGACATGGTCCCAAACGGTCCCGCCGATCCTGAATTACCAGCAGAAACCACAAACAACGTCTTCGACTCCGCCGAGATCCTGCTCATCACCTCCGACACCAGCTCGTGCGGAAAGGGTCCATTACTCGTCCCAAACGACATGGAAATGATATCCGTCCCTCTCGATTGCGCTAGCAAGAGCGCCTCAATCAGCACCGAATCGGAAAATCGACCAGTGTCCGAACATCCTGAGACGCGGTAATGGTCCAGCGTGGCTCCCGGTGCAACTCCAACAAACCCAACAGCCTGCTGTTCACCCACGACGAGCGCGGAGGTGTGTGTGCCATGGATTTGGCAGTCGACGTATGGATCATCATCTGGATGAGGAGTGTTTGCGCCGTTGAAGTCGTCTCCGACCATGTCTGTACCATGTCGAAGGGGAGAAGTATCTCGATGATAGATATTGCTGGCATTGGCTACGAAGGCCGGATGCAACGTGTCCAAGCCGGTGTCGAGGATTGCAATGGAAATTCCCTGACCTACCATTCCTCGGGAGTGGAGGATATTCACGCCGGTGAGTTCATGGAGGGCATCGAGTTGTGGTGGTATCGTGGAGTTTTCTCCATCTCGTTTATATTCTTGCGTAGTCTTTTCGGCGAATGATGATGATGATGATGGCAGCTTCGACGAGGAGCGGCGGCTCAGCTCATCATTCGCTGCTGCTGCTTGCGATCTCTTCTCCAGACCATCTAACGATTCCGACGATGTAGAGCCCAAATCCCAGAAACGAATAAACTGTGGAAACTCGAATTGGAGCTCGTCCGCCAAATCTTGCAGACAGGTATTAGGCTTCAATTGTCCCTGATATTCCAGCACCAGACCACGAAAGATCTTGCTCTGTTCCAGAAAACGGTGCTTGACGATCAATGGTGTGCTAGCATCGAAGTACTGAGGCGAGACGTTATCGAGTATGGCTGTGAAAGCTTCAATGTTCTGCTCCACACGAAAATAGTTAGTTGGTGCGGGCAAGCAGGCCGACAGACAGGTGTTTCAACAACAACATACACTCGATACCTGTAGCTCCGAAACGAGCAAATGGCACTGCACGCCAGCTATCCAAGCTGCGATGCAAACTCCGAAGTAGGTCGTCCATTTAGGAGATAACATCTTGTCCTTTTTTGTATTTTTTTTTATATCTTTTTTCGCAAAGCAATGAAAAAAAAGCCCCAAATCGGTTGGTTGGTTGGTTGTATCGCCGTTTTCTTTTCTTTTTTTTTTGAAACAATCTTTCTCGATCGGTGTGGTAGATGTGTTGTTTTGAAATCAGAAAATACCTAAATGAGCGACGACACCAAAACCATACCTCATTCCAATGTTATCACTGAAGAGGACACACTGAAATCGATGGTTTTGGTTTTTTTAGTTGGGTTAGGTTTTGGTTTTGGTTGGATGAGTGGGTGGAAATGAATGGAATTATATCAACATCGACGAACACGAAGAACACGAAGAAGAAGAAGAAAAAGACCTCTCCCGGACCGCATTAATTGTAAAAATAAAAAGTCAGTCCAAGTCTGTAATGGACGCCGGGGACGGCACCGGATCAATCCCCTTTCCCTTCCTCCAAGAGCAGAAAAAAAAATCAAAATTTGGGACCGTACACAGAAACACTACCTACCTTACGAAGAGAGAAAAGAACAGTTCATCCTGCTCTGAAATAAAGAAAAAGAAAGGAATAAAAAAAAAATACGAACAGATTGAACATGGACGTGGCATGTGAGGCGATCGATGGTTTGGCCCTACTGTAGGTACCTTTGGACATACATCGTGCACCCTGGGTCAGGTACAGTAAGTGAGTTTGAGTAGCCGGCACTTATTACCTACCGTACCTAGCCGTTTCCGCATCGTACAGACAAAACTGTAAAGACAGGGATTGATGGGATAGAGAAAAGTTTCTCAATTCATTTCAATTTTTTTGTGGTACAATCGGGGAGAGAAAAATCCGGAAAGGTTCTTAAGAGGAGGGAGGGAGGGGAAGTGAGCTGTATTGTACGAGATGTGTCTGTGAGGAGTAAAGTGAAGAGAAAGTGAAGGGAAAGCAAAGAGTTCTCTTTTTTTTTGAGCTGGAGATAAGGTTAAGATTAGAATACCCTTACATATAACCGTTAAAACGGGGCAACACCCAAGTATGCATTTACGACGAATTTAAGGTCTGCTGCGGCTTCGTGTTGTGTGTGTGATTTCCGTTTTCTGTTCTTTTGTTCTTTGACATGACGAACCGTACGGTATCTCAATTGATCATTTATTTATTCATTCATTCATTCATTCATTCGTTCATTCATTCGCACATCTATCTTCTCTCTCCGACTTCGTCTATACAACCTAGCCTTCATGGAAATCGCCAGCTACCTCATCGCCCAACGACGCCCGGTCAGACTGGTTCCAAACAAGTGTCTGACTGTCTAGGAAACCCTTGAGTTCAAAAAACCCTGGCGTCTGATGAAGAAAATTGAGAGCCGAGGTAACCCAGGATAATGTAGGATTCTAGAAAAAAGACAAAAAGAAAACTTGTTAAAAAAAGAGAGGAAAAAAAAAGCTTGATGAGAGGGACAAGTCTAGAATCTAGATTTCCCTTACCTCCTATTAGAAGAACACTGCGTCACGGAACTGGAGCGATAGATACAGATACATTGGGCTGTGGGAACTACACACGTCTGCAGAGATGACGGGGACAGCTTCAAGTTTGCGGAGGAGAATGCACATAGCAGTATAGAGTTGGGGGTAATTGACGATGCGTAGACTTGTGAGAGCCGTCTGCGAGTTCATGTCGTCGATATAAGTTAGCCATTTAATGCACGTGCGGATATTCGACAACACTTGTATAATTTATCGTGCGAAAATGGTCTGGTAGAGTGAGCTTCTTCGCTGTACGACTCTCTCTCATCCCACAGATACGGTACCCGAACTTTTTTCAATCTATGCTCGGTACTGCGAACGACTGGGCCAGGTGCCTCGCTCGATCCGATATAGCACATCGCCATCTGGCGTCGTACGCCATATCTCCGTTGGTAAGCTTGCGGCTCTGAGGCCTCATATCGCTCGTAGGCTTGTCTCTCTTGCGAAGGTCGAACACGTGCCTGGATCAATTGCTTGACTGTCGTCGGCCCATCTTGTGGCGGGATCTGAGTCGCCACTATGCGTATGTCCGGAGTTTCAAGGCGGATGCTGCCAAAGGAAGTCCAACAAGTGAAAGGAGTACATTTGGAGGTGGGTAGAATAGAGTAGAGCAGAGGAGTTGTTGGTGTGATAGGAGGCAAGTATAGTATGGAGCGGGAGCGGGAGACCGTCGCGGGCCGCGCCACATCGCTTCTCCGACTAGCGCGATGCATGATAAGTTTTGGTGAGCAGCTCAAGAAAACTTCTCGGTCAGATCCAACACGTTCGACGACAACTATGGCTGAAGATCGCGTCAAAAGGAGAAAGCTGAGCCACGACGGTGGAGAGAAGATCAAAAGAGTGAAGAGCGCGACATCAGCGACAAGAGATGTAAGCGACAGCAAGAAGAAGAAGCAGAGAAGGCCGGTGGAAGAGGCGGAGGAAGAGGAGGAAGAGGAGCAAGAGGAAAAGGTCGCACAGGCAGAGGCGGAAGGCGAAGGAGAAGGGAAAGGAGAAGAGGAGGGAGAAGAAGAGGGAGATGGAGAAGAGAAAAGGCCGAAGACATTTGCAGAACTGGGAGTGCGCGAAGAACTATGCGACGCTTGTATATCTCTCGGCTACAAAACACCCACTGCCATTCAACGGGAATCCATACCCATCGCACTGCAAGGGAAAGATGTGATTGGGTTGGCAGAGACGGGATCGGGAAAAACTGCTGCGTTCGCCCTCCCCATCCTCCAGGCTCTTCTGGAAAAGCAGGACCACTACTTTGGCCTCGTCCTAGCACCCACACGAGAGCTGGCCTACCAAATATCCCAGCAGTTCGAGGCACTCGGAAGTCTCATCAACGTCAAATGTGCCGTCATTGTGGGAGGCATGGACATGACGCCGCAACAGATTGCACTTGCCAAGAAGCCACACATTATCGTCGCCACACCCGGCCGGCTCATGGATCACCTCGAGAACACGAAGGGCTTCTCGCTCCGCAAACTGAAGTACCTGGTCATGGACGAAGCCGACCGACTTCTCGATCTCGACTTTGGGCCCATTCTCGACAAAATTCTCCAGGTGCTCCCACGAGAACGCCGCACCATGCTCTTCTCGGCCACCATGTCGACCAAGCTGGACAACCTCACACGTGCAGCGCTCCAATCTCCGGTGCGGGTATCCATATCCAGCTCCAGCTATCAAACCGTCAAGAACCTGAAACAGAGCTACATCTTCATTCCCCACAAGTTCAAGGACATCTACCTCGTCTACCTCGTGAACGAATTCGCGGGGCAGACGTGCATCATCTTCACTCGAACCATCAACGAAACGGCCCGAATTGCCTTCCTCCTCCGCGCTCTCGGTCGCAGTGCCATTCCTCTGCACGGCCAACTCAATCAGTCGGCGCGTCTCGGGGCTCTGAACAAGTTCCGTGGGGGTTCACGAGATATCCTTGTCGCCACCGACGTCGCCGCCCGCGGTCTCGACATTCCCTCGGTGGATCTTGTGCTCAATTACGACTTACCACCCGACAGCAAAACATATGTGCATCGCGTGGGACGCACGGCTCGCGCAGGAAAAGCGGGAGTGGCCATCTCCATCGTGACACAGTATGATGTGGAAGTATATCAGAGGATTGAGAAGGCATTAGGCAAGAAATTGGCGGAATTTGGCACGGAGAAGGACGAAGTCATGGTGTTTGCGCAGAGGGTGCAAGAAGCGCAGAGGGTGGCGGTGCAGGAAATGAAGAATGAGCATGAGAAGAGAGGGAACAAAAAGGGGCAGGGCATTTCGGGCGGCCGAGGCAAAGGTGGAGGGGGGAAGAGGGATCGGGATGGGATGGATGCTGAAGAGGGTTGATGTCTCTGTCAAAACTCAGTGGAGGATGTACAGGACTACTTATTTTCTTTTAGCCAAAACAGAGCATTCACAACGCATGCCTCGTGGGCATCTTCAACTATTCTCTCGAGATACGAACAATACCATGTTAATCTCTCGGTTTTGGTATTCAAGGCAGCGAGAGTGACACAGTGAGAATGTCTACGGTAGACTATATCCACGTTTGCGACAGTACATGGGAACTCCGACTATTCTCTTCCATTGACCTCGGCCTCACGCACTGCTCCCAGAGGCGGTAGCAAGAACATCCTCGCTGAAGCAGTCAGCACAAGAACATGCACTCACTGTAGGTCGTCTGTCTCCATCATCAAACACGTCCACCACCTCTCACCTAGACAACACACACTGGCACCGGCGCCGGCATGGCAGGTCCCGTGCGGCAGCCCATTGACGAGGCAGCATTAGAGCGATACTTGAACACACACGTGCCCGAGATCCAGACTCCCATTGACCTCCAGCAGGTATGGCTCGTTGTCGACGGATGAGGAGTGACAGGAGAAGGAGGAAACACAACGCTCACCGGATCACACACAGTTCGGCTTTGGCCAATCGAACCCGACCTATCTCATCACCGCCGCCGACCGCAAACGATATGTGCTTCGCAAGAAGCCCCCGGGCACCATCTTGAGCAAGACGGCACATCGCGTCGATCGCGAATACAAAGTCATTGCCGCCCTGCAAAACACCGATGTCCCCGTACCGAAGACGTACGCGCTCTGCGAAGATGACAGCGTCATTGGCACGCCCTTTTATGTGATGAGCTTCCTCGACGGACGATTTTTCAAGAATGCAGCCATAGAGGGCGTGAGTGGAGAAGAGAGAAGGGAGATGTGGCGCGATGCGGTGCGGACACTGGCCAAATTGCATCGTCTCCAACCGCGAGACATTGGACTCGAGAACTTGGGCAAACCCCACGGCTTCTACAACAGACAAATCCGCACATTCCAGACGCTAGCGCAGTCTCAAGCAGCAGCCCAAGACGTCGACTCGGGCAAAGCAGTCGGCCAACTCCCTCACTTTTCCTCCTTTATCGACTTCTTCAGCCGCGAATCCACGCAACCCGTGGATCGCGCCGTGCTCTTCCACGGAGACTTCAAAATCGACAATCTCGTCTTCCACCCGACTTTGCCGCGCGTCATTGGCATTCTCGACTGGGAAATGGTCACCATCGGCCACCCTCTCGCCGATCTCACCAACCTCCTCTCCGCCTGGACCATTTCCAACGCCACGCCTTCCTGGCCGCGCAAACACGCCGATCCCGCTTTTCTGGCCCCTTCTCACCCTCTCAGCACGAGGAGCACCGCCGACTGGCCCGGTCTGCCCACGTATGCCGAATGCATTACCTGGTATCGACGGGATTCCGGGTGGGAGATTTCTCCACGAGATCTCGCGTGGGCGACGGCATTTGCGCTGTTTCGCGATGCGATTATTTTTCAGGGCATTGCTGCGCGGTATGCTACTCGGCAGGCGAGTTCGGCTTCGGCGCAGGAATATGCGGATGAGAGGGGACCGTTTGCCGAGATGGCGTTTGTGAAAATGGAGGAGGCGAAGGTGAGTAGTGGTGGTAGTGGCAATCAGGCGAAACTGTAGATTTTTTTTTTCTTTTTTTCTTCGTCGCTATCGGCTCGTATAATCAATCAGTTTTCTAGAACCAAAATAATACAACCGACATAACGCCATCACATGTTCGATAGTACCACCCGTTTTTTTTTTTTTTTCTTTTTCAGTGGGTCCCTTTTTTTTCTTTCGAAACTCCAGTCCCATTCTGATTCTCGCTTCCTGATTCTCGGGATTTTACACAAGAACTAATTGATCTAGACCATGGGCTTTTCGGCTCTTTTTCTGCCGCGATATCAGGAGATTCATCTCTCTATATTTTTATCTCTCTCTCGTTTGTTGCGACTGCTGGCGTGATGTGCCGTTTCATCCGTCTGGTCGTGGTGATGGTGGATCTCTCGTGGTATGTATGGATATATGTATGTATGGTGGATAAGTGGGTGGGTGGGTTTTGTGTAATGAGTGAATGAATGATTGGAGTGAGGTGAGGTGAGGTGAGGTGAGGTGAGTATAAAAAAGAGATGCGCTGCTGCTGCTGCTGCTGCTGTTGTTGTTGTTGTTGTTGTTGTTTTTCTAGTATAGTCTAGTCGGTCGACTCATCAGTACACGGGACAGGACAGGACAGGATAGGACAGGATACCAGTTAAAGTCCAGTCCCTAGTCCCAGTCCAGAAGAAGAAACGAGGAATAAGAAATACTTGAGGGTACTTTTGTCTTTTTTAATATTTTACTTTTGAGATTTTAATGTTTTGATTCATGTTTGTCCAACCTGCTCTCTATCCTGTGGATTTTTCGGTTTTACCTCCGAGTCCTACTGGGAGGAAGAAGAAGAAGGGGAAGGTGATGGAGATGGAGAAGCAACATCAACATCAACAGCAACAGCAACAGCACTTGAAAAACCACAGCAACAACAATAATGAGCAATGCAACAAGAACAATGAAAACCGGCCTGAGAAGGAGATGACGATCATGGTTCGAATTCTCACTACTACGACTGATGATGATGAGGACAAAAAGAAGACGAAGAAGGAGAAAGAGAAGGAAAGGGAATGGCCCCTATGGACTCTCAAATGGTTTACACATCAACATCGCCATCGCCATCGAACTCCCCCAGCAACACAAGCAATCGTATGTTATGTCCCTCCTCCTCATCCTCCTCGGCAACAAAAATTCCATGACTGCAATCCATCAATCACTTATGCTGATATTTTAAATCTTACACCCTCTTTTAGGAAAATCGCCGCTTTTTTGAACTTGCTCGATCATATGATATTGTGGAGCCTTTGGTTCCGCTTCTTGTTGGGGAGAAGAAGAAGAAGAAGAAGAAGATGCAGAGGGGAGAGGGCGTTGGGTTGATGCTGGATTTTGGGGCGTTGGCGTAGAAGGGGTGGAGGGATGGAGGGATGGAGGGATGATTGAATGATGAGATGAGAACTGATGTTGTGTAATGAATGGTAATAATGGTAATGGGAGAATGGTAGTTAATATGATGGGATGGAATAGCGGAAGAAAGGGGTGAGGAAAATTGACTCAGTCGAATTGGAGAGGAAGAGTAGGGGTTCAAGACATGAATGAATAAGGTATGAAATATGAAATATGAATGTAAGAAGGAAAAAGAGGAAAAGAATTGAATAACAATCAGCGAGTGAAGGAACTACTTTACCTACAACAACAAAGTCGGTACCTTAACCCACAACCCAGAATTTTCCACTCCTCCTCCCCTTCTCTTGCTCTTCTTCTCTTCTTTTGACCTTTTCACCTTTCCACCTCTCACTTTTTCCCTCCTTTCCAAAAATTCCCCAACTTCTCATACCAACAACCCTCCACAACCGAATTTCCTACCTCCCAAAAATCTTCTTCTTCTTCTTCATCTTCTTCCACCACCACCCCTCCCGGAAATTCCTCTCCATCGAAATAATACTAAAAGTAAAGTAGGTAAATAAGTAAATGTGCAAAAAACAGCCGTTTATTATTTTATCGCCACACCCATTTTTTCCTTTCCTTTTCTTTCCTTTTCTTTTCTCTTCTTTTCTTTTCTCTCTTACTCACACACACGCGCGCTAAGCAGGGACAAAAGTCAAAACTTACAATTGACAAATTCTGCGAAATCCCTTTTTCTCTCAACTCTTCATTTCGAGGACTTGTATTTTCTACGTATTGTAAATCTTCTTGTTTCGCTGTGGTTAGTTTGTAATGTTCTGTTCTTAGCCAGGAGGAGGAAGAAGAAGAAGAAGAAGTTGGACTGTTGTGATTTTTCTTGTTGTTGTTTTGCGATGATGAGAGGATTTTGGAAATGAGGTTGTCGTGTTGTTGTTGTTGTTGTTGTTCATAATCGTTGAGGGAGGGGGTTTCTGGTGGGTTGGTTGGGGACGTGGTTCCGATTATGAGTATATAGGTGGCTTGGCCTGGAGGGGAGGAATGGGGTTATTGTTAGTGGATTTTGTTACCTGGGAATGGAAGGAGGGATAGAGAGAGGGAGAGAAACTGACTTGGACTAGAATTCGAGGCCTCCCGTTCGAAAACTTGTACAGTTTTGTAACATCTGATGTCTAGACTCAAGGAGTCGAATACCAGACCGGATCCGGGGAATTTTTCATCGAAGACGGATATTGCTGTATTGGAAAAAAGAGGCATTTTGTTAGTGGGGAGATGAGGATTAATAACAAGAACAAAATGAAAAAAAGGGGAAGGGTTTAACATCTTCATCAACCCAGACTCTCTTTACTTCTCCTTCTCTTCTTCTTCTTTCCTTCTCCTTTCATCTTTCTCCTCTTTCTCCTCCCCCCCCTCTCTCCCTCCCCTCAAACACCCAAAACCTCTACATATACTCACTCTTAAACTCCTCCGACCCCAGAAACTCCACATCCCGCAACGGATATGTATTCAAAAACGGTCTTTCCCCTTTTCCATCCTCTTCTTCTCTTCTTGATCCCCTTCCTCTTCCTCTTCTTCTAGTATCTTTCATGATTTTCCACCGATACGCTTCTTCAAATCCACTGGTCTGAAAAATGTCGGGAATATGTCTTTGATTATACCATTCGTGAAAGGTGGCCTCGGATAGTTGGGGATGGGTGATGCGGGAGCTGACGAAGAAGAGGCCGGGGGTTGTAGTAGTAGTAGTAGTGGTAGACATTCTTTTTTTTTCTTTTCTTTTTCTTTTTTCTGGAAGTGGAATAGGAGACAAAGAAGAAGAAGGATTTGAGTACTTTTCTTTTCTGGCAGTAGTGTTGTCGGTATGAAATGATAATAATGAAGTTTTCTGATCGTCAGCTTTTTTTTTGTGTACAGGTATGTTTTCTAGACGAGATATTGGAATTCTACGGAAGACTCGGTGGTTGGAGCATGAATATGGCAAGGTGGCCCATGGCTGATATCCTAGTCCAGCGTCTCAGACTGGAACTGAGAGTCTTGGATAATGGATATACTGCTGTTGCTGCTGCTGACTACTTTTGGATGGGAAGTCTGTCATCAAGACTTGATCGAGGTCATTATCGTCGGTATAGAATGCATACTCGGGTCGTGTGCCGCGCTGTTTTCAAGGGGTACAATATTGGGGAATTATACTAGGAGGCACAGTACATGTCTAATAAGTCGAGTCAGGGGCCACTACTGTCGTCAAATCGTTGTTGTTATTTACGGCTCGGCACGGATATCGGATTCCCGAGTGAATTGAAGAACAAGATGCTGACTAATCACAGCTTTGCCGTGTATGCCGACTATAATTATTATGTACCTGGTGTACTTTGGTATATTGCCCTGCAGCGGCCGACGGCCTCCCTCCTCTCTCTCCCATTCACCTCATTGTCAGTCTGTTACTGACTTTATCCCCCCATCAGGAATCCAGCATTATTGCCATGCCCGAGGTTGTCAGCTTCCGCAACCCTGTTCGATCCTGTAGAGACCCATGTCAGGTGAAGGATATATCCCTCAGCTAAGAGCTGTTGGTAAGTGAAGTTGTTCGTAGGTCAGAAAGGGAGTAGTAGCTTTCACTCGGCTTCATACCCATTATTATCTCAAGAAGACAGGATGATACACACTTCCCCTTTTCCCGATCTCAATATCCCCAAGGCAAGTTTACAGAGTCACAGCTCTCTTCCCCCCTACTCCCTCCCAGACGAGACTAATCAGCCGACGACATTCAGGTCAATGTCCTCAGTTATCTCTTCCCACAGGACCAAGTGCCCTCTGATGAGCCTGTATGGTACGACGCTGCGAATCCACGGAAAAATGTCAGTCCCCGACAGATGCTCTCCTGGATCAAGAGAGTCATCATTGGCCTCGATCGTCTGGGTCTGAAGAAGGGCGAAGTCTGTCTCATCCACACTCCCAACCACACGCTGGTTCCCGCCGCCTATTTGGGCATTGTCGGTGGGGGAAGATGCTTCAGCGCCATCAATCCCATCTACACCGTCGACGAGATTGTGCATCAGATGAAGCTCACGGATGCGAAAGTGATTCTGGCACATCCGTTGCTGGTGAAGAATGCCGTGGCAGCCGCGAAGAAAGCGGGCACCAATCCCAAGATATACCAGTTTACGGATGACGAGGCACCGTTGCAAGAGATGGATGGAGTCAAGGACTGGCGTGCAATGCTCGGTACTGCTGCCGAGGCTGAAACATATCGCTGGAAAGAGTTGACTGCTGAAGAATCGGTCCGCACGGTTGCCACGATCAACTTTAGCTCGGGCACGACCGGTCTGCCCAAGGGAGTCATGATTGGACATCACAGCCTGATTGCCAATGTCGAGCAGACAATGGCGACCACATGGCCGCAACACAATTTCACCAAGGGGGACAAGGTCAAGGAGAGATGGATCGGCTTTCTCCCTCTCTACCACGCCTACGGCCAAATGTTCGCCATCATGATGGCCTGTAAACTCCACGTGCCCATCTACATTATGCGCCAATTCATCTACGAAGACTTTCTCCGCGTCATTCAAGACTACAAAATCACCCATGTGCAAGTCGCCCCGCCCGTCCTGGTCATGATGGCCAAGCGACCCGAGACTTCCCAGTACGATTTACGCTCCATTCAAGAGCTTCTCTGTGGCGGAGCACCTCTGGGCAAAGATTTGCAGAATGAAATTTCTCGCAAATTCCACTGTTCGGTCAAGCAAGGCTGGGGCATGACCGAAGTCACCTGCGGCTCCATTCGCCAACTCGAATCGAGCGATAATGGCACGGTGGGAAAACTCGTTCCCAACACGCATTTGCGTCTCGTCGACGAAAACGATCGAGATGTCGGTTGGGATTCTCCGGGGGAAATGCTCATTCGAGCTCCCAATGTCATGCTCGGATACTGGCGTAACGAATCTGCTACGAGAGACGCTCTGACTCCTGATGGTTGGCTTCGCACGGGAGACGTCGCTGTTATCAACAAGGAAGGCTATATCTGGATTGTCGATCGCAAAAAGGAATTAATCAAAGTCAATGCTCTACAGGTCGCTCCTGCTGAACTCGAGGGGATTTTGCTCGATTGTGAATATGTTGCTGATGTCGCTGTTGTGGGCATCACTATTCATGATGAGGAATGGCCTCGCGCTTATGTCGTTTTGACCGAAGGTGCGCGGCAGAAGAAGATTTCTCCGGCGGATATTCAGATGTGGTTGAGACCGAGGGTGGCGAAACATAAGGCTTTGGTAGGGGGTGTGAAGTTTGTGAATGAGATTGTAAGTGATTTTTTTTTTCTTTTTTTTTGGAGAATGTGTGTATTGTTACTGACAATTCTTTTTTCTTTCTTTGGTTTCCAGCCGAAACTCATGTCGGGCAAGATTCAACGTAAAGTTATGAAGGAATGGTCGAAGCGAGATGCACCCGAGGTTGCGAAGGGGTTTGTTCGGTCCAGACTGTAGGATATATCTTGTGAGTATTAAGCGGGATTTTGTATGGATGAATGAATGAATTGTTGTATGTGTACCACGCTGTGTACCCTCTCCTCTTCTCTCCTCTTCTCTTCCTTATCGCATTGTCATATCTTCACCGACTGTCGCTACATCCTCAATCTCCTATTCCACACCATCCTCTTCCACATCACTGTCAAGAAGACATTATCAGCTGAAAGGTATAGTAGGTAAGTTAAATGAAGGTTACATACTTATTAAAGATGTTCGCGGATGATATTGATGACGAAACGATGGCGCGCGACTGGCTGACTGGCTGAATGGTTTGCTGACAGTGACGATGACAGATACACACATTACGCGATATGCCCGATGATGTGAGGGCTCGTCTGGATGGGGGTTTGTTTCACGGCATGCGAGAACGGGAGGAGAAGACAAAAAAGGGGGGCGGGAAGAAGTTTCGATCGATCCGATTGCACTCACTCACTTACTCAACTCTGGTTATTAAATGTTGTTAAGAAAGATCGAGGACTATAAAGCCATCCTGTGTCACAGAGCAGTATGCTATTCTATTACTGACTACTATTTACTCAAACTACTCCAGACAACCAACAAAACTTCCCATCCCATTCCAGCAAACCCTCACACGAGCAAAGAGAGTACCCTAAGCGCCGGTGGGCGTACACAACAAGGCAAAGAAAGGTAAAAGTAGTGCCACGAGTACAGCGTCACAATGTACACATGTACATATACAACAGTACAAAACAACTCACACCCAGTTGCGTCCACGGGCATCCGGGTGAATCCTGGTCCTACTGTACTGTACAAAGTGTACATAGTGTACATCCCTAGCTTTCTCCAATCGGATTGCGATGATTGTGGACTTTTACCTGGTCGGTCATGCGGACTGATTGGCAAGACAATTAATCTATTCTCGGTGAGGAGGTGGGTGGGTGGGTGGGAGGGTGTGTGGAGGTGTGATGATTTGGAGGAGGAGGAGGAGATGCAGTTCTTATGCACAGCCACTGGGGTTTTGTGTTTTGTGTTTGGGAAAGGGGGGGAAATATGTACGGGGACCGAGAGAGAGAGGGAGGGGGAAGGAGAGGGAGAGAAGGGAGTTTCGCGAAATGATGGGGGGAAGTATGAGCAGGAAAAGCAGCAAAGGAGCGGTGTTCTTCTCTCGATTTTGTTCTTCTTTCTTCTTCTTTCTTCTTCTTCTAGACTTTGTCAATAGATCGCAACATACATTGTATGCAGACAATAGTCTAGTAGACTCTCTTGATGAGATAATTAGTCCTCGCTTAAACAAAACAAAAATTGCGGAGTAACAAACAAAAAACCTGGAGAAAAAATCCGGGGTAACAAGAGTACTTACAAGGATATATAAATGTATACAAGTACACGACAAGGATAAATACAGCACAACACATTCGCATTTGCTCTTGGGTTGTGTGATTGGCGGACTTTTGTCGCTCATCACACATTTGTACATTGTTACTGTATATATGTATACATGTACAAGTCAGGTCAGCCTGGCAGATTCTGTAACACGACATGAATAATCCTGGACGCTTACCCCGCGATTACTATGTCCATGTATGTATGTACTCACTATACATGAACGTACCTGTTGCTTGGTTGGTTGATGGATAGGGTGGGATCATGTATGGGTGGTGATAGGCGATGGCCTGATGCTGATGCTGATAGAGATGAAAGAGGGGGGCGCGTGACCGTCTCGCTGACCATGGCAATGTCTGTCTGTCTGACGGGGGATATATGCGGGCGCTGATCTCCTCTCTCCGCTCTGCTCTCCTGATTTCTCTTTCGATCTGTTGGTTTTGCCTACTACTGGTAAATACTACCGAAATCTCCACTCTCCACTCATCAACAACAACAAAAGAAGCAACAAATCAGTCAAACAACTCTTACCATTCCATCCCATACTCCAAACATAACCAATACTGTCTGATTCTGTCTCAAAATGATCTCCCCCGTCGGCGTCGGAAGCAACAACCTACTCTACAAGAGTGCAGCTCTCTACGCCACCACGACTGCTTTCGTGGCTTTTTGGATCGGTCTGAGAATGCCGCTGCAAAACAACAAATCTGGACCGTATAATTACCACAAGATTGTCAAGCAAGGAAGGAGGATTCCGTGGAGGCGTCTGCCAAGGATTGCTTAGATGGAGATGACTTGTGTGAGAAGAAGTGGGAGGAGGACGCGAGAGAGGTATGTTTCGTAGTGTGGTGTGGTCGTTGTGGAGCTTCTTGTCGAGGAGGCAATGATGATGATGATGATGTTGATGATGATGCTGACAAGTCTGTTGGGTTAGGATAAAGCATCTCTTCACGTCAGCGATCGAAGTTTGATACATATACACCACCACCACTATCATAGCTTGCATCCCGTCTTCTTACCATCTGGTCACCATTACGACGAACGATTTCGGGCCGACCGTGGTCAATTCGTCGATACCGTCTTTCATTAAGCAACAATACCCCCTTACCTTACGAACTCTCAGCCCGCCACGCCCAGAACGAGTAGTGGAGGACACTCCGGTTTTCAGATTGCGAAACCCACCTACCTACCGAAATCTGCCCAAGTTTCACTGAGATTTGGATCACCTTCTCGATGGACGATACGACTGCGGATCGTCAGTCGGGGAGAAATCGTGGAGCTGTTCTTCTTTGCTGCTGCCTGTTCTACTACGTTTAGCGCAGCTTTTTTCATGTATGTATGACAGGAGTAGTTATTGTGAATACAACACTGTTGTCACACTCAATTTTCCTTTCCCTATACTGTGAACCTGTGCGGTCGTGGTCAATGTAGTGGGTGGAAATGGTGCTGTACACAGCAAGATTCTACATGAGCACGAGGCCCGCTCTTCAACTGTGTCGGGGCATCGTGATGGATGGCTTGGCCTCGTGTTGGTTGCAAACAATCACGTACGCTGTTTTTGTCAAAGCTGAGGGACTCAACGCCGGTGAACGAGATGTTCAGCTGACACTGCTCTCTTGAGACTTGCGCTCCTCCAACCCGCTGCCCGGCTAAACAGAATTTCTTGCTGGACAATATAGAAAGGTCGGCCAGTTGGATATCAATCTTGCATGCGAGGCATTTCTTCTAGCCGATAGAAGTCGACCAGAGTCGAATGGGATGTACTGCTTCAGCACACCTCTGTCTGGATCGGGCGAGGGTCAAGCATTCTGAGTGCTGTCACGATTCGTATTCAAGCTGACGCGGCTTTCGATTCGACATTTTGATAGGGGAATCCTAACATGGCACATTTTCAGTCGATCGTGCATATCTCTCTGCTGTAAGCTGTGTCATATTTCCTCACGCTGGGCCGAGGAATGACTCCGCTTTACCAGGATACCATACACTTCTCCAGCGTCATCTGCGTAGCTCCTGAAGAAGCGCAGAAAGCGGAAATCGTGTAGAACGAGATCAGAGGACTGCGCCACTGCACTCGATCGGCGGCGCATGGAGCATCGAAGCCAGAACGGCGAGTGACGCGGTGGCTTGAAATGGCGAGGCACCACAACTTGCATCTCCAGCCCTCTGGAAGTGTTCGCGATAGTCGATCACTGCAGTAAGTGCTGCAGTGAGTGATCCACCTTGGCACTAGTGTATGGCCCAAAGAACCTTGAACTTGCCGCAAGCAGAGAGATGCCTATTCCTGCCAGTGTCGATGTAGTCATCTGACATCTTCCACATAACCAAAGTTTGGCCCACAGAGCGGCCTGGAATCCCCAGGTGTGAACTCTTGAAGGTCGTAACGCCTCTTTCGCCGTATAGTAACGGCATGTCGAGGCCGAGAAGACCCAGAAGACGATAGGTCACGTCTTCACCACGCTTCGTACTGCGATGTCCGTCCCAGCTCATTCCGCAAGCTAGGCAATGATACTAAAATCTCGGGCAAAAGCCTCTCGGGATCATGTCAAATGGTTCATTGGTCGCCTGCACAACCACTCAAGTGCAGCACATTGAAGATTGATTGATCCTGACAGAGTCCAGCTGTGAGTGAACGAGCGACTTTCAGAAACGCTTCTTCGGCAAAAAGAGTATGATGCCTAAGTTGAACATGGGTGACGCGGTTCGTGGAACGCTGCCGAAACATCTGGATATCGGCTAGCAAACCGCCCCGATAACGCGGGTAGTAGTCTGCTATTGGCATACATCCGCGATCTCCGTTATACCAAGCTCATGTACCTCTGGAAGGAAGACCAGACAGACTGCAGACAATGCATCTCGTTGACACATGGGCTTGATAGCGTTGGATAGCTCGGCTGAGGACCTTTTGTCAATGCAAAATGTACCCATACAGGCCCGTTCCAGGTTCTGCCTTTCGTCTGGCGCTTTGTCTAGATCATGCCGTATATGGTCCATCCTCGGCGGGTTCGCATGATTTGACGAGCTTCTGGTACCTTAGACTATCCTGCTGACGTTCAAGAAGATATTCTTTTTGGTATGCCTGGGCCTAGAAAGTCCGTGACCTGCAGCGTAGTCGATTGTTGGTAGTCTGACAGGACAGCTGATTGACTGGAATTCGTCATGCAATACAGACCAGTATACGCAGGAACCGAAGTGAGGTGAAGCCACGGAATGAAGAGAAAGTGAAGTCGAGAGGGATAGAGGGCGCCGGCGAATTCAAGATCGGATTCGTAAGGCGGCAAACGGGCCGATGCGGCCGAGGCCGACGGCCACGCCGGTTCCCGAGAGACTGACCCAACATTGGCAGGGAGAGAGGTTGTATACGTAGCACCGCAGCACTGTTCTCTATACCAGGAACTACTTCGAGGCCATCGTTGCTGGTAGTGGCTGATCATCCTTCACCACCCACTGGCGCTCTCTCTCTCTCTCTCCCACCCACCATGACGAGGTAGCAGACATCCTTCTACAACCAGGATCAGGATCAGGATCAGGATATGGACATGAACGACGACGAAGACGACGACAAGTACGTTCGCTACGCGCACGTGCCCATTCCCTCCTACGAAGACGCCATCCAGCGTCCGAACTCATCGCAGAACCACGGCCAAGCTGAGCAAGAACGCGAGGGACTGCTGGACCAACATGGACGAACGCGCTCCTATCAGCCGCCGACGGCCGAATCGCCACGATCGAGCGAGGACAGCGACCTGAGATTGCCCGAGGTGGACGGCGACGATAATGATGAGCGACGACGAGTGGAAGAGCTCGACTATCTCGATCCCTCCACCGCCGACCCCGACTCCCGAAGAGCGGGCCTATACCATCGCTCCAGGATACGATCCAAGTTCAGCCAGCACCTGTCCAATCTGGGCGCCACTCTTTCCTCCCTCCGCTTGCCTTCTTTTCGATCTCTATATACCCCTGTACAATCAGAACTCGAACAAAACAACAACAATAACAACAACGAAAACGATCATGAAAACGAAAACTCCTCGGAGCCTCCTCGACGCTGGGCGTGGCTCTATCGACCGCTTCCATCCCTTCCCGTGCAGTACCGCATGGGTGCCGCGACTGCTGCGAGACTGTGCGGCCTCATGTCCATCGCCATTCTCATCTACGTCCTGTTCATTCTGGACGTCTTCCCTAACAGCGGCCGATATATCGGCACGCGCTTCGATCCAGAGTCGGTCCGATCATATGTGCAAGAGAACGTGGATGCTGCGCGAATTGAGGAGTACCTCTATCACATTACAGGCTACGATCATGTAGCAGGAACAGAAGGAGATCTGTACATGGCAGAATGGATGAAGGGGAAGTGGGAGGAAGAGGGGCATCTCGACAGTGTGGCCTTGCGCAGCTACTATGTCTATCTGAATTACCCGAAGCAGGACGGCCGGAGTGTCAGTATCGTGGCACCCGAGAACAAAAAGTGGAAGGCCAAGTTGGAGGAAGAAAGAGCCGATCCGGTGAAACAGCAGACATGGGCATGGCATGGACACAGCAAGAATGGATTGGTCGAGGGACACTTGATCTATGCAAACGGGGGCAATAGAGAGGACTTTGCCTGGTTGCGTGATCAAGGTGTGACGCTGAATGGAAGTATTGCCCTCATGCGATACTACAGCACGCAGGGCGATCGAGCGTTGAAGATCAAGGCGGCAGAAGATGCGGGCTGTATTGGGGCCCTGATATACTCGGATCCTACCGAAGATGGTTCTGTTCGAGGCCCAGTGTGGCCAGAAGGTCCCTGGAGATCCGAGGACAGCTTGCAAAGAGGAGGTGTCAGTCTGATGAGCTGGATCGCAGGAGATCCATTGACTCCCGGATATGCCAGCACCAAAGACGCCAAGGTCCACGACAAGGAGAATAACCCTGGCCTGGTCGGCATTCCTTCACTTCCACTATCGTGGCGAGACGCGAAAGTGCTGCTAGAGTCCCTCTCGGGGCATGGTGTGCAGGTTCCCAAAGAGTGGGTCGGTGGCGACAAATCCTTCACAAAAGAGTGGTACTCTGGCGCTTCCCCGGACAAGTCATCTGACACGCCGATCGTCAACCTGAAGAACCACAATGATGAGAACGACAAGCAACAAATTTGGAACCTGCACGGCCTGATTGAAGGTTTAGAGCAGCCGGAGAAGAAGATTCTCATCGGCAATCATCGCGACAGCTGGTGCTTTGGTTCTGTGGATCCAGGCAGTGGCAGTGCAGTCATGATGGAGATGGTCCGCATCTTTGGCGCACTGCGAAAGCTGGGCTGGCGGCCTCTGCGGTCCATCGAGTTCATCAGCTGGGATGCCGAAGAGTATAACCTCGTCGGCAGCACCGAGTACGTAGAAGACAACATGGAAGCTCTTCGCGAGGATGCCGTGGCATACCTGAACATCGATGTGGGTGTGTATGGTCCCGACCCCGTGTTCCGAGCTGCCGGCTCTCCAGTTTGGGAACGACCTTTGCTTCACATCCTCGACCGAGTGAACACCCCCAGCGGGTCTGCCACTCTCCGCCAGATCTGGGACGACAGGAAGTCAAAGCTCGAAGGGCTCGGTGCAGGTTCTGATTACGTCGCATTTCAAGATATGGCCGGCACGTCCTCTATTGACTTTGGCTTCGAAGGCCCGGAATACGGTTACCCCTATCATTCCTGCTACGAGACCTTCGATTGGATGAAGCGATTTGGCGACCCTGACTTTGGTTGGCACAGGACTCTTGGTCAACTCTGGGCTCTTCTCATTCTGGAAATTGCCGACCGACCCATCGTCCCATTCGATCTGCGCAGTTACGCTGATGCGCTGGATGGGCCATATCTCGACACGCTGCAAAACTACGCTACATCTCAGCTCCAGAAGCTCGGTCAGTCCACCCCCTCGGACAACAAGACCGAAATCGACATCTCCTCCCTCAAAGAAGCCGCCCAACACCTGAAATCTGTGGCCTCTCACTTTCACAAATTCGAAGACCTATGGACCACCAACGTGCTTGGCACAGGCGGTTTGGAAACCTCATCCTACGCCATCCGCCGTCTAGCCTACAATGACGCCCTCTCCACTTTCGAAACCGATCTCCTCGATATCCCCTCTTCACCACTGGATACAGACCAGCATGGTGTGCCGGGGCGAGAGCAATTCAAACATATTGTATTTGGCCCTCAGGCGTGGAGTGGATACGATGAGGCGTATTTTCCGGCGGTGAGAGATGCCTTGGACGTCGGGGATTGGGCGCTCGCGCAGAAGCAGGTGGACAAGGCCGCGGACATTTTGGAAAGAGCCATCAAAAGATTGGAGGGCAAAGGAAGGAAACTAATGTTGAAGTGAATAACATATCATCAATCAATTTTGTACAGGCAAAATGGGAAGAAGGAAATCGGCGACTGAGGGAAAATGGTTTTTTTGATTTCTTATCTTTTTTTCCCATATCGAGGACTTGTTGTCAGTCAGTCTCGTCGTATTTTCTTTTTTTGTATAGGGTTGAACGAACCATCACTCATAGCAGGGCGTAACGGCGTTTGTCGGTGCGCGGCTTTACTTCTTTTTCTTTTGAAAGCGAGCAAGTGTGTATCTTGTCGTGCGCATTTATCAATAATGAAAAGTCAGAATAGTGCACTATTTGCCTTTTGGCCTTTTTTTTTCGTTTGTTCCCTACCTAGGTACTTTACCTGGACAGACAGAGAGAGAGACTCTATACCTTACTTACCGTATTTATTGTCTTGTTTCTATCTCTGCTACCTACCTACCTTACGGTGATTCTCATATAGCCTGACTCAGAAGTTTGTTTGCTTGTCTGTCGATGGACGCCTGTTGCGCTAAAAAGTCAAGATCCGAATGTGTCTCTAGGCTCCCGCTCGAGCACGTCTCTACTTACTTTGAAAGGTCCCTCTCCGCGGCAACTCTCTCACACTCTCTTGACAGTGCTTTAGAATGACTGAACATCCAAGTACGGCTGAGGACAATCATCTAACAGTCACAGCTCAGACACCCGATGACAACCATCTCATCCCTGCTGAACACGCCGTCTTCAACACCACCGAACTGTGCGAACGAATCCTCACGCACCTACCAGTTAGAGCGATTATCGGAGCACTCCGAGTCTGCAAGCAATGGAAGGAATGCGTTGAGAATTCTCCCGGCATCAAACAGAAGCTTTTCATCAACAGCCAGCTTCCTGCCCACAGCTGGGACACCTACGGTCATGGGAAACACCAAGTCGGGCAGCGAATTGAAGATGCACCAGATACAAGTGGCAGCGTGGCAAAATTGAATGGGCTCTTGATGAGCAGCAGCCAGAATCGCAACGATAGCGGCGATGTACTTGTTCGCCCTGTACGGGTATCACCGCTGTTGCGCACCCGCGAGCCCTTTCCTCATATGGAGAAAGTTTACAGTTTCGATTGGACCGTATTCAGCACGATCGAGGGTTTCAGTACCAGTGCATCGGGTTTCGCTGCTTTGTCGTTCCTGACGGATCCACCTTGCCGTGAACTGAGTGTCGGTTTTACATGGTATTCCTTGTGCCCAGATACGCAGCTTGATGGTGGATTCGCAAAAGAATATCTATTGAGTTCGCAGGACGGATTGACTATTGCTCACATCATGCGTAGTGTGTTGTGTGACGAGAAATTTGCCCGCGACATGCGGCTTGTCAAGAGCTACGGGCATGAAAAATTCAAGATACAGGGGGTTGTCTATTTCCATCATCCATCGTAAATCTTGTGAAGGAACAGCAGTGGCGGCTTGCATTGGGGATCCAGCGGTCCTAGGATAATGAGACCTGCAAGAAGGGTTCTCGAGCCAGGATGCTGTAAGGCGTCGCAGGCTTTCCCACTGTCCGCAGTTATTGCCTAAGCCGCTAAACTGCAGGTCACCAGAATGCCACATTTGCAATCGATGGCGTCTCTGTTCGTAGTAGAGGCACGGCGTTCAGCTATAGTCGTAGCGTCTCTTAATCGAAAGTGTCCATGCATTCCGTTCCAAGCGCCGCACTCAACGTCAATCCATGTTCAACTGAATCCGCGACTGCTCACCAGAACTGGCAAGTCGTGAAGGCGTTCTTGTGACGGTAAGGAGTCACGACGCTGGCGGTGCCCTTGTGTCGCATGGCTATAGGGCCTGGCTGCTTCGCGTGGGCCTGGATCACCCAAATGCCAAATGCGGACCACTTGCTGAGGAGTTTCGCCTCGATGGCGGTCCTCGAGCAGCCCCTCTTCCTCTCGTACAGACTGACACGCTCTTGCGTATAGAAGCAGTAATAATGGATCAGGCGGGTGGTTCTGAACGACGAAAAGAGAGGTCGAAGTGATGGAGAAGAAGAGGTGCCAAGATGTGAAAGATGTGAAAGATGCGAAAGATGTGAAAGATGTGAAAGTGACAGAGATGGGGTTGGCGCCAAGCTTTAAACGCGAAGGAAGCGAAGGGCCGACCCGGGCTCGCGTCTTTCCCAGCCATCTCCAGCCTCGCGACGCGCATCCACAGATTCCACTCTCTAGCCTTCATACCACCCGCACCGCTTGACCAGCCTCCTCGACGCAAAAGATGGCAGTCTGTGTGGACAAAATGGCTCTTGATCCCTGGCCGATCTCTGCAACACATCCTGCACACCTCGCACGACATCGAAATCGACCGCCGTGAACGAACCGAACACTCCATCATTACCCGGCCAACGTATCACCATACCAGCCAGTCCTTTGGGCATCCCGTCGGAGAGGCATCAGTCATCTATACTATACCATACACACAGTACGACCGCGCACGAGCTGAGGGCTCCTGATAGCAATGCGCTTCGCCTCTGCCTCCATCCTCGCCGCGACCACATATCTCGCCGTCCGCGCACGAGCACTTCCACATCCAGCGCCAGCAGTAACATACAATGTGGTCGACGTGGGTGGTCCAACCGACACGCCTTCTCAAGTGCAGCCAGAGACGATATATGAGACTGTGCAGACCACTTTAGCAGCTCAAACGACCATCACAGAAGTTTCGACTGTCACTGCCGAAACGGCCATCACAACTGAAGAGCTTCCGACAACGTCGACGACGACCTCGAAGTGGACGGCGGTGATGGCAAGTGGGCCGCCGACGACATCCAGTCCTGCTAGCTCCGCTTCCACGAGCACGAGCACGAGCACGAGCGCAAGCTATAGCACATCGAGCTCAGCGTTGAACACTCCGTCAATTGCAGCGCACACATCAGTCACCTCAACAACGAGTACTTCTACCACATGCACCACATCGAGCTCTTCATCAAGCACGTCCTGGACTCCAGCAGAATCGAGCACAGAAGCTCCAGTGTCTCCATACACACCGGTGGCAACCGCTACAGCCACCCACACTGCCGACGATGGCTTCTACCACCCTCCCGGAGACAATGGCTCCTACCACCCTCCCGGAGATAATGGGAAATACTACCCTTTTACCCCTTCTGTGACAGCGTCATCGACCTCGACCAGACCGAGCTGCTCTTCGGGGATTGCCAAAGCTACCGGGTGGGCAGCACCCTGGAACGCCACAGGCAACTACGTGAAGCGAGGTTTTGCTGCGCCGTCTGGTAGACTGCCTTCCCCTAACGCAGGGACCCACCTGGAGCTACTATGAGGACGTGTCATGGAGCTTTTCACAGATTGATTGATCGATTCCTTAGTGCTTTTCATGCAGTGCATAGCGATGGGTATTTCGTATGGGCTTGGAGTCTCGAGCGATGGGTTACATGACAGAATGAACATGTTGAAGTCAGGATGGGCATATGGGAACACACACACACACAACAGGAAAGCGATACAGGTTGAACACGGATTGCTCTGGCTAGTGCAGCATTGGAGCTAATAGGTATGATTGTAATGATAAGGTATCGGATAGTCGTGTATGACTGAGCAACGAATGCGGATCCATACGCACATGACACAACATCTCAAGCAACTCTCACGGACAGTTTCGTTTTGTGCTCGATCTTCTCGTCTGCATGAATTTGCACCATGTTCTACCCAACGTAATCATCTTGTCAGTGCAACGCAACACCCTTATCCCACCCACGCCCGTCTCGTACCTCTACCTAGCGAGTCCCTTGGCCAAGAATCTCTCCATACCTTACTTTCCTCTTCTTCGAACACTTCTTGAAAGAGTATAAATGAATGATTTGGAATGTTCGAATACCTTGGCTATATAAATCTGGAAACTTGTTGTTGTCGGACTCACCAATATATAAATTGGTCTCTATACCTTATTGCCTCCTAAGGAGAACAACCACACCAGGTAGGTACGTACGTTGGAGAAATATCAAAACCTGAAAAGTGCGAGTCTGGGGAACCCTAACCTAACCCTAAGCAACTTACTGTCACTTTGAACGTAGGTAGGTATATATGCCTTCCGTACTACTACTTGCTGCGCTATAAGATGTTCTTGTCTCTCGTCATTACACGACCTCCTTTATGTAAGACCCAACATCGATTGTCTCACAGGCTTAATAGCTGATATGTTTTGCCCCTCCCCCCTTTTCATCCAGCTATCTGTGGCGTTCCATTATTTTGAGCTTGATGGTCTACTTGTTGCCGGAACTCTGATCAGCTGCATATGTGCAGGGGCAGACGAGGACGGATGGCCATGCTCGAGAGTCGGTTTGCTTTGATGCTCGATTATATGCCCTGATGAGTTCGCTCACGTCTGAGTTGCCCTTAAAGTCTGAGCACGAACTTGGCGACGTGAAAGAAAGCTTCACCCGCGTTTCAGTCGTGCGAGCACAATTCTATTGTACTCGAGGACGTTATCGATTCTCCTGCCAGGGGACAACAAGGCTTCTCCAGCCATATTCGACGACCGATGTTATCATCGCCTCCTCGGCAACCCCCACTTGTCCTCCACGAAATCAATAAGATCCACCAGATCTCTACACTCCCCCAGCCGTCTCCTCTCCTTCTTCCCCATCCCTTCCATCTTCGCCGTCATCTCACTCACATGATGCAGCACTAACGGAAACGGAATCGGACACTTAATCGCCCAATACATAAAATCCTGCACACACCTCACCGGAACCTCTTCATACCCCGCAAACATGGCCGGATTCTCCAAAATGCCTCTCGCAGCCATCACTCCGTCCGCGCCAGTCAGATCCGCAATCCTCCTCACATCCGCCAGACTAAACGCATCCCCATTCGCAATCAACGGCACTTTCACCACGCCTTCCTCCTTCAACTTCCGAATCGCCTCATAATCCGGCCTCGTACTCGACCGCTGCGTTCTCGTTCTCCCATGCACCGTCACAAAATCCACTCCAGCCTCCTGCACGATCCGCAACCATCTCCTCGTCACCTCCAAATCTTCGTGGATGCGAATTTTCACGCTCACGCTTTTGCCCCATTTCCCCACGCGCGTTTTGGCCGCTCGAACCATTTCTGCGACGAGCGAGGGAGAGTCTTGGAGTGCGCATCCGATGCCTGACTGGATGGCCCAGGATTGGGGGCAGCCGCAGTTGAGATCTATGCCGTCGACCCATGGCGCGATCATTTCTGCTGCGCGGGCGAATTCGAGAGGGGAGGAGGCGGCGAATTGGGCGATGATGACGACGGGTTTGTTTTGTGCTTGTTTGTCATTTCCATCTCCATTTCCACCAACATCTCCATCGATCACATCAACGCCCCTCCTCCCTCTCCCTTCCGTACCATCATCATCATCACCACCCATCTCCCACACATGTGTCGTAAACTCCGCATCTCGAGCAATTTGCGAACGATTCGATTCCCGCGCGAGCATCATGGGCGTAAAAATGACATCTGCGCCGTATTCTCGCACCAGCATCCGAAAGGGGAGTTTACTATACCGCACCATCGGGGCCGAGACGTTTAAGGGTCGGCCACCATTTTGTTTTGCTTGGGAGAAGAGGGTGAGGATTCTAGATTTGGGATGGAAGAGAGAGAGGGAGAATATGTTAGTATTTAATTTGAATATCAAAAAGAAAATGACGAAAAGAAGGGATGGATGGATGGATGGATGGAAAGAGAGAGACGTACCGAGGTGTTGGGTTTGTTGTGTTTGGAAAGTTTGTCTTCATGTTATCATCATCGTCATCATCGTTAAGGGACGTAGGTTCTGTGATGTTTTCCATATTGTGTTGTTTGGTGTTGAGAGGCGATATGGTACCTTACCTATGGTCAAGCAGTCGGAGTGCGAACGAAGTTCGGGACAGGATTTGCACAAAATTGTTATGCATATTACATAATCCTCAAGCACAACATTCGTGCACTTGAACCGCTTCATTCAACAGGCCACCATGTAATGCCAAGAAAGAGATTGCAAAGCTAGGCAGGGCTAGGAAAGTTACATTCAACGTCCTCTCATCATCATCTTTCATCTTCAAGTCGGTTTGCCTATACCATCATCTTCCTATCTTCTTCCATCCTTGTTCCACGATTCCATACACATCCAGACCATATGTGTATATGCATCTTGCAGCCCCACGCCGTCATATATCCCACCTATACCTATCAGTCCTCTTTGATCCGTAGCCTTGATGGATCCCTCATGCCCGTGCCATATATGCCTAAAGGTAGTCTCCCACCGAGCGAAACCGTAGCAGACAGAACGACCTAGGCCCGACCCGAAGACGCCACGCCGATGAATGTATTGGCTTTTGTTCAAACGCATGACCTTGAAGCCGATCGAGAGCGGGAATGTGGTGGATGTTGCTGGTCGCTTGCTCGAGAACTGATTTGAGAGGAACAACGGGCAGTCAAGAGATGGACGCAAAACCAAACGGTGATGGACATCAGGCAGGATGGCAGCTGCCAGAGATATTGCGATGTCGGCACTTGAACTGAGGAAATGCGTAATGCAAAGAGAAGGGACGCTGGGAAATGGACTGCAGATGCTACGGGAAGGCCATGTCATGGCCCGTGTGCAATTCTGTCCGATGAGACTTCAAGATGTGTGTGATTGGAATACACACGAGGTCTCATTACATCAAGCAGCCAAGTTGATCTGTTCTATCATGGTCAGTGGCCTGTGCGTTCAGCAAGCCCTCCGGGTGCTTGAGGATGATTACCGAGGACAGTGTAAATTCGGGAGACACGGGGGGACGGAAGAGAATCGCAGAAATGCGATGTGATTTTGACAAGCTTTCTTCCGATACAAGACTGTCTCACCCAGAGTCCAATTGCGTCGTCGTGCCCTGTTGCGATGCCCATAGCATCTGGTGTCATGGCATTGTAGATTGTGTCGTCCCAGTTGCGCTCCGCTTGGTCACCATGAGCTGCAGTGCTTGGACCGATATCGTCGGTATGCGCATAGGGCCAAAAGAACTGTATCGGGCCAGCGCATGGCGAGTGCAGTTCAGAGGCTGCCATCACTTTACTATCTCCTGCTAGTCTGTCATACTTTGAGCACCATCCTCTTCTGCTCGTCGAGCGCGTGCGCCTGGCACTGGTGAAATTAGCGCACGTCAAGCTCGAGATTGGGATGAGCGACTAACCAGGTCAGAAACCTGGATGGATAGCAGCTCACACCACTGCCGCGGCAAATGTGTCCGACGCTCCCAAGGAACCGCCTTTGTGTTCGCCCGTTGGGATCTTCCAACTCTCAGCCTGCATGCGCTCGAGAAACTGCCGATGATCCTCCAGATGGGCTTCGTGGCCGGCGGTCATCTCGTCGAGTGAAGTGGCCAGGTCTCTCAATGCAGCGATTGCCTCGGCGAAGAAGTCGTGCTTCACCTTCGTATCCCTCCTGGCGGCGGCGGGCGGCTGCGGATGCTTGCGAGGTCGCTGGTCTGACATTTCTGGCGGCGCTGCTGCTGTCAGTGATGAGGTGGTACTTGCTGCTGTCGTTGATATCGGTGCTGTGCGGTGGATGAAATGGTGTTTGCTGCAGGTGGTGAGGTGACAGTAATGTGCGTTCGTGTGCGCGAGGAAAGGAAGGTGGACAAACAATGACTTCCACCGTCAATACCTCCCTACCTACTTAGCGAGGTTCTGGCTCCAATGCTCCTGACGGGAGTGTGCACCTGAAAGCGCGCCAAAAGAAAAAGGAGCCGCCAGCTTCATAATCTAGCTGGACACGACAGTGCGGGCTCGCGTGGAGGTTGTGCGATGTTGCGTTCGCTATCGAGATCAAAAAAGAATGTGCCGACGTTGAGGATCGAACCAGAGCAAAAAACGCAGACCTGACGGGTGTTAAGGCGTACAGGTTGCGGGAAACTCGCTCAGAGTGATCAAGGGTTGTTATCCTGACTCTTCATTGGTCGTTTCATTATGACAAAGCATCACAGAGACTTCTATATGTATGTCAACAATTCCATCGCCTGCGGGCGGGTGAAGAACATGACATATAGAAGTCTAGGTCTCTACGATATCAATTGCATCGCCGGCGAGCGGATGCACAACACGAACACCGCCTCATGACAAAATATCATCGGGACTTCTATGTGTATGTCCACAATTGCATCGCCGGCGAGTGGGTGAAGAACATGAACATGTCAGCAATTGCATCGCCGGCCAGCGCGTGAAGAACATGAATACCGCCTCATGACGAAACATCATAGAGAATCTATGTGTGCCTATGTCAGCAATTGCATCGCCGGCCGGCGCGTGAAGAGACGAGCACCGCCTCATGACAAAACATCATAGAGATTTCTATGTGTACCTATATCCAGAATTGCGTCGCCGGCGAGCGGGGTGAAGCCCACAAACACCGCCTCATGACAAAACATCATAGATACCTTACTTCTATGTGTATGTCAACAGTGCCATCGCCGGCAAGCGGGGTGAAGGCCACGAACACCACCACCGGAATCGCCGTGCTAGGATGTTGGTTGCTTGCGCTTGCTATCGGGATGCAAAACAAAAGAATGTGCTGACGATAGCGAGGATCGAACCAGAGCAAAAACGATCCCCGCGGGAGCTACCCGCGAGGGTACGGGAAAGTCGCTCAGAGTGAACTAAATCAAGGGGGGCGAATCCTGACTCTTCATTGGTCGTTTCATTAACTATGAAAGTGCAACATTGGGACTTTAATATATATGTCCACCTGCTACAATTCCACATAGCAGGCGAGCGTGGTGAAGGCCGGCACCAATGATGCCGACGCCGAGGACGCCGCCGCCGACAACAACGCCGCCGCCGACAACGCCGCTGCCAACAACGCGGCTGCCGCTGCCAACAACGCCGCCGCCGCTGCCAACAACGCCGCCGCCGCTGCCAACAACGCCGCCGCCGCTGCCAACAACGCCGCCGCTGCCAACAACGCCACCGCTGCCAACAATGCCACCGCCGCCAATAACGCCGCCACCGACGACAACGACAACGACAACGACAACGACAACGACAACGACAACGACAACGACAACGACAACGACAACGACAACGACAACGACAACGACAACGAGGACGACAACGACAACGACAACGACGACGACGGCGCCATGACGACATGACGACGACGACGAGGACTCGCGCTTAGGTACCTTGTACCTACTACCGGAATTCAAAAAAATAAAAGAATGTGCCGACGCGATAGTACCTACCTAGGTGAGAGTCGAACCCTGGACCAAAAAGTGCAAAAACAATCCTCGCGGGAGCGACCCGCCAGGATCGGGAAAGTCGCTCAGAGTAAACTAAATCAAGGGTGGCGAGTCCTGACTCTTCATTGGTCGTTTCATTATCATGACAAAGCAGCATTTGGACTTTTATATATACCTACCTCAACAATTCTACATAGTACTTAGGCGAGAGGGGTGAAAGTCGACGCAGACGATGCCGATGTGACACCGAAACCCCTGACGACGACGATACCTACGACGACGACGATACCTACGACGACGACGATACCCACGACGACGACGATACCCACGACGACGACGATACCCACGACGACGACAACACCGACACCTACGAGGAAACCGACACCCACGACGACAACACCCACGATGACGACACCGACACCCACGAGGAAACCGACACCCGGGACGACAACACCCACGATGACGATGACGATGACGACGAGGACGAGGACGAGGACGAGGACGAGGACGAGGACGACGACGACGAGGACGAGGACGACGACGACGACGACGAGGACTTGCGCTTATCATCGGAATTAAAAAAAAGAAAAAGAAAAAAAGAAAGTGCCGATGGGATATCGAGATAGTAGTGGGGAATCGAACCCTGGACCAAAAGTGCAAAAACGATCCCCGCGGGAGCGACCCGCGAGGATCGGGAAAGTCACTCAGAGTAAACTAAATCAAGGGTGGCGAGTCCTGACTCTTCATTGGTCGTTTCATTATCACGAGAAAGCAACATTTGGACTTTAATATATATGTCAACAATTCCGTGGCGGGAAAGACCACGCATACCGCCGCCAGAATCGCGGTGATACTGACGGCGACAACTGCAGTATCTGTGAGACAAAAGGCACGATAACTGCATTGGTAAAAAGGCCACTTTCTGTTATCATGCTACCTATTCAGTTGATTCGAGTCTGCATCTCCTGCTGGAACAGCGGACTCGACAGGTAAACAGCGCAGGCGATACAGCCAGCGCACAACCGCACACCCGCAGCACCGCTACCTGACGGCGACGTCCAACTTTGCACCCGTACCGGAGCGACAGGCTCCACTTCTACTCAGGCGGCGGCAGCACACATCCTCATCACCATCACCAGTGACGAGCGTGCGCAATAGAGACTCCTCCCGAAAGCAGCTCAGCGGCAATTCAAAGGAGCATGCGGGATCAAAGGACATGCGCGCGAGGATGCCTCTTCCATGACCAAAGGCAGGCAGCCTGTGTCCGCGGCGTGCGTGTACATCAGGGGGCTACTCGGCGCTGCTGGCAACTTGGCAATACCAACGCTGGCACGACTGCCACCACAGGAGTTTCGCCGAGCCGAGCGACACAGTGTGTTCATCGCCAGCGACGGCGACCACCGGAAGCAGACGGCGCAGTGCCAAAGCGTGCATTCGGATCAAAGACACCAGCAGACCAGCTCTGCGCCGCTCGCAGCTCGCCTGTACTAGAGCCCACCACCACCATCATATGAGACGAAGGACGATACGGCCCATGCAAGGACTGTGTTGGCTGCGCGCCGCGGAGGTAAGGTATGCAACGAGGTGCACGCACGCGCATCAGTGACAGGCCTACACTAGATGCAGAATCAACTGAACTGGCGACGGCCCTGACATCAGGCATGCCCACGAGACCGATCTCTCTCAGACGAAAGGCTGGCTTTGTGCGAGTCAGAACTGCGTCGACGAACATCATTGCTTTGTTCGACAACCGAGCTCAAGAACGCTGTCTGCGCTCCACTGTGAGCTTCGTGCATTGAGTCGCCACCTAAGCGCTCGTACTTTTCGCCAACAGCGTGAACACTGGCACAGGGGAAGCCACGAGACGTCAAATGGGCTTACATATTGCGAAGCACCTGCTTACAATCTCGCCATGCTCACTGAGCAGCGCGACAGCATGTCCCGCGGGCGATCGGAGCGTGGTCACTGTCACCAGCTTGACTTCCTGGCAGAGTTCTTAAGAATCAAGTCATGTTGGAGCGCGGATTTGACAAGACCTCAATGAACAATGGACTGGCGCCAAGAGTAGACGCGAGTTCACAGCAAATATCTGCGCAGGTGGCGGGCTTCGAGCAGCAGCGATCAGGACAGCGCAATCGCCGCGCTGGAAGGCGACGTGGCATGGTACCCCCGAGGCAGTAGCATTTCACTCCGGTGCCAGCGAAAACATCATTCTCAGAAGAAAGAGCCGCGCGGAAGACTTGCTGGAGCGACACACTTTGTCTGTACACGAGGTCGCTCGCATGCAGCTGGACATGGTCGTTATAAGGAGAGGTCGCATCGCAAGAGTTCCGGAAAGAAAAACGACTACCAATAGCGAGGCAATAAACCCAACATGGAAAGGCGAATTGTCTTCATCGGAGGGAAGCTGCCAGGCCACGCAGGTCATACCATCATGCGAGCGATTGCAAAATCCTGATCCCATGTCTCTCAGGACACCTAGGCAGACATCACAATGTCAGCCACGGATCGCAGGCTGAACACCGCTTCTACGAGCTTCACAGCTCTGCGGACTGTCAGACCAGCAGCAGCAGCACTTGGAGAATATCGCTCGCCGCCCCTGGGGTCGCGGACTGGTACACGCAAAGATTTCTCCGCGTATGAGCAGCATTCGCGCGACAAAAGCAAGTTCCGAAGCTCCAACAGGTCGTGCATAAGCTGTGCTTTCAAGTCCTCGCCCTGCTCCGTGATGAATCGCTAGATCGACGGATGTGATAGTTTTCGATGTCACAGGAGAGTATACACAATCAGCTGGCCGTCGATGACCTGCGGACACTGGTACAGCTATATCTCTTGGGGCCATGGTGCGGTCCAGATATGGAAGTGCTTCCATTCGGACCTGGACCAAGCATGTCGCCGTTTTTGGGGTCTTATTGCGCCTCGGACTACCGAGCTCGTGGTGCTATCATGCCCGGGTTGGGATGGTATCACAGGAATGCGGTGCTCCGTAGTGGTACTGTCACCAACAGGGGAACGGCGAAACAGCCTGCCCCGAACGCCGCACGGGCCTCTCTGATGCCAAGAAATCCGACCATAGAGAAGACTATCAGCCAAGAATATGGTCATCTTCAGCATCCGGGCATGCCTTCGATCCTCATGAAGGTAGATACTCCAGCTCTGTCGTCGTACTTTCGACATTGTACCGAAGAGCCTCATCCTGCCTTGTGTAGCGACGCAAAGGGATGTCAAGCGTCGTGCTGCTTTGTCCTGGCAATCTTTGCCTGCCCGGTTTGCATGTTCTTGCACATAAACATGCTCTCTATCCCGCGAGAACGTAGCTCTGCCACGAAAGATGGGCTCCAGTATCAAGCAGTACGACTGTATCGGAGACTCTCTAGGCCCCTGAGGCTGCTCCTGCTGAGAAAGACCTTTTCTGCGGTGCACAGGTGTACCTCATGGACACAGGCTCGAAGCTTGAAGGACCCTCCCGTTTCAGCCTCACGCTGAGTCTGTCGTTCATGCCTGGCTCTTCTCGAACTGTCCTCTTCTCTCATGATAGGGGAAACTCTACCCAGCTCGCCCGCCAGATGTAGGATCTGCTCTTGAGGGCGCGATCCTTGGAGTACCATGCTCCCTCGAACAGATACTGGCACCGATTTCTCCGTCCCAGTGTCCCCTCCAGCGGCGCTTATGAGCCATTGGTGTCCCGAGAGCCCTTTGAGGCAGAGTCACCATCATCACCTATCTGTAGGGGCTTGCGATTTCTGTGTGCTCTTCATCTTTCCTCGCTGGGTCCCGCATGATCCTCCCTGCTCTTTCTCGCCCGTGGCAGCTTCAATTGTGGCGAGCTCACTGGGTTGGCAGATGCGATGGCGTGCGCATTCTCTCCGCGGCGGGCGGCTTTGGCATTGCGCAAGCTCGTCGTGATGCTGGCATAAGAGTGACATTCCCATGTACAGCTTGCTGAGGTCGTATGGGGGCTTTCTGTCCTTGGCTGGTCGTTATTCTGGTATTGCCCATGGCTGCTGGAGTACACGAGGCCTTCGTATCTTGGACAAACCGAATGGCTGTGCTGATGCGACGGTGCCCGCAACCGAAGATACTTGATCCACATGAGACGGTCATGTTGTGTGGATGCAGTCTCAAGCCTCGTGGAGCGCGTGCTCTTGAAGGCGTAGTCAGTTGCTCACTGAGGACGGTCTGTGAGGGCGGCCCAGCGGGCTCGACGTGGGCCTTGATACTCATCTCCATGCAGCTGTGGCAGTGACTGGTATGATGAAAAGAATGTATGCTCAACAGATGTCGTGCCGGTATGAATTCTGGACCGCCAACATGATTTTGGTGAGCAATCTTGATCTTGCCGGCCACTGGCATCATCACTGCAATTGAAGGTGAAGGATGTACAGAGGTGGCGGCGAATGCAGACACGAGTGATCATGTCTGCATAGATTGAAGAACCTCGCAACAAACAACTACAACTGGAGAAGGAAGAGAAGGAGGCCGAGGAGCGAGGAGAGGCCATTTTCAAGCAATTTTGAGCAGTAGTGCCTGCCCACCCCAGAAATAACAAACGCGGAAGCAGCATCGGGCGCAAACAAAACACTCTCGCACACAATGCGAAATTCTCGGCGACGAGGAAATTACGGCGATGAGACAGCAGTATAAGGACGGCAAAGGCCTCGAGATGGTGGCGATGATGATGATGAAGCCTCTTCTCCAAGCAGCTGCTGAGACAGCAACTGCAATGATGAAAGGATTTCGGGCCTACCCAAAGACAGCCGACGACAATAAGAGTCGCCGACGAGTGTCGATGGCATGGCCCTTTCGATCTATGCAGTTCACTGCAAAGCCAATCACTTCATTGAGAGGAAGGATGGGGTAGGCAGTGAAGGCAACAAATGAATCCCCCAGAGGCGAACCTGTTGGCCAAATTAGCTTATGAGAAGAAAGAAGAAAGAAAGAAAGCAAGTTCAGCAACGAAGAGCAGCTTTTTGTAGGCACCGCTCACTAGCGCTGCGTACATAAGCACGGGAGTGTGCGCAGCCAATAGAAGCCATGCCGCTCCCGATGTATCGCCCGAAAGGTCAGGGTGAAGTCACGGGAAGCTGACCCCGTGATGACCCCGTGACTGCCCACAGCCAGCGGAAATGGGCGCTGGAGGGGCGGTGGTGGTGGCAGGATGGCGGCGGCGGCGACGCTGAGGCTGAGGAGCATCATGTCTGACTCCTCGCCACTTTCTTCTACCGTAGGGACTCTTGTGACGATGATGCGAGTTGCTGGCGGGTGCTGTTTGGTAGACGAGGAGAGCCAGATCATGTTGTGACGGCCACCTCGTGCGCCTCTCGCTATGAAGACTGCGCTGTCGATGGCATGGACGTCTCACGTCTACGAAGCGCGTCGAGGGATCTATAGACGGTGACATCTCGTGCCTCGTCCGCTCGCAGCGTAAGTGCTGCTCGAACTCGCCCGCCGCGGCTCTAGACATCTTACGGCTTCACGAGCAGCTCATCGAGCCTAGTAAGTACGACGACGAGGATCGTAAGTAGCAGCTTTCTCATTTCATTTGTACTGTTCATCACATTCAATTTCGCCCTCAAAACTAGGTACAGATGGCCGTTTTCACCTCACACCCAAACAGCATCCCGATTCCCTCTGCTGTCACATCTCCTTCCAGAGCCTGTTTATCCCTATCAACGCCGGTGGACAGACCATTCACCGCAGCGAGCCATCCAGACGGAGACGGAAGGCGGCCGATCTTCAGACCACCACCGGACGAACAAAGAATCCCCCCTGAGTTTCCCTAGAACCTCTATCGCTGTGGTCCTCTTCAGAACAGCCAGGCAGGAGCTTTCTTCTCCTCCTCATACGGCAATTCCATCCATCGAGAAGAGAGATCCGCGACGGGTTGACGAGCCTGGGAGTCTCAAAGGGGGGTTGTGCCAAATTCGCACTCACCTGACGGATCAGTCTGTCCCCCCCTCCTTCTAAGGGGCGGCGAGAGAGCTACGAGGAAGATGGGAGGGATGATGGGATGATGGGAATGTTATACAGGATATCATATACACGATGGCGAGCTTGGGCTCATTAGGAGGAGGGTCTTGCACAACTCGCGTTCATGGCTTACTGGGCATTTACTCTTCTTGATTGCAATGAGAAAAGCTTCCGAGAAGTCTACAAGTCTTGAGATTTGACTACGAGGGGACATTACTCAGAAGAAATAACGCAGCTCGTGAGTAAGTTGTGTAAAGTCTCACAAGCATATAGCAGGCAGGAAACTCACTCACCAGACAGACGGACGCGATGTCTTGATTGTGGAGGATTGGGAAGAGCATTTTGAAACAGCGGGATTATAGGAAGGATATCCAGACAGATAGAATTTGCATGCAAGGGAAGACACATACGTGAGTGAGAGAGAATCGATCACGCTGATGGCGCGGATAGATTACTGGAAAACTGTTACCTATAGATTGAGTGCTGTTGAAAGTATTTCAGTCACAACTACGACGACGGACTTCCTCTACCCTGTTCTTATATACTGTTGCTATCTCTTATCTAGCTCTGTCGAATCCCTAAGAAGCTGCGAGTTTGGGGGAACTCAGCACGGAAGAAGAAAGAAAGGAAAAAAAAAAGAAAAAACAAAAAAAAAAAAGAAAAGAAAAAAGAAAAGAAAAGAAAACAAAAAACGGACAGGATCGAGTACAAAGGACAGACGACACATACACAAGGTATACAAGGTATACATATCCGCACGGAGAAGGTCAGACGAGCGGGCTGCCTAGACTGCAAATATTGCCCGATCCCTCTGGAATGAACTGACTGTATGTGCACATTATCTGCTAATCCTAAGCAGCTTCTTCTTTCCTCTCCCCTTGTCAATTGCGAGCGTGAGTTTTAATAAAAGACAATGAATAAAGACGACGAGGATTGTTAGTTGGTAGTGCTCATTTAGGATAGAAGAAGAAGCCGAAGAAGAAGACGAAGAAGAAGAAGAAGATACATATACTTTAATACAAATTCGAGGCAGACAGGTACGCAGAAGGCCAAGGTCATCGCAGTTCTTTTATAAAACAAATCTACAAAACCGATCGAGCACCTGATTTGATTCTAGAAAGTAAGATCGATACTCTACCTCTCCTCTACCTTCTCTGACCTTGGCTTTACCTTAGGTAGCTTATCTTCACTCTCCTTCACTTCCCTTATCTTAGCTTTGACAATTATTACTTCTCTCTCTCTCTCTCTCTCTCTCTCTCCCTCCGAGATATAAAGGTGTAGATGTTGAAGGGAGGAAGGGAGGAAGGAAGGAAAGAGAGGCAGCGAGACTTGGATGTTTGTATACATAGGTATGGCGAATGCTTGCTTGCTTGTTGAGTGTAGCTGATCTTTATATACATACTTACAGGACCGATAGTTACCCACCTCCCTCCTAGATATGACTAGATGTGGCTGGCTTCATCAATGCTGGCTTCAGAGCACAAGTGGAGAAGAAGGAAGCAAGCGATGCTGACGTCGATAATATTTGGAACTGATGTTGATGACTTTCATGACATCTTGCTTCCTCCTCAGGTGCCATGCATCTCTCTCCCTCTCTATCTCACAGACACACACATCTTCTTGCCACCATCATCACGATCAAGGCCATACAAGCCTCCTCTGTTGCATCCGCCTCTCCACCCTCATGCTTGCACACATCATCCGTCCATCATCCCCGTCATGATACTATCTGCTCTCCTCGCCCTCCTCACCCTCTCAGACGTATGGGGAGCCACCGCCTCGGAAAAAAGACAGCGACTCTCCACCATTCAACTATTCCCCCCCAGGCTACTGCTCTTCGACTTGACCTCCACACCATCGTACTCTCGACTTTCGATATAGTCCAATGTCCTCTGGAAATGCTTCCGAGGATTCTCCAACCCACTCGCACCATCCGTGGTATTTAAATTCGAGTGAATTAGTTCGATCAAGCCATTGAGATATTTGGTCGTGACTGCGTCATTTTCTTGGTCAAAGTAATAGACGTAACGATTTAGAATTTCGACAAACAATTCGACAGACACCGCCGTGTCCATGCAGGCGTCTGCGACTCGGAGGGCGCGTTGGAGACATTCGAGCACGCGTTTGCCGTCTCGGTAGGTCTGTACAAGAAGACATGCGTCAGTCATGTGAGGATATGTGTGCGATGTAGAGTATTTGGGCAGACTTACTTCTTTTCCCCCTTCCGTCGCCGCCTCCTGTCCACCCTCCGCACTCTCGACGGCCCACCAGAGATGCGAAGCAAGATACACAGCTCGACACTGGTCAGGCTTCTTCAACAATTTGCTTCCGTGCAAGGCCGCCTTCGTGATGAGCGTGTCGTAATTTTCTCTGCTAAACTTGTCGGAACAGCCACAGAGCGCACCGGCGATGATGCAAATGGCTTGGAACTGAGATCGGGAGTCGGAGATGGACTCCTCATAGACAGTAAAGGCTTGTGCGAAGAACTCATACGCAACGTCCTCGTTCTCGCATTGGCATGCCACTTGGCCACAAGAGACAAACAACCGCAGAACAAGATCCGGCACTCCCGATGCGGAAACCCGGGTGTATAGGGAAGACAGCGCCGTGTGCATGAACTTGTACAACGCACTAGACTGCACCGCATAGTCATCCGTGGAGAGATGTTCTCTCCGCTTGAAGTTTCGCGCCAACTTCAACGATTGTGTGATGATGGCTGGAGTGGTATATTTGGTCCTTTCGCCTCCCTCTTGAAAGGCTTGTCGTGTCTTTTGCAGAAGCCGGAATTGTGCAACGTTGTCAGGACCCTTGATTAAGTGGACGATACGTGCGAGCCAGCCTTGTTCCTCGACCGTTTCCTCCGTCTCCACTACTGCTCTCCGGATCGGACCACCTGGATAGCCTGAAGCCGATTGGGCGCCTTCTTTGACGAGGACGGAGAGGATGGAGAGCACACTTTCCAGATGAGCCATGTTCGTGATTTTGGTATCGTTTCGCAGGAGGCTCCTGACCACTTCTCCTGCGACATTGCGTCGAGTGGGATAAGGTTGTTGTAGGAACAGCGGAATATAGTTGGGTAGTGCGAGCGCGGTGAAGAGAGAAAAGTACGTCTTGACTGGTCCAAGCAGTAGATTGAGAATATTGTGCTGTGATGATTGGGAGTGGAGATCGGCCGAGTTCTGGTATCGAGCGACCTCTTTCGTCGCGTAGTGTAGCACTTGGTCCACGTAGTCCAGTCGATCGGGGTAGATGGTCGTGGCCAAGTTGATGAGAGATGTGAGAAGCGCAGTAATGTCCTGGATGGGTAGCCGCTGCACGGTGACCAGATGTATAACCTGTTCGTAGAAGACGTCGAACAGCTTGACATTCTCCGGGATCCCTTTCGTCTTGCCGTTGGCTTGCGATGTTTCCGATTCGTTCACAGCGGTGCCTTCTGTGGGTGCGTCTGATTCCGCTGTTGAAGCCACGGCAGTGTCCTCGCTCGGTCGTGGCGAAGCGTCATCCCCAGAATGTCCGTTTTCTTTCGTCTCCGCCTCGGGTTCATCGTCTTTCGACATATTCAGCTTTTCCAATAGCTTGCTCACACTCTCATCTTCCAGCTTCTGCCGCTCCTCGTCCGTCTTCGGCTCGGCCTCTCTCTGCGCAAAAGCACTCAACCGGTCCATCAATCCAATCACAATTGCCTTGACATTGACATGTGGATTCAGCCTCGCAGTCGCTGCAAGCAGCTGATCTAGCGTGTGCAAATGAAACTCATCGGGAAAGACTTGAGTGATGACTTCCAGCAGATACTCCTGCGCCAGCACATCCCGACACTGCACCACCTGTTCCAGTAGCGGCTGCAGAATCACATTTTTATAGCTCTCCAAGTCCACGAGTTGTGACAACCTGACCAGATTGGAGCCCACGAGCAACTGCAACTCCTGTCTCTCTTTTGTCCTCTGATCCCGCTCTCTTGAATGTCCCTGATGTTGTAACCTCACCCACAACTTGTTCATCTCCACGAAATTGGTCAAGATGAAACTGATCGAGTCCTGCAAATTCCCTTCTGGACCTTCTGCAGACTCTCCCTCGGGCAAATGATCGCGCGCTTGCCCGCTCAAGTAATAGCGCAAGAAGAGACCTCGCACCGGATGTTGCACTCCTCGACTCATTTCCATCATGTCCTTCATAATCTCCTTGACCGGCGCATCCTCAATTCCCATGTATACCGTCCCCACAGTGATCATCAGATAGAGTCGCGGGACAATGTTTCCCGCATATTGGACCAACTCGTACAAATCGGCCAAGTGGTTGACGGGATGCGAATCTCGCAGGTAGACGCTCAAATGTCGCAGCGCATCAAACACGCTCATGTACAATTCGTAGTACTGTTTGGGTCCGAGGGATGAGGTCCTCAGTTCGGAGACCAGAGTCGAGCTATATGCATATACATCGATGATCAGCACGGGCTAGCTCTCCTCCTCCTCCTCCTCCTCCCGTCCCACCAGACAAACAGATTACGTCGATCAGGTAGGCGCAGGATGGTGTGGTATGTTCTGGTGGATATCTCACCTGCACTTCAGCGCATCCATCAGTTTGCCCGGCGTCTCCAGACATCGTCGCATCTGTAGCGTCTGCTGTCGGACGACTTGAAGGGCATCCTCAAGCAGTCGGGCCTGGTCCTCTGCCGGCGGCGGAGAGGACATGCCGGCGTCGTTGCGGTCGTCCAGCTTGGCGGTGGCGGAGATGAGGCGGAGCGGCGTGCTTTTGAACAGTGAGATGATGGTGGTGGTGGTGGAGGTGGAGATGGAGGGAAGAGGTGGTCACGGGCGCATGTCGTGTGACCCAGTCGGTATATTGTGGTAGAAGGAGTGGTGGTGGCCTGCGACAACGAGAGGATGGAGGGTGGAGGGTGGAGTGATTGGTGGCAGTGTGTGTCTGGTGGTTGTGAGCACAGTTGGTCGCATCGACGGCGAGCTGCTGAGGTGAGGTGGAAGTGGACTAGCAGACTGCCTAGTTAGTTCTAGGGTAGAAAGGTAGAACTAGCTACCTGACTTCTAGCTCTACTTCTAGCTCCACCCTTACCTTAACTCCTAGAACTCTCCAGGTATAGCACATGGACCTTCGAGGAATCAAGATTCGGCATGGATGATACTTTCACATGCATGCTGTGGAACAGGCCAGCAATAGGTAGACATGAAACATGGTATAAATAAAGTCTAGTCTATATGGATTATTCGGACAATATAAACTGGACTAAACACACATATAAAAGCACCCATCTACGCCCAGCACGGCTCACTACCCGCCAGCCTCCTCTGTGCTTCGGGTGCCAATAGTCGACCTCTCAAATACTCAGCAAAGCCAGCCTCGACACTCGCGGAGAAGCGCACATAACTGGCCATGGCATTGCTACTCGTAATGCTGGGACAGTGCTCCACAATGGCCTGCACTTCCAGCTCCTGCACGGGACCAATCTCCTCGACATATTGCAACCACTCCATTCCTTCTTGCGTCTTGAGGAGATTGAAGTCTGCTGCCGAGTATGTCGCAACTCCATCCCAGCCATTGTCCCCCGGGCGACCTGCAATGACAGCAAGCTCCAAACGGCGGATGTTGATGTTGTTCTCCGCATTGGTCAAGTATCTCCACGCATTCTCCCACTCGCATCGATCAAACTCTTTGATATAGGCCAATGCGCGCTTCGTGAGGCGGATGTTCTTGACATAGCTCCTGGCCAGCGGCGTGAGATCGCGGAGGAAGGGTATAATGGCTTCGATATGCGTGTCGAAATCGAACGTGTAGCTCGAGTACATCAGCTCGGCAGCTTCCGCGTGAATCTGTCGATTTGTTCGCAGGATGGCCAGGTTATCCCCAATGTGTGGTACATTGACGCAGTGGTACGTGGTTGCCATGCATCGATTCGCAAAACGGTCTGCTCGCACGCTGTAGCTGGTGCGTGTATGTGGGCGATTTGCGAAACGGGTCTGGTATTTCGTGGGATCGACACTTCGAATGCGTAGAGTAGGGTGGTTCAGTGGGTCGGGAGTCACGACTCCATCTTGAATGCCCCACTGATCGTAGTCGACAGCATCGACGGCGCTGGCATCGAGCTTGTCCCACGAGCAGAGGAGGTCTGTCGATTGTCGTGGGAAGAGTAATAGAGAGTAGATCTGGAGACGCAGTTCCGTGGGAAGCCTCAAGAATGGCGAGGCCGTGGGATGGCGTGGTGGATGCTCTGCTACTGAAGTGGACGACATGGTAGGCAATACACTCGGATGGAGAATGCGGTGGTCGTTGGGTGAAGAAGAACGATGCGCAGGAGGATCCGAATTGTTTGCAAATGTCTCGTGATGCTCTCGACAGCTGGTGTGAGATATCAGCAGAGAGGCGCGGTGTGGGCCATCAAGGTCACCTCTGCACGCGTTGAATGGCCCACTGATTGAGGATGTCGTGATGACGTGCTGAGATGGTGTCCAATTCAATACCTCCTTCAAGTTCATGTACATATGGGTAATGTTGGGAAACATCCAAAGATCATCATTCCTCATCATTCATCGTCGTTATCGTGCGCGAACTTTAATGTATTTTTTTGCGCCGATCACGTCAAAAGTCCGGCATGACCATGACCTCGAGATAAGCGGACTCGATTGGCGTGATTCTGGTCGGCAGTTAACCCCCATGTACCGGGTCATGATGTACCGTGATCTGCTGATGAGCAAGAAATGTGGGAGAGCCTCGGAAGTGGAGGGAGCGAAGACGAAGGGAAATAGGAGAATAGGAAGATAAAGGACGGGAGACGGGGGTCGGGAGAGTTGACGGCGCGACGGCGGTGATGCCAAGGCCAATACATTCACTTGTCAACATCTTTCTTCCCTCTGATCTCATAACAATACGAGATGAAGTCCTCAATGGACCTATACCACGCCGCCGCGGCAGATGCAGACGCGCGCACACGATAAGCGATACAGTAGTGAGATAAGGTCAGGTATACCTTACTGCATTAATATCGTATCGCATGATCCATCATCATCAGCCTTGCTCGCTTCCCGGCGGTCTCCAGCCTCACGCCCAATCGGAGTCTGTTATGATCCGCCATCGACATGCTCTCACCGATTGGGCCGGGGAGCAATAACTTGGCGTGTCAAAGTGAGGTTGACATGATCCATAAAGGGGGAAGAAAAAGGAGAGTCGGGGTGTCTCATTGCAGCACTTCAGACACACATCCCAAGACATGACCCTTCCTCTTGATCACCACCTTATGCATGCCTCAGCTGGAAAATGTTGCTCACGCCACACGACAAGTCAATGCCTCTTCCTGTCTCAACAAAAGAGGTGTCATCCACCATGACACATGCAGTGTCTGACGCGGAGCCAGAGACGAGAATCCCGCGAGAAGATCACACAAGTACATGTAGATATATATAATGTACATGTGGGAGAGAAGAACAACAATGCGAAAAGTCCCAGTATCAGTGCCGGTCACTTGATACAATGGAGGAATGCACCATCGCGCAGCACGAGTATGACAGCGCATACACAAACTTCGAGACCGAGGTCAGGCTTCTACAGGAGCATCGACAGCGCTTCGAGCATGCTGAGCCCCCAGGACATGCCTTTTCATGGAGAATTCGCAGATTCTCCAATATTGCCCATCTTCCCTTTCCCCTCCACGACGCCACCCCGACATACGGCATGCGAGTGGCATACGCCGACCTGGAGAGGAGGCGGGAGCACTACTTTGCTGCCGTGACGCATCAATTACAGCGTGATCTGGCATCGTGGGAGAGCGCCAGACAAGACAAGAATCGAGAGGCTCGGAAACGACTCATGGCCACCATCACAGAGGACTGGCGACAACGAGGGAAGCCTCTGTTGTGCAACATTTGGAATCGCGAATTTGAACTTTCTGCCCTGGATGTTCAGACGGCCTTTTTGACCGCACAATTTTCATATCTGTTCGATGAAAAGCATCGTGCAGGGCAGATCTACGACCATGTGACAGCCTTTCCACACAAGGCTTGCTTCCGACAGATGTTCGATACCTCGGTCCAGGACGATTACAACATCCAAGCTGCTCTGCAACACAAGACTACCATTGATGAACAGCTGCTTAGTGTCCGAGCACAAATCTGGGACGAGCTGGATAAGCGCCTGAATGTACCCCGAGGCCTGCAAACATACATTGATGGTATGGAACTTTTCCTACGAGACGAGATCTATGCTGCTCAACTGTCACAGACGCATGGAGACTTGATCGAACGTGGTATCCGCGAGGCCCAGGCACAGCACAACCTTTCCATTTTTACGCACGAACAAGCCCAAGCAGCAAACGAACGCGCTACCAAACTCCTCGTCGACATCAAAGCAATCATAACCATCGAGAACCGCGCACATGCAGCAGATCCGTCCTCCGACCCCGGCCCCATCACCAACGACTATCTCCGTGTCGCAGAAAAGCGTGCTTTCGAGGCGAGCGTCTGTCTCTCTCAAGCCCAAGCCGATTCGGATCTCACCGCCGCAGCTCTGCGTTCTGCCCATGAACTCGCTATACCGAGAAATCTCCCCAAACCCAGAATCAAACTCAAACCCTCCACAGCCACCAAGCGTCGCCCTCCCCCTTCGAGACCTACTACTACTACCACCACCCCGACTATCCCCGAATGGCTTCGCTCCCTCGACGTCATTTTTTCCGATTACACCACCATCGTCACATTTCCCGAACCCCCTCCTTTTCCCCTTCCACTTCCTACATTCCATGCAACCCTACCAACAGCAACAACAACACAAAGATGTCGCTGTTCTTCAAAAACTCCATTACGAGCTTTAAAAGTCTGCGACTGTGCTATTCGAGCCGCTTTTGCCTCGTTGGACTTGCAGGCGTTGAAGCGGGAGAGAACGCGTTGGCATCCGGATAAGTGGTCTTGTTGTCCAAGGGATCGGAGAGAGGGGTTTGAGAGGAAGGCTGCGGAGATGTTTGTCGTGCTGGATGGGATGTATCGGGGGCTGAGGGGGTAGGGAGGAGGGGGTTGGTAGGTGGTAGAGGAGGAGGTTGGTGAGATGTCACTTTCTTATTTTGGGTTTATAGGAAAGAGAGAGAGAGAGAGAGAGAGAGAGAGAGAGAGAGAGAGAGAGAGAGAGAGAGGAAGTAGATCACATTCGTCAGTTAAAAGCTTCAAGGCTGCTCTACTCTCTACTTCCCAGTAAATAAGTAAGCGCCAAGAGGAGCTGATTCCATTGCTATCAAACTCTCGCTCAAGACACAAAAAAAGGCTTCCCATAAAAGCTTCCCTACTTGCCCCCAAACTTCCCCCTCCACTCCTCCAACACCTGCCACGGCGTCTTCCCATGGACATCCCTCACATCCCCTCCTCTCGCTCCATATCCCTCCAACAACCTCATAGCCTCCTCCTTGCCCAAACTCGCAGCAAAATGCATCGGAGTCCAACTCGCATACAACGCCACATCCTGCCTCGCAACATGCAACGTCTCTGCAGAAAGGACCTCATTCACATCTGCTTGATATTCTTCCACCAAAAGACGTATAGTCTCCAAACCTCCACTTCTCGCCGCAGCTTGCAATGCTCCAGATCCTGTGACGGGATAATTCCCCTCTTCGATGAGAAGTTTTGTGATTTGTGGACTTCTTCTCGCGGCTTCGCAGAGTCGAGATGAGGCTGTTTTGTAGGGAAGACTAGAGTAACTCCAGCGTGGTGATATTCCTCTTCCTCCTTCTTCTTCGGCTCGACCGCCTCCTCCGTGGCGAAGAATCACCTTCACGAGTTCTTCATTGGAAGATTTGATTGCGAAATCAATCGGGCGGAGAGTCGGATGGATATCGTTGTGAGAAACTACAGATGGATCGACTTTTGTAGCGAGTAAATCCAGAATTGCAGCAGCAGCATGACCATTTTGTAACACTAAAACTGCTTTGACGCCTTCCCGATCCAGAATTTCCACAAAAGGTAAATTGTTCCTCGAAGCAAATTCCAGCAACGTCGAAATGATTTCTACATGACCTTTTTCTGCTGCGAGATAAATCGCTCGATTGATATTGGAGATTTTTCGCGCGTGGACTTGTCGTGTGATATTGTCCGTTTGGGTTTGGGCTGAGGCTGAGGAGGCTGCAGGAGGATGATCTTCCATGTAAATGCGATGAGGAGATTCCAGTGCAATCGAGGGAGAATCTTGGAGAAAGTTTTGGACAACACTGAGGTTTCCTGTGGAGCTTGCTTCGAGGAGGGGAAGGGCGGTGTCTTGACCGATTAAGACGTCGAATATGGGCCTTGAGGATTGGTAGTGCCAGGGCGCTGATTTGAGATCTTCGGGCTTGATTTCTGCCATTTTTGGTGTGAAAAAGTGTGAAAAGTGAAGAAAGTGAAAGAGGAGGAGAGTGAAAAGGAGAAGAGTAAAAAAGGAGGAGAATAAGGTAGAAAGGTGTGGATGAGTGTTTCTGACGAGGAAAGATGAGGTGGACTCCGCCTCAGGGATATACGTCAGATGTGATGATGTTTCCAGCTGAACGGAATTGGCTTGCAGAAGGAAGGAATTAGGTAAAGGAGTTAAAGGAATCAAAGGAATTGAAGGATTTTGCGCTGAAGAGTGGGGAATTTGTGTGACACGCCAGCTGATTTGTTTTTGTTTTTGTTTTTTTCTTATTTGGTAATACGGTTTTGTTTTATTTTTGTACGACCTATAACTGGAAAATAGAAAAGTCTTAGAAAATGTAGGATAGGCGACAGTAAGGAGTAGTACTATATACTAGACCTTGTAGGGTAATTTCGAGAGTAATTGCCTGAGGCATCAAGTAGTAAGCTCTTTACATCACTACGAATGATGAGACATATCCAACTCATTCTCCATGTTGTATTGTTGCAAGCAAGCTACCTCTATCGAATAAACGAATGTAGTAGTACTAGCAGTAGTATTACGCTACTCTGCTTTCATCCCTACCCAACCTCTCTTCCCCTTCGTATACATGAATCCGGATCCCCCTTTTCATTCTACCCACTACATCTCTCGAAACACCCACCGCCACCGCCGCCTCCCCTCTATTGCAGGCACAATCAGAAGGAAAAAGCAAAATCTCCTACTCTTCGTGGAGGTCTGCATTGTTGCCGGGACTGTCGCATGTCGGAGGCTCAGTAGTCAAGGAACAGTCCCCATAAGTCCCACCTGCATTCGGTCCCGATTGGCCGTCAACATATACAATATTCATGTCGGCGTCTTCGGTAGCCAACACCTGATCGGGTGCCGTTGCGCCCTTTTGCATGTGGGTGATTTTGTTGAGTTGCTGGTTTCTGATGTTGGTCCTCAGTTCAGGAACCTCCTTTGTAGCAAACCACCCGGTCTGTCCTAAGGTCAAGTACTCTACGCCGCCAAACACGCGGACTTCAGTTCGTGCTGCCCGGGCGATGGCGATGGATGCTGCGTCGGCATCGTCCGGCCGATAGCAGTCTCCCCTGCCTTGAGAGTCTTGCTTGATGGGCCATTGCGTGTAGTAGTGCTCGCTGGTCGCCCCGTCGAAAAAGTTGTTGTAGTAAAAGTAGTCGGTGTTGAGTCGCACAAAGTCGGAAGCTTGGTTCTGCGAGCCACCCGTGTACAATACATAGCGGTCTGTAGCCGGATAGTATTGCCTGAGATAGTCGATATAGTCATCCACCGTGAGTTGCTCTCCATAGAAGCACTCGTCGAATGCACATCTGCATTCGATGATTTCCTGACGAGCCAAGAGGCTGCTAGGCGGCGATGGAGGTGCGGCCAATGCCAGTCCAGAGAGTGCGAGAGCTCCAGCTGCGATGCGCAAAACGAGATGCATAATGAGGCTTTTGGTTGAGTTGATGTTGGAGCGAAGATAGAGTGTGATACAGACTGGTGAGGGTGACTTCGATCGTGCCTTATATGGCCCTCCTGAGGATTCTGTAATTCTGCTTCATCTCCCCGGGCTCTCTCCTAGCTCTCTGACGAAGGAGCATCACCTGCTGGATGCTCAGCCGCAAGTTCCACTTGAAGCTGAGGACTCTTGGTAAGAGTCCTCACCATCGTAATGCTATGACATGATGCGCATCCACAGCAGAAGGAATATGGTGTTTACCTTGGCGCATCCATCATAGATATATGGTTGCACAATCCTGACAATAAGGATCAGACTTCGTCACGTCAGCCTCGGTCTTGCTTCCGGTCTTGCACGTCGTTGGCGGTGGTCACCTTGTGGTACACTATGCTTGGCGCCGCGTTCAGCTCGTGACGTTCATAAGGATCTTCCGTATCCAGCCAGGTACATATACTGATCAGGAAACTCCCAGGCCGATCCTGCTGCCCCGTGAATCCTTTGGACATGGAAGTCTGCTATATGCAGCGATCGTATGCTCTCCGACCTGGAAGAAAGATGGTACTGCCATTCCTGATGCCGTAGGAATGGTATAGAAGTGCGTATTAAATCTTGTCGATGACGATGTGACTGATGCTATTGTTAGGAATGATTCGCGTACAGGTAGTTTCCTTTCGTATGATTATACTGAAAAAAAGGAACTTGCCTTTTGCACACAATTGTTCCAGTACCGCTTCAGATGACGTTCTAGGCTATTCTTCCTTGAGTACGATTAAATGCCCACTCAAGACATCGGGCAGGAGTCAAGACACTCGAATGTTTCAGGATTAGCAGGTCCTCTCAATTTCCACGACTATAGCATTTTCGACATGTAGTCGGAATCCTGCCCGTAAAATGGCGTCGAACTATGTCATGAAGCGCCATGCGTCTCAGCTGCTTGTTGAACCGAGAATCAACCGGTCGTGGTCACAGGACGATATTGTAAGAGGATCACGTGTTTCGAGCTTGAAGGAGACACTCCTTTCCGGAGCGTAGCTACAGACAGACACAAGACATGTTGTGGTTTGGTACAGCTGGAGTACGTAGAGCTTGGAAGGCCGTCGATACTCACTGCTCCACGTGATATGAAAAGGGTGCCCATACTTCACCCGATCGATCCCTAGGTAGGTAGCGTGTTGGATCAGAAATACGACAGGATTACATCGAAGGAGGGCAACTTCTCTTTTCGCACATGTGGGTCTATCGCTGCCCAGACTTGACGCCCTTGTTGTTATAATGGGAAAAACCAAGGCTTTCGCAGGATGTGAGGCTATGCCAAAGGATGTAGTTGCTTTGCCCAGCATGTCTTGGAGAAAAGGATGCATCCACTCGATCCTCGTTGCGGTCATCGATGATATCAGCGTCTAGTATGGATTCCTACAATCGATCACTCTGTCTGACTGTCAGTATGGCATAGTATCCAAAAGGCATAAATGAGAGAGACATGTCCCTCTCGGTTTTCTTCTCTTACACAGACCATCAACCACAACAATCGATCAACTGCACTTCACTTGCAACCACTCCGCAACCAGCTCCCTCAACCTTTGCAATATCCAACGTGAGCTTCCTTCCATCACGTCGATTGACTTGATTTGACTCTGACATTGCCCCAGAAGCCAAAACAAACATGCAATTCACGACCAAAGCCATCGCGCTCTGCAGCGTCCTCGCATCCACCACTCTTGCCGCAGACGTCTTTTCTGTCTTCCTCGACGCCAACGGAGGCCAAATTGGCTCCACCCAATTCAGCATTGGCAACGGCGGTTGTTTCGCGGTCGATCGCGCAAGCCAATTGTCCTTCTCTCAAGCTGGCTCCGAGGAGACGGCCAATGGCCCTTACTGCCTCTTCGGCTATCAGCAAGGTGCCTGTCCGGGAGATGGAGATGCCTCTCAGCAGTTCCAGGACGTGGATCTTCGCGGCCGTGCCTACCAGCTCGATGTAGGTCTGAATGGCGCGGAATCGTACCGATGGGAGACCAACTCGTGCCCGGAGTAGGCTCGAAGAATGTGGTGACAATGCTCCAGAATGCTTGAATGGAGCATTATAGATGCCGTGAATGACGAATGAGGGATGAATGGTAGAGGCGTGAGCCGGGTTTGCTGGCACGGATCTTGTTTTATGGGCGTCTGGCTGATGGGCCGTGGTATACATCACAATCTTTCATTTACCTCAGAAACCAGCTGGCTTCTCGATCATGTAGCTTTCAGCTTCAATGTGATAAGATGTTGGACACACTTGTGAGACGCTCTCTGGTTTCTGTGGTCGCCGTGTCTTGTTTGTCATTATTCTTCTTGCTGTGAATTGACGTAAGAGTATTTCCTATCCATCTCCGGAAATGTAGTGGATGCAACAGTCCATATGACAGTCGTTCTAATTGCACCCTGCTGCCTAGAGATGTCTTTTAGCAGCCCACGTCAGTGAACATACCGATGCCTCATCCTAGAGGCTTTGAACAGCATGTACTCCCAAGAGAGCCTTATACGCAATCTGCTCCTACACAGAAGCCAGTTCCACATTTGATTAATGTCCGGTTGGTATGGCGAGATGCCTTTGACAACAGGATATCTTCTACAAGACGGGTGTTGTTTGGAGGTAAGTAGGTACATGTACCTGAGGTTGTTATTGCGAGATGTCCTTTCGGTCTTGGCGCGGAACGGAGCGGAGCGGAGGCGGAGCGGGGCGTGGAGGGACGGCACTGTCACGGCAAAACTCAACGCGACGACAACGACACGGCGCCCACCTATGCGTACCTTACCTGAGGTATACTGCCACCACTACCTCGATCGCATTCATCAAGACTTTGGGTCAGCTAGAAAGGATGGAGAAACTCCTGCTTCTAATGGTAGTGGTGGTAGGGCGGATATGAGTCTTTTTATTTCGGCAATAATATGATTCGTGACGAAAAAGCTCGCTTCCGTGTTTGCTGTCGTATACAAGGTGGGCATACACAGGTACATGAAACATCAGGTACCCTACGGTAGGCAGAGAAAGCTGGAAACTAAGACCAAACTCCTCCAGTTTCCAATATTATCGCAATTTCGGGTATCATATCGCATCTGGCATCTCCCATCGTCCTGTTCTCTCCTTTGCCCAGGCCCAATTCTCATTTCTCTCTGTTCTGTCGATATGCATTTGTTTGGCTTTCGCTTACCAAGCCTCCCACTTCTGCCCACCCATACTGATCAGTCGATTGAACAGCTCATCTCTCAACATCATCGCAGTAATGTGCCTCGTATTACCCATCCGATCCACAATCTCCAACCCATCAGCAACCTCCTTATCCAGGGCCCATCCGACCAGCAGCTTGGATTTCCAGCCAAGACCTCCAACTTTCTTCAACTCTTTGATGTCAGCAATGGCAATGGTCCAGACGGGATGCAAGTCTTCGATCAAAGAACCATCTTGGCCCGTAACTGATGGGTCGAGACTGAAGCCAACACAAGGTATGGTGGCTTGTGTGGCAATGTATGCATGGCCTTTCTTGCCATGGTATCGACACTTGAAATCAACCGGCCCAGATACTTGCTTCTCATGCTTTCCCGGAATCACACCCAGTCGCTGCTTCGAAGGCTCGCTGCCAGCTTTGGCCTTGATGTGGTCGACTCCAAGGGTAGTATCGACAGTACCTTTGATACCACTTTTGAAGAATCCGAGAATCTTGGCACCAGTCTTGCCGTGCTTTTTCTCCTTTGAGGCATCAACATCGGCGCCAGCACTTTCATGCTTGGTCGTAGGATCAGATGCAGCTGCATCGGCGATTTCTTCGTCAGTGGCGTTGAGTGGCCAGTCTGCACCTGCAGCTCGAAGATGGTCCTCGGTGAGTTCTACAGGCTCGTCCGCGGGAATGCCCCCAGAGTGAGGTGGAGGGGGCAGAGGTGCCTTGTTCGCCTCGCCGATGCGTAAAAGGGTAATGGTAAGTTGAGCATTGGTTGGGACGCCCTTGAGGACAGTGTTGCGTAACTCCAGCAGTTTCTGCCACCGTGGAAAGCTCCTATTGAGCCATTGTAATCCTCGCTGGGTGAGTGGGTCACCGAAGAAACCAAAGCCAACGCCAAATGTGATGCCTTTGACAAGCATGTAGGAAGAGATGAAGAAAGAGGCGGCGAGAAGCGGGATGACCAAAGCCGCGATACGAAGTCGATACAGCTCCTGTGGAAAGGGCTTGGTGGGGTCCAATGCGTTTCCAAATCGCTCCCACGTGTCAGATATGTCAGCAATAGCGTGCATGATTGGTCTCATTTTGTTCCAGATAGCGGTCTCGACAGGCACTTTCGACTTGTCTTTGGCAGTGACATTGCCCTTGGCACCGGTCTGTGCACGAGCATTACTCGCGCTAGCTGCCATGGCAGTAGGGTCGGGAATGATATCGCTGGTCTTGTCGTTCTCCGCAGCCACTGATGGAGGATCGCTCTGAGGATGCTTGCCCGCCACGCTGGCCAGTGCGACAGAAGCGATGCCATTGACGAAGTTACTTGCTTCAGCTTCGACCGCTTCTCCCTTGTGATTTTCGGGCGCGCCAGTCGCCGAGTCCGTGGAGCCTAGTACGCCTGCCTTTGGCTTCTGTACACCACCGGTGGATGCGGAGACTATTGCCAGAGGAGCTGGGGGGAACACAATGGCTCGACTTGGCTGATATGTGATGAGCACGACGACAAATGCGAGGATGAGTGGTGTGAGTAGATCAAAGGCCCAGGCAACAAAGTAGGCAGCTGCAAAGTAGGAGGTTCTTCTCCGTTCTCGCCAGGATCGGATGCGCATCACATGCTTGCCGAAGCCCATCAAGCCAATGCCTACAGTCATGTACAGACGTTCAATATTGGCTCGAAGCTTATCGGGGGAGAATTCCTCCTCGTCTGCAATGTTGAGATCCAGACCTCCGGGCACGGAATACGGGTATTCCTTGACATGATACATTTGCTGTCATGGCATGAGCTTCGACTCACACGACCAAATGCTTCGACGGGCCAACTCACTTTGTTGAAGCGACGGATGAGCACCCAGAGGTCTTGATTGGGCATGCCGCCGACGAGCGGGTTCACGATCTGGTCGACATCATCGGTCCATCCCAGGTCTTTAATCTCGCCATTGTGAGACAGCTGCGCCTCGCCCTTGACATCGTGGTCGTCCACGGCCAGAGCGTGGCTCATCGTCGGCGCATCTGCGAGAGATTGGGCGGTTTCTTCATGTTGCTGCTCCGGGTCTGCTGTGAGCGGGGCGGTGGCGTGTGGAATAGGAAGATAGTCGCTCAGGGCAGGCTCGCCGGCCATGATGAGGTTGGAGGGTCGCTGTCGCGGTGGTCCCGTGTATGGTATACAAGATGCTCAGGACAGGTCAGGTATGATATGATATGGTATGGTAAAATCAGGTACTAGGTAGGTATGGTATGGTACTACTTCAACTGGAAGGAACATGTATGTTACAGTCTGTTGTCGGGTCGTGGTTGCCCTTTGAGAAGTTCCTTGTTGTGCCAGTTTGTTGTGTAGGAGTGGAAGGAACGGTGACGTCACCGCTCGAAGCAGAGTCAGATCTACCACGACTACGACGCGCATCCCTGTCGAGTTGGAGGCTGGGATACGGCCGATACGCGATGGAGCTGAACTGCTTTTCCATCCTCCATGCATAAATTCATGCATAAATACTAGCGCATAAATACTACCAATGGACTTCAGACAGGTACCTGGTAGGTAGGTATGCAACGATGACTGTCTCTATCTTACTGTCTATATGTGTACACAAGGTATGCAGTCTTTCCACTCATCCATCACCACCATCTATGTCCCATCACATCACCACATTATACATGTATGCCGTCTCATCAATCAATGCCAGCGTTGTCATCATCATCATCATCACCATCATTATCGTGACCATCATCATCATTTCAATGCATGAGTGGGTAAAACAAATCAAGAGGTTCCATAAAAGGGCCATGTTCCAATTGTCCTCGACCTCTTCTTGATACCAGGGTGTGGATCCATTGCCTCCACTGCATCGGTCTTTTCTCCAAAATACTTGATCCAGGCTCGTCGAGTAATACCTCTCTTGTTCGGTTTGGTCCAATCGACAATAATAAACGCCAGCACTGTGATGGGAATACCGAGGACAAAGAAAATCCAAATCGTAGTGTAGCTCTGGGAGGTGGGAAAGTCGGGTGACATGCTCAAAAAGGACGAGGTGAAGTTTAGGGGAATGAAGAAGGTTGCCAAGAATGACAATCGTGCAAGGTTGCGGTTTTGTTTGACTGCATGTCGCGCTTCTTCGGTATTGATTGCATTGGTGGCCATGGTTTGAATGCTTTCAATGCGGTTCTTATGGTCGTCGATCTGCTGCTTGACATGCTTGAAGTCGGTCCACAGAGAATTGATGCCCGAGGTAGTGTCTGGCGCAGAGACGACTCGATTCGCTGACACGGTGGGATGTGCAGCAGCAACAGAGGGAAACAGTCTCACAATTGCCTTTTCTGCCATTTGCTGGTAGTATGGCATGTTGCGGCGCCAAGGTGCCAACTTCTTGAGCAGATCATCGATATCACTCGGTTGTTCGCCCCAGTGTGGCTTCGCAAAACTCCACTCAATCAGCCCGAACATGCTCGTCATGTACTTGAGAACCACGAGCCAGTCGGCAATGACGAGCTTGTACATGGGTAGCGCGATATACCTCGGTTCTGACTTGACGATTTGAAGGTCTTCTGCTGTCATCCTACAGCTCCAGTAGATAACGTCCTCGAATAGAGATGTTCGCGGTGGTGAGGGAAGTTCGGCTCCGTTTCCCACGACGTTGTCTTTCCATTCCTTCATAGAGGGCGTAGCTTCGAAAGGCCGATAGCCGCCCCAGACAGCGTGTCCGGCTTTAACAGATGGGTCAACTAAGAGCACAGCGACAATCGGCTCGCCCTCTGCTCTCGGCTTGATCCATAACGAGGTCTTTGCTCTGGAGAGTGTGACGCTTGCACCAGGCTTATTCAGTAGGCCAAGCTGCAGGTGTCTACGACTTCTGTCGCTATCAATGCGGCGCAGGACATTGAAGATGCCGCTTTCCTTTTCCGCCGTCGCAAATTCCTGCTCAGACTGGAAATAGCGAGGCCGCAAATACTGGAGGTTGAAGTGCGGCCTCTTCTTGGCATCGACTTCGAGATCGGGCAGCTCCACCCATCGGTCTAGAGTGTTGTGGAACAAGTAATCTCCAATGTGTGATACAAAGAAGAGTGGATCAATATCATAATGAGCGCCTAGCATTTCCACCACATCACGAGACAGGTCTTCGACAATCACGAGCCTGATCTCCGGCTGTTGAGGCTCTGCGGCCTCTAGGAATACCTTCAACTCGCGCGTCGTCGTGCATCTGGATTGCACAGGATCTGTGCCCTCGTTGTAGTCTACGACACAGACGTTGGTTCGCGCGATGCGCTCCTGGCGGCTGTTCGGTTCATTCTTGACGAATCGCCACTTTGGGGGGGCACAGCCGACCAGCATCCATAGGGCCAGGTATTCGAGGTGTTTGAACTTTTTGGACAGGAACTGCACATATTGGAGATACGGGCCAGGCCTTGCGGCGTGTCTGTCAGCATGATTTACTCAAATACAGGCCGGGAGGGGGTTCCACATACTCCTGTGCCGCAGACCATTCTTTGTGACAAATCTCATTCACGGGCCCGTAGCAATCACCAATGTAATCGGCGTCACCGCCTTCGTCTGTGTGCGGCTGGACCGCATCTCTGAATGTTTTGACTTTGAACCGGGCCGTATTCTGCTTACTCGGCGGCAACTTCTTGATCTGATATTCAATGTCCTCTGACAGAGGCGAAGCATCGAGATCGCTCTGTAGCGGACTATGAATAGGGAGCGAGTGCTTGAAGTCTTTTTGGAGTGCTGCTACATCAGTGTCGTCCTTGCGGGACGCGAAAGAGTGGCCCAAGAATGCATTCCACACCATGATTCACGCCGCAATCCGAATCTCACGGCTAGGAACATAAAAGCAAATAAGATGCGGCGTCGGCCAGGCCATCCGCCTTTTCATAAGCTTCTGTACCTCCTACCTCCTATGAACGAGCGGCTATTGGAGCCGCCCATGTGGATGATCTGCTTGCCGCCAGAGACGCAGCATTGTACCCATGCCTGAGGCCCACTCGAATCCTCCCAGAGTCTCGCCTCGCCTCGCCTGGCACGCGCCGCTCGCCTCTCGCGGCACGACGTACCTCCGTACCTCTAGCACAGGTAGGAAGTTGGAGGTAGGTAAGGTAGGCTTCCTGCTTCCAGTTGTTTGGTGGGAATTGTGATGGTAGTACACGTGCATTAGCGCTAGGGCTGAGCACGACAAGAGGAGCGAGAGACAGAGCTACAGGTAGGTAGCTGGCCTGGACCTCACGCACATCCTCCTACATCCTTCTACGAGCCGAGACCATGGTGCTGCCTCTGCCATCAGACTCATCTGTCTGACATGGCTCCGCCTTGCTCAGCTGTGGCTTTTTTGCTGAGCAGTGAGGAGTGCAATACTAGCGGCGGCCTCATGTTGTCGACAATACGTAGCAAGAAAGAAGAAGTGTGGTATACATGTAAGTGCAAAGACCGTAGTGTAAGATTCTTATCGTTACAGACCTTACGCAGCGCAGGTACGCAGGTACAGTGGTTCTATATCAGTGATCACAAACGCGGGGTGGTAAAAGAACGGAGCCGCTGACGATCCGTGCAGCTTGTCCCGCGAAGAGACCCTGTCCTGAACGACAATTGGAAAGCAGCCCGGACGACCATGGACACCAGGCAAGCGCCCAATAGCATCGATGTCAACGGTCCCGTCAGCGGCGCCTCCACCAACCATCTCACCCGATTCACAGGCGACAACAGGAAAGCCTGGGATGCCATCGCCCACGACTGGGAGCTGAACCAGTCTCCCGAGGTGAATGGGCAGGCCGAAGATGGGAACGACATGTTCACCCAGTGTCTGCTCCCTGTTCTCGACGAGCTCGTCCACTGGACCGAAGGCGAGACCGTCCTGGATCTGGGAGCGGGGAGCGGTATCATCGCTCGCAGATTTGCCAGGAAAGGCGCCAACGTGACCGGTCTCGACTTCTCGCAAAGGATGATGGATAAAGGGCGCGAGCGTTACGAGAAAGAGAAGGACCAGTTTCCAGGAACCATCGAGTATGGCTTCATTGATCTCATGGACGTCGAAGGCATGGTGGCATATATGCAGAAGAGGAAGGACGCTTTGGGAGAAGCGGAGGACCAGTGAGTGCTGGCCTCGCCTCCTTCAGTCTTCTCTCGTCGCCGTCACTGACATACCCACAGCCGCTTCGATATCATTACCATCAGCACGACGCTCAAGTCATTGCCGTCTCTGGAACCTATCGCCCAAGCGCTGCCGGCAATGCTGAAGCCCAAGGGCCGCATCGTGGTGATTGATCTGCACCCGGCATTTTCGAAACCGGCAGGACACCGAGGCATGGAAATCTTCGAGGACCCGTCGACGGGAAAGCAGCAACTCAGCACATATATCAAAGTGCCCAAGTATCTGAACATTCCGCCCTGCTTGAGCGAGGCGGTCCGTGGACAGGCAGAGCCGCTCGTAAGTCATTCTCCTTCATTCGACCACCCTTTCTCCCTCTCCCTCCCCAAAATACAATCTTATTATGTGCGCTAGTGGGTATTTCATCGACCCTTCTGGTCTCTCATGGAGCCGTTCTTCAAGAACAAGCTTGTCCTGGATGCCATGCGCGAGCCCGCTTTCGAGGGCCAGCCCGACATCAAGCAAGCGCAGTCGTATCACAACTTCCAGCAGACACCTATGCTGCTGGGATTTCGCTTGTTGCATGCGCCTGTCTAACCAAAATGCTATCTATGCTCGCCCATCCCGCTGTGCAGGTTGACAGCGTTGTTGAAGCATCGCCAGCAAGTTGAGATACCCCCATGCCACGTCCATTTCTGAACAGGCTGTTTGAGCGAATGCACTGAGTCATTTGGCGTCTGATGACAAGTACGAAAAGCGAGCTCGACTTTTGATGTATGGATCTGGAGCTCTCCCGTATCGGGGTTGTCCACCGACGTGCACATCAATGGTGACAGTCGACGCCGCGCTTTTTATACGTAGACGTCGCAGCGCAATGCACTCATTTTCTGCCTGATTGATGGATTGACATGTGCAGAATCAAAACATTCAGATTCACACAAGCGTCGCTGATACATGTACCTGTCAGGTATGTGCTTTCAGTGCATGCACACGAACATGACAAATCTGCCAAGCCTCCCGATCAGACCACATATCACCCACAAGTGACGTTCCCTCTCTGTCACATGGAAGGCATCGGTCAGCATGGAATGCAACCTTGAAATTCTCTCACCAAGACATATATAACCCAGAGCACTACCTTACTTACCTTATCCATCCTCTCTCCCTCCAAACCACTTGTACCACAAAAATCACGACATCCATCATGGAGAAACCCGACCAAACCACTACCACCGCCACTACCTCTACTACAGGTAGTACTACAGGTAGTACGACAACCATCAAACCCAACGCAGAAGAACTCGCTTTACATCGATGTCCTCGATGCAGCCTCGATACGAGAGAAGAGGAAGAACTCTATAATGATGAGCAGCACGACGATAACAAAACCAACGACAAGAATGACGACGAGGAAAAAACTGGCCGAAGAAGAGGAAATAGAAGAAGAAGGAGTAGTGCGGTGCAGGAACTTGCTGTAGAGTTGGTAAGGAAGATTCGTCGTTCTCATTCTCATTCTCATGTTGGGAAGGAGGAGGGGTTTTAGGGAGTGGTGGTAGTACGGATGACGGAGGATGACGGATGGGGATGGGATGAGAATTTTGCGGGGTGGTTGTTTTGTTACCTATATGTAGGTTGGTGATGATGGGTGCGGGCTCTGGGATTGGGAAGTTGGAATCGGGGATTTGACGATGGAGTTGGAGTTGGGTTGCGGATGAATGAATGATGGTATACTTGCGAGGGTAGGAGGGAAAGAGAGGTTTCATCTGCCATCTTTTCCGAGCTGTTTGTTATATACATGTATCTGGTATGAACTACTGCACAGAAGGAAGCATTCTGTTTTTTTTTTTTTTTTTTTTTTTCCTAACTTGGACAAATATGAGATAGCAAGCAGGTTGGGGAGATTCGAGGATTTGCTGTTTTCTTCCTCTTTTTCTATCTCTCAACGTGATAGGCTTGGGATACCCAGCTTGGAGGGAAAGACTTCACTCACTAGGTAGTCATAGTCCGCATTATCAGATGTGAGAGAACTCACTAACTAGCTGCAGCAGTACCTAGCAGTGCGCTTCTCCAGTTCGAGACGATTTTGATTTTTTGATTCTTTGATTTTGTGATTTTTGATTTTTATTTTTTGATTTTGCCGAGGGAGAACTTCTGCTGTCCTAGGGATTACGGGTACGGGTAAAGACACGAGGAACTTCTCTGCCAGGGTACACCCGACTTCTCTCTTCTCAGATTACACCAATTCTGGGCTTTGTAATAGCGCCTACCTGCCCTGCCGCAGTCAACATTCAAAAATACGAAAAATGCATTGCGGCCAAGAGTCATTCGGTATTCATCATGGTATCAATTTATGTTATTCACACACACACCAGTTTCTTACACAATCCCCCCCTCCCCATCTCCGGTATTCATCATGCCTTCCTCATGCCAAAAACCGTCATATCCCTCTTCTCCAACCACAATCTCCTCCTCTCCTCCTCTCCCCGTCTCTCTTCCACTCCTCGAAAATCGATCATTCTGCCACAGTTGCCCTTGGCCAACTCCTTCGCCTGAGGAGAAAGTGCGACGACGACAGGCGAGGTGGCCTCTCCAGACCACCTCTCCTCTGCCGGTTTCATCGCATTGATAGCAGCTTTTTCCTCCTCGTCGACGAAGATTGCCCCGAGAAAGTATAGCAGAGAGGCCTTCTCGGTCTGGAGATCATTCCTGTTGCCACCGCGGTCGCGAACTTTGATCGCAAGGTCTCGAACGATTCCATCTTCTCCCCCTTCCATTGCATGCTGGAATTCTAGGAGTAAATCTTTCAATTTGACGCCCTCGTCTCTCTCGACTCGGATGCTATCACTCTCTTGCAAAGGACAAGATCTGCCCCGACGTCTCTGATCTCGGTCGTGGAATTTGATTCTCATCTCGACCATTTTGATCGGGGGTTGTGTGAGAAACATGTCGTGGTAGACTCCATCGAACGGTCGTCGAAGCATGTTAGGACGAGCTACGAAGCGAATCACCTCGCAGTGGGATGCGCGGTCGATGAGCGCGATGGATTCTGCTTCGGGCTCGCGATGGAAGAGCATGGGGTTGAGAGTGGCGGGTGTACAGTGCAATTTGCTCTTCGGTAGGAAATCTCCACCACCATCATGGGCTGCGGTGTATGGTCGAAGAACTTCGGTGGCGGTGTCGAGAATCCAAATGTCGTCAAAAGGTCTGGGTTCGAGGAAGATCTTTTGACGGATGGCTGGCAGGGTCATGATGATGTGTTTCCAGGTCTTGCTGACAAGGCGAAACTTGACGATGGCGTGCGGAGAAAGTTCGAACAGTATCTTCTCGAGGAGCTCGCCGGTGTTGAAGACTTTGTTGAATGTGAGAGTCCTTTTGGCGGAGCGGGTTTTCATGCGATGAGTGCTTCTGGGTGAGGCAAGATTCTTGTTGGATGAGACTCGCTTTGGAGAGCGGTCCGGTTGACATGACGATGCGGCAGTAGAATGTGGTGAATGCTTGTTGTCGCTGACATCGCCGTCCTCTACGTAGCTATCCGTTTCGGCAGCGAAGGCAGTCTCCAAGACCGAACCGACATCTTCGTAAGCGATTCCGTGCCGAGTGCATCGACGCTAGGGTACATCAGCGTGCTTCTATGTATGTAAATGTACGCTCATAGGGAGTACTGACCTTCTCCAATTCGACAAGACACTGCTGAGCCTTGCGCTTGAGAGTGACGGCATCCGACATCTTGAAGTTTTCTCTGAAGTGAGTCGAGGAAGTTCTTGTCTGATACGAGCTGAGTGCCTCGGTCGGATCTGCGTCGGGAGTAGTATCTTCGTGTGGAGTGAAACTGGGGGATTGGTGGTCGAATCTGAATGGAAAGTGGGTGAAACGAAGAAGGAAGAAGGAAGAAGAGCACGATGTGAGAGATGCATTACGGGCATTGGCGCAGGTGAGGTGAGCTTTTGTTTTTCTCTATGGTATTGTCGACAATACTCAACAATAGCTGCATTGCCAGCGGACCCACTTATGTGTTTCAAGTGAGTGTGAACGTTGCGCGAGGGCATTGTCGGTATCCACTGATGGATATCTTTCAATTGTCCAATTCTTCCACAATAGCAGGTAGGTACCAAATCTCATGCCCGTGTGCTGATCCACCGCAGTAATGACCGTCACGTCAACGAGGCGGCGTACCTCAATTGCTGCCTGGAAGTCTCCCGTCCTCAACTTTTCGCCTTGGCAGAATCATCACCACAAGAGCGATTCACAGCCTCCACCTCATCGGCCGAGACCACTAATCCCTCGCAGTAGAAATACCAAGTCCAATGCTAGGTGAGGTTCGAGCTCTCTTGGCGGGAGGTCCATCTTCACCTCGTCGTACATTTGGCTTTCGGATTGCTCCCAATAGCTTGGTCTGTCGCAAGTTACTGCTCGAGTCCAACATACCACGGCCTGCCAAGCTCTCTCGCTTCTCTTCCATGTCTTCCTGGCTTGTCCGTAACATTTGAGAGGCTATCATGGAAGCCTGTGACTCGGGCACCTCGTCGTCGTCAATGATTTCGGTCTCTGCCTCGCTGCCACCAGCGTCATCGTCAGAGGCAGAGACAGTGCCATCAGACTGCGGTGATCGTGGCGGGAGAGGAATGGAAGGCTGCCTATACACGTCGGGCGTGCGCATGGCATTTGTCCTCTGCTGAGGCGCAGTAGCCGGCACTTGCAGTGCTTGATGCTGAGTTCGTGGGGTCTGGAACGGTGGCGGGTGTCGAAGGCCTTGCGTGCGCTGGGGTGTTGCTGGCAAGCTCGACATGCTGTGAGTGTTCCGCGTGTGACCCTTCTTCACCGCCCGCGCCGATTCCTGGCTGGCCATCTCAGAGGCTTGCAACAGCGCAGCAAAGGGTTGCGACTGGGAATGTGCCCGGCTCAATGGAGCAGCACGATGCGAAGCGCCGTATGGTGATCGGGTATTCTGCTGCTCAACATGTGACGAGAGTTGCGATCGGCGGTACTTCTGCAGCGACTCTCTGTTGGCGCGAATGCGCTCGGCCATCAGGGCTGCCTTGTCGGTCAGGCTAGCAATCTCCTGCTCCTGTTGCAGGAGTATAGCGCGCTGTTTCTTGTTCTCACTTTCCAGCTTCACGTTTGCGTCTCGCAGTAGCTGGATGTCGCGGCACATGTGCTGGTAGAGGCCTTTGTGTATGGGGATGAAGCCATCTTCCGTCGTCGGCGTAGCAGCGAGTCGCGCTTGATCTGCCACATGAATGACCTCGTTTTCTGACTGTGCCATGCGCGCCTCGACAGACATGCGCTCCATCTGCGCGGCGCTGGACTGCGCCAGCATCTGGTACTGCAGCTTGTGGTGCGCGGCGGACATCTTGACTTCCTGCACCACCGCATATAGCTCCGTGACCTTGGTTCTCAGCTCTTCTGGCGTGGCTTTGACCAGCTCCATCTCTGACATGTCCGATGCGAAGCCTCCCAATCGACTACTCGTCTGACTGAGTTCCGGCAGCTCTCCAGTTGGCGGCGGCGTGGAGATATGCGACACTGGAGGTGTAGGCGTCCTTGTCTTGCTGCGATTCGATGGCGGCACCTGGGTCGATGGCGGCGGTGTCAGTGCGACACCATCGGCGCTGTGTTGCGTCGACATGGTGAATTTCTCTTTCTCTCTCTCTCTCTCTCTCTCTTTGCGCCAATGGATGTGGGTGCCCCGCGCGGCGTAGTTTGCGATGGCGAAGAGGGGCGACCGAGTCGAGGGGGTGGGGAGAGGCGCACGCAGTGTGTAACAATGCGATGGCGGTGATAGAGCGAGCGAGCGAGCGAGCGCGTGCTGGCGATGGCGATGGAACGGGGCAATGATGCGTGGTGTCGGGATGGAATAGCGTTTGAAATGATAGTGGCTGGATTATCACTCGGGGCAACGAATTTAGCGTCAAACTAAACACCCTCGATGCATGCAAGCACTTCCGCGACCCCTATTATGATTCTATTTCGGCTACGAAGGCGGCGACGAGGGGCAATGAGCCAGAGGCAATCACATTGACACATTGACAGCCCATCTGACGGCATTGGCATCGCGAGATTATTACCTTCCAGTCGGTGGACAAGTGGCAGCACGAAGGACTGGAAGACTCCCGTTCCAGCCATGCATCCGTGAAGGCTACCTACTGTATCCCATAGAATTACCTTAGCTACCTCACAGGCCAACAACAGCCACGGCGCCCGCCCGCCAACATGGATTATTCGCAGCCAGCAACAGCAACAGCAACCCGGACAGCAACACCACCCACAGCCATCGGCGGCAAACCCTCCACCGGTATTCCACGAGGCCCGTCCAAGCTGCCCACCACCAGACCGACCCCGACGTCTACGCCGACGCCTGCGTCTGCCCCTACGCCTGCCAAGCCCCGGCCGACTTCAATGCTGGTGCCTCCATCGTCCTCAGCATTGTCATCGTCGGGGTTGCGGCCACCACAGCGATCCATAGAACAGGTACCACGCTCGTCCACTCCCGGAAAGCCAGTAGCGGCGGCGGCGGCGACTACGACGACGACGACGATATCAACTCCGCGATTCCAAGGTAAAACATCGACCTCCGGCCTGGCACGTCCCACCTCGATATCATCAGCATCGTCTTTGAAGCCCCCAAGTAGTAGCAGGAGTAGTAGTAGCAGTAGGAGTGGCGGTGGTGGTGGTGGTGGTGGTGGTGGTGGTAGTGGCATGGGGTCGGGCCTCCAGAAGCCTGTACCGACCTCGATCCGCACCAACCTCACCAAACCAGCACTTGCCAAGCCTGCCACATCTGTATCTGGTCTGGTGCCACCGCGCCCTCGCAGCGGACTTCAGAAACGGGCGTTTGGTGCTCCACGATCACGATCTCGAGCAGCCACTGATGACGAAGAAAAGCACGACAAACTCAGCTCGCTGGACAGCTTCCGCTCTGCCTCGCGCCAAGGCTTCGAAGACGAGCTGCCAGGAGGATCGCCCGAGTACGCAGAAAGCACTCAGGCTCAGGATGCCGCTGCTCCTCAGCGGAGGCACCCGCGACCTTCGCTGTCGGAGAGGACTATCGAAAGCCTGCAGTCGGTGCCGTCGACGCCGAATGAACGCCGACGGTCCGGCTTCTTCAACCCGCCAGACAGCCCCATGGGTCCTCCTCCACGTCCTACTTCTGCTATGAGTAGGAATGGCAGATCTGGGAGCAGGCCGGGCACTAGCGATGGCAGTACTTCCTCGCGCCCGCTGAGCAGGGCTGGCTCGACGCGTATCGCTCCAGCCAGCGCCAAGCCTTTCACGCGAACTACAACCAAGACGGCATCCAGAATCAGCTCATTGCCTGCGACACACACCACGAAGCAGAGCATTGGCGGTGGCGGTGGCCTGACGAGTAGACTTCAGCAAGCGAGAGTCGACGCCCAAAGGGCAACATCACCAGTAAAGAAACCCTCCGCCTTGCCAAATGCCTCTTCCATAGGAATTCCAAAAACCTCCTTGACCAAGATGGGCAACGGCACGAGAACCATTGCCTCATCACGACCTGCGAAGCCGAGACCGGCCCTTGGAGACGCATTTGTGTCGCCTGCAAAGCGCACTTCAGCAACCAAGCCAGCACTTTCTGTGTCAACAAACGAGGCCGAGCCGAGCGAAGGCAAACGTGCGATTAGCAATTCGTCTGCAGCTCTACGAGAACAGATTGCAGCAGCCAAAGCAGCAGCAAGAAAGCATAAAGAGGCTGCTACCAAGCGAGAGTCGGACTCTTCGCAACCCCAGGTCACCAGCGACGAAACTGCGATTGCCGCTGATGATCATGCTGACCCATTCGGGCAAGCGCCCAAGGACGAAAAGCACGTCCTGAAGTATCGAGTGCACAATGCGCGCATGAGTGGCAAGCTCAACGTTGCCGCCATGGGCCTGAAAGAGATGCCGGAGGAGATTCGAACCATGTACGATGCAAAGACCATGGAGGACAGCAAGGTCAATTGGGCAGAGGTTGTCGACTTGACCAAATTTATTGCAGCTGATAACGACTTCGAGGTCATCGACGAGTCTGTCTTTCCTGACCGCTCGCACGAGGAGCTCGCGGAAGACGAAGACGCGCAGGGCAATCAGTTTGGAGGACTGGAACTGCTCGATCTTCACGGAAACTCACTCTCGGCATTGCCCATGGGACTGCGACGTCTAGACCGCCTCGCCCACCTCAACGTGACACATAACAAGTTGGAAAACACCGTGATCGACATCATCGCACAAATACCGACTCTGAAAGAATTGAGGCTTGGCAATAACAACTTGACAGGTAACCTCCCCAGCGCAATATGTAGCCTGACAAAACTGGAAGTGTTAGACGTGGGTACCAACCGGTTGCTCGGCCTACCCGAAGCACTGGTCGACCTGGTGGGCTTGCGAGTGCTGAACGTATCTGGCAATCAACTTACCACACTGCCGATGGAGGCTCTCGTACAGATTCCGCTTACCGAGTTGGACGCCAGCAGCAATGCGTTGATAGCATCACTGTTTCCGCTTGGCGGCCCGTCCGGACATTCAACACTACAGAGCCTGAATGTGGCCAACAATTCACTCGCCGCATTGACGTTCTCGGAAGCGCTCGAAATGCCGAAACTCAGAGAACTGTACTTGACCAACAACCAGATGACGTCTCTGCCGTCGGTATCGGGATGGAGCGAGCTGATGACACTCCACGCAGGCGACAACAAGATTGTGGATTTTCCAGAGGGCTTCACGAGTCTGTCCAAGCTGCGCAACGCCAATTTTACCAGCAACGAGCTTCGTATGCTAGATCCAGAGATTTGCAGAATGGCAAATCTGGACTCCCTTGTGTTGGCTGCCAATCCGCTACGAGAGAAGAAGTTTCTTACTATGAATGCTGCAGACATCAAGCGTGATCTGCGGGCGAAGATAGCGCCTGGATCTGGGGGTGATTTTGACGATGAAGAGCCGACCAGCCCAGTGACAGTTGTTGGTGCCGAGGACCAGACCTCACAATGGTCAGTGAAAGGGAACGGCCTCCTGAGTCTTTCCGGCAAAGATCTAGCAGATGATTTGGACGAGGATCTCAGCTCGTTCCTGCGGAGCAACTCGGTTCGTCAGCTACAGCTACCGGATAGCGGTATCACTGTCATTCCACCCGTGCTCTCTCTGGTTCAAGATCTGCGCTCGCTCGACTTGTCCGGCAACTCCCTCGGCACAGAGTACCTCACTGACGAAATCACTCTACCCACACTGGAGGAGCTCAACTTGAGCAAGTGTCGGATCCAGTCCCTGGATCTATTAATGACATTCCTACAAGCTCCGAATCTCAAGACCCTGCACTTGACCGCGAACCGACTCAGTGGTGATCTGCCGGCTCTGCGTACGGTGTATCCGCAACTCACAACACTTTTCGCTACCGACAATAAGATTCGCACCATTAGTGCTGATGCGCTGCGAGGACTACATACTGTCAATCTAGCCTCCAATGATATTGAAGCTTTGCCCGCTGAGATTGGACTCCTGTGGGACGAGGGTCTGCGCAATTTCAATGTTAGCAGCAACGCGTTTCGCGTGCCGAATTACAGGCTGTTGGACAAAGGCACAGAGGCTACACTACGATGGCTACGAGATCGTCTGCCGAATGGTGGCAACAAAGATCATGATGTGGATTGAAGGACGCCCTCCTCACAATGGAAGAGCATGATGCTGCCCACCGAAAATGCGTTTCTGCGAGATGAGATGGCTTGTATAGCGGTGATGTCGACTTGAGAACCGCAAAGGAGGGTAACGCAAACTCGATTACGTTGTTCCCAACAAGTATCTTTGTGCGATTGTCGGTTTCTTTTTCCCTGTACGCGCCTCCTGATAGTAGTGCTTTGAACGGTATACGACGTTCCTATTGTGGTGAATGTCGAAATGGTATTGGATGTCAGCTCAGACCTGTGGCCAGGACAGAATTGCGCGCCTAAGAGGTCCTCCCCAGTTCATTTGATACCATTGTGCGAGACACGTATGTTTGACTCGTTTGCGTCCCAGCTCCCATTTGGAGGTCTTTGGCCTCAGACCACTGAATTCGGCTGCCGTCGCGTATCGGTATCCAGGAAATTCCCGTGTCGTGCGTGTATGATATCGTACTCGGTTCCTCGCCCACTCCGCATTACTTCGTGTTGTGGCATTGCATCGTCCTCAGTCGTGGTTCAGAGTGATTGACTACTGGATCGTTTGCTGTGCGGCCATACGGTCGTGCTCATCAATATCGCTGCAGTGAAGTCAGCCGGGAGAAAGGCACGCCCTCTACGCCTTCTTGCACAGTACTCACGTAGCCTCCCATGGGTAGTTGATCCACACGTCTGGTACCGTCCTCGCAGCCAGGTACCGATTGTTGCTGATCATCTCCTCGGGTAGCGTGCCCTTCTTCGCCTTGTCCTTGTTGTGCAGAACAAAGATGGAGAACTTGGTGGTTTCTGCGCCTCGGCCAGCCTTCTTCGCCGCCTCATCGACATCCTTCTGCAACTCTTTCACAGCATACTCGAGTGTTGTGCGTGTGTCATCCACTTCATCCACAATGAGAATGCTCTTGCCGACCAGATCGACCATTTCCAGACTGGTCAGGTCCAGCCATTGGGTGCGCGTGACTTTGGTGCCGGGTGCTTCGACCTGCTCGTCTGTACCGAGGGCTTCGTATAGCGACAGACCGATGGCCTGGATAGGAATATTTGGTGCGCCAGGCTGCTTAAGGAAGGATCGAAGCATTCGAGCGGGAACGTAACCACCGCCACCGATAGCGATCATGAGATTTGGCTGAAAGTCCTTCAAGATGCGAGGCGCTGCATCCTGACACAGCTTGTGCGTCTGCGGGATCGTGGTCAGCGCCCTGTCGAGGCGGATTTGGAGGAAGACAAGGCACTCGAGGAGATGTGAGTCTCTCGTCGGTTCAGGCACCGGGAGAGGGAGAGAAGAGCGCAGGCTGTGTCACATGCCAGCAATGCCGGGTTCCTCCTACCTGGTTGTACGTGATCCAGACTTTTTCGACCATTCTCGCAGGAGTGGATGCTGGCGGTAGTAATGGAGGAGTTAGATTGAAGGGAGAAGAAGACGCAAAGAATGTAGTCGCGAGAGTCACTGACCTTCGGGAAAGGAAGAAGGATACCTTATATAGCGGGAGGTGGGAGGCAGCTCGTACAGCGACAAATGTTTCTGAAGCTGGCGGCGGCCATCTCCGCTGCGTAAGAGGGAGGACTGAGGTGTCATTCCTTGGCATATATCTTACTCGCGCCTCCCTCCCGTTATCAGCTCCGATATACCTCCGCCGCGAAGCTGCTACAAGACAAAGACCGCACCTCACCTCTCCTTTCCCATCCTTCTCGCTCTCTCACCGCCGCCGCCCTCCATCTTGCTCCCGTCGCAATCCTCTTCTCTCCACCCTCTCGCCTGCCCACCGTCCTGCACGCCCTCGTGCTTCTGCGCTCGCGCGGCTCACCATTCTCGCTGGCCTCCCTCGTACCTCTTGCCCGCTCTCGATTGCCATGACCTCCGCCATCCTCGAGTCCATTACTGTGGTAACCTATGCCCGCCGCCAATCGACCGGAACAAAGTGCTCCGCGAGTTCTGCCCGCAACGGGGCGGCACGTCTATCGCCTGATGGGAGAGCATCTAGGGCACATCTGACCATGTTTCCTGCTTGGCGTGGACTCTGCGATGCAACACTGCTTGTCCTTAGGTTGTCCTGATTCGTGCACCGCAGAATATGAGGTCTACAAGAGGCCGCCCGCTAGATACACATGAGTCTACAGTGCACGGATCTCGTGCGTTGGCGACCAGCACGCTGTAGAGGGAGTGTGAAGCGTACAAATGAGCAGGGGCTGGGCTTGCTTGGTTACGGGGAGCTGTTCAGGCCAGCATGGACCCGCGGACCCCGGCGTGTAGGAAGTACGTTAACTTGTGGAAAAACAATATCTATTGCTCCTAGGCTCTCGTCGCGGGGCGTTGGTTACTCTGAAGCCTGACCTGGTACGAACGTCCCAATGATCGGTCGCAAAAGAAGATTTCTCGATACCAGTATCGATCGCCTTGCGGTATAGCTTGCTTGCGATGACCTAGCTCGAGTCTCCCCCGTCGGGCTACCTTCCATCATCTTTCGAGCTCAGATCTGTGCCTTCAACGTACTTCGAAGTGGAACCCGAGGGCAAAGCGTAACTTTGCGCGCCCATTTTTGGCGCGATTCGATCGTGTGAGCGAGAAGTTTCTCTAGGCTATATATCGCCGCGATTCTCACCACAGCATCTGCCCGCTACCTCCACTACCTAATGCCTAGCACCCTCTCCGCTAGCATCGACGATGTATGCTATGTGCACTTCGTTTCTTTTCGGGCGTGCTAGCCAGGCTCACCCCGATAATCCTATTGTATACTCTAGACTGCCGCTTGCAAAACAGAGGGTAAAGCAAGGTCAAAATTTGCTTTTCTATGCAAGAACCATCTTCCAATAGCCTTCATGCCCTCGTGACCGACCCAACAAGCAGTCTAGGGGGGATCACATCTGCTGCTGCTTAGACGCCGCATATCATCAAGGTTCCCCGCCTCAATCGCCTAGGTTCTGTTGATACATAAGTCGTTGGTCTAGTCGCTTACGTATGTTGACTATAGCACTTGGCCTATTAGCCTTACTCGTACGATACAAGCCTACAAGCCCTAGCTCTAGATCCGACCTACGTAGTACGCTCCTTGTTAGCTATTTATTACTCGGGTTTGTTTGATTGGTACGGAACGACCTCCAAACCTTCCGAAGCGCACACTACCTCAAAAAAAAAAGCCGGCCGCAGGCAAATCTACCTTCCTACCTGCCTACCTATCTGTCCCTACGGGCTACCTTACCTAAAATTCAGAAGAGAAGGACAAGAAGAGAAGAACCAAAGAAAAGAGAAGTACCAAAGAAAAGAGAAGTACCTGAAAGAGAAGAGAAGAGAAGGACAAGGACAAGGACAAGGACGAGGACGAGGACAAGGACGAGGACGAGGAGATGGAGATGGACATGGACATGGACATGGACATGGACATGGAGATGGAGATGGAGATGGAGATGGAGATAGGGATAGACATGCGCGCGCTGTGCGCGCGCGGATCACTAGGTAATGTTCCCTACATGTAGTCTACATGTAACATTGACATATTCTGAAAACCTGAATACAACCTTCTCCGCACTTGTTTACAATAGGGTAGGGAGATCTACCGAAGAAGTTACAGTAATAGTAGACCTAGGGTTTCGTAGTACAAGCTAAGAGGCTTTCCTAATATGTTGCTTAGACAGTATATAGAGCAGAGCAGAGCTAATAAGAATCAGAAATCCAATCTACTTTCTTCGACATCAATCCAACGACACTTGACCGACAACCAAACGGCAACTAAACGACACCTATTCAATAATTGAACAACAACTTAGCTGTCACGATGCATCTCAGCTTCCATCTCCTCCTCCTTGTCATTACATCACCACTTGCTGTACTAGCGAAATCGAAGCTTTGTGGTGAAAATTATGCCGCATGTCGTCACAATGATGGTAGCTGCACGACTCTTAATCCGGGAGACGGTTGTAATGAATACGTCTTTATCTCGAAATGCGTGTGTAACAACAATGTCAAAGACATTGATTGCGGAGGGATTTGCTAAAAAAAGCCTCCAAGATAGGTATGCTATATGTCGTACGCGAGAATGACTGCATCCGCTAAAACGTGTTGTCTAGGCTACGGAGGTCGAGGAGGCTAGTAGTATGGCATCGTACTTTGCCATGTACTTGAACGGGACCTCTTGAGAATAAGTTCGAAAGCTACGATAAGTCCGAGTAAAGTACGAGTACTACATGGATGGATGTATGGATGGACGGATGGATGAAGGGATGAATGGAAGGTTGGATTTCGTTGATTGATTGATTGATTGGTTGACCATATAGTTTTGAAAATGCGTGGATGGATGGATGGATGCGTGGACGGATGGATGAAGGGATGAATGGAAGGTTGGATTTCGTTGATTGATTGATTGGTTGACCATGTAGTTTTGAAAATGCGTGGATGGATGGATGGATGCGTGGATGGATGCGTGGATGGATGCGTGGATGGATAGGTAATTGGATGTCCTTGGTTGATTTGATTGATTGGTTTCCTCCCGCCGTTCTAGCCGTAGTCTCCAGCGTCTAGTCGTTCCCCAACCTACTAGAATGGCCTAGCTAGAGACCGCTTAGGGTGTTCGTCGAAATCTTGTATCTAGAAGCTTCGTGCTCCTAAGAGGACCGACTTGACATTGTCGATATGTGCTTCTACGTCCGCGCTGTATAGTAGCAAGCGACAATTGGACTTCTGGAACAGCGGTTGTTGGCAGAAAAAGACCTGTACCTACAGATTGTTGTTAGCTACTAGTACGCAACTACTAGTTGGCACTGCGCCTCTGCCCTATAATAAGGGACAGTATAACTAGTAAGCACAATCGGAGCCGTAACGACGCCAGCTCAGTCGCCTAGAACGAACCGCTCTCCTATAGCCGACATCTTCGGTAGACGGCAAAGTACTAATATGTCCTACGGGCCTGCCCGTTGGTGGTACGGATTCTGCGGGCAGCGGAATGTGTGCCAATCTCAATTTTCGCGCGCGCACAGCGCGCGTATGTCTATCTCTCCATCTCCATCTCCATCTCCATCTCCATCTCCATCTCCACGTCCTCGTCCTTGTCCTCGTCCTCGTCCTTGTCCTCGTCCTTGTGTCTTCTCTTCTCTTCTCTTTGGTTCTTCTCTTTTCTTTGGTTCTTCTCTTTTCTTTGGTTCTTCTCTTTTCTTTGGTTCTTCTCTTTTCTTTGGTTCTTCTCTTTTCTTTGGTTCTTCTCTTCTTGTCCTTCTCTTCTGAATTTTAGGCAAGGTGGCCCGTAGGGACAGATAGGTAGGAGGTAGGCAGGTAGGCAGGTAGGCAGGTAGGAAGGCAGGTTTGCCTGCGGCCGGCTTTTTTTTGAGGTAGTAACGTATTGGGTCTAGTAGATTTAGCGCGCTCTACCCCAAAAGATCGCGCCAATAGGATACATTCCAGCGGACTAATAGGATACGCTCCGCAGACCCGGCAGGTACTACTAAGAATTTCGATTACCCTATATACCTTTTTGCTAATTGATTAGCACTCTACTTCTCCCTATACCTAACCTACGCTACGTTTCGGAAGGTTTAGAGGTCGTTCTATACTAATTAAAGACTCTAGTACCTTGTCTATACTAGCGATTAAGGACTAGTAGTCTAGTTATAATAATTTATAGCGATAGATTAAAGCTCGCTAACGTAGTCGCGACTTCGTAGTATATCTAATCTCCTAGATATATATATATTGTAATAATATAGAAGACAACCTAGATACTAACTTTCGGATTAGATATAGGATCTAACGTAAAGTAATAAAGGACGTAGGTATACTATAGAAGATAGATACGAGTATAGAATCCCTCGCCTAGCAGATCGAAGGAGGATTTTCTATCTATAGTATATTTGTATTTATCTATATCTAGATCTCTAATATTAGTCTTCAAATTATTAGAGATTATACTAAATAGCTAATATAGGCGTTAATACTAGCTTTAGAGGCTTAGCCGATACTCGAATTAACTATCTACTCGACTTATAACAAGCTCTCCTCTAATTGCTCTAGACTAGTATCTTGCTACCTACCGATATAGGTATAGTAAAGCGTAATATAATAGAGGCAAACACGCTCCTTACGAGTCGCCGTCTACTACGCGCTATTGTCTACAGCTTAATACTCGTCTATTACTAGGCCTCGTTATAGGTTAGGTTAGGTATAGGTTAGGTATAACCTAACTTAAATACCTAACCCTACAAATAAGCTAGGTACCTAGCTTATAAGCGGGGTACAACCTAACGGTAAAACCCTAGTAGGTATACCTAATAGGTATTGTAATAGGTATTATATAATACGAGTTAAATACCTATAAAATAGTAGAAAGAAATATTAATAAGGTATATATACCTACTACCTAATTCCTAGAGTATAGAATTTGATAGGAATATATTCTATATTTATTGTAGCTGCCGACTATATATACCGACTATATATACTAATCAAAAAGAGATTACTAGAATAATAAGGAAAGCTCTAACTAATTAATTATAGTTATAAGCTACTATATACTAAGG